CAAGACTGCTGAGCATTGAGATCCGAAATGGTATTAGTAGTGATAGTATTGACTAACCTATTGTGACTTCAATAGCCGCAGTGAGCATGAGGATGTTCGTGTGAAGGTACGGAGTAGCTGTGGTACTAACTAATCAAGTCGTGGCCAATGTCGATCCTGGTAGTACCAACAGGGAATGGTCATTATAGTTAGTCTCTGGTAGGCCCAGCGATGTTTACGAACCCGGCTAATGCGACTAAGCCTATAGGGGGGAATATACTGGCACATAGCAGCCAGACTAGGCTGCAGCTTCGGAAGGGACAAGCCTCTGAGAAACGTGTAAGGAAAATAGTAAACGCTGAGGGCCATCATAGGGACTCCGCGAGGAGTCACAGTCGCTTGGTTCCATTCGATGGTTGGTTGTCTTAGATTCTGAAGATATACGACTCGCCGTGTCTACCAGAATCGGAGTGTGCATTTTCAATCACTGCAAATGGCCTTGCTGACTACGTCAAGCCACCGCAGAGGGATGCCTATGAGCAGGAGAAGAGGAAAGGGTATAAATATTAGGGAACTGATTAGTAAGTGAGTCTACTGTTGATTCTGTGTTATTTTGAATAACGCGATGGAATTTTGTGATGAAGTGTCCAAAACGGCCAGAGAAAACCGAAATGACTATAGTAGAGAATTTCGTGCAGATTCAGAATATATAACTCTGTTTTCTTAGTGGGCATGATAGCGTAGAAATTGATGACGTGTTTTGCAGTGCTTTTCATTGGGAAGACTTTGTTAAGGAGTTCTCAGTAAGGATTAGCTCACTGTGGTGTTACTAGCATCGCGAGGAGGGAGGACTGCTATGAATGAGTCGCACAGGTAACAGGTGGACTACAAAGGGTGGTCCTCCTACATCCATGTCAATATAGTCTGTCGCATGTTCTCCATCGTCTACTGCTGATTGTCTCTAGCTGCAGTTTCCTCCACTCTGTTTTGAATAGAAGAGTTAATCAATGAAGGGATGACGGGGCGAGCGAGATTCTTATTCGTAGGATGCGGAACTGTTATGGTATGTCAAGGTCTCACCGATGGTGTTAAATTGGAGTTTCACTAAAGAACACTAGTGAAAAACATATTGCACGACTACTACATACCACGAATATCGGGTTTTTCACCGAGTTTCACGCTACCTCGCGTAAGACGGGTGAAACTCTACTGCACTATATGCGTTATAGTGATATTGCTACTAGTACTATCGCTCTAACCTAATTGTCTCTACAATCTACTTATACTATAGTAGTATTATACGTAATAGATCTACGATGGACTTGAGGCTCTGTGAAAGTTGAAAAAGAATTAGCCCCCCCCGCTATGTGGTATCTGTTCATTGGTAGTAGAGTCTTTCCTTGTCCCTCTTGTAGAGGGTATTCACCTGTCATGCACATCATCCAAGTGGTAATAGACGGCTTCAAGAGGTCTGTAACGACTACTGTATGCCTCGGGGAAAGCTCCCCTCAGTTACTCGGCACACACAGTGGTGGGGCCATTTGATCCGCAGTTCAACGCAATCACGGGTCTTAACGGTACGGGCAAGTCAAACATACTGGACTCGATATGTTTTGTGATGGGAATAACTAACTTGAAACAGGTAGATGGAGGCATTGTCATGCTGTTGTTCGGATGAACGACGCAGGTGCGAGCGACTAATCTAAGTGAGCTGGTGTATAAGCAGGGCCAGGCTGGGATCACTAAAGCCACGGTTGAGATTACCTTTGATAATAGGTGGGTATGGAAGCAGATAGAAATTGTTGAAATTGTGGTATTACCTTTGAGGTGTTCATTCTGTTGAGTATAGTATTTTGCTGGTTTCTCAGTGATAAAAAGCAGTGCCCGTTGAAGTATGAGGACTGCGAGAAGATTGTTGTAGCTCGCCAGGTTGTTATAGGAGGGCGAAATCGTTATATAATAAACGGTGAGTAGCAAGGGCGCAGGTGCGGAAAATTCTAGTCCTGTTTAAATTTCCATTATGTAGCTTTTGAAGATCTAGTGAGCTGCTGGTGAGGAAATCTCAGCACTAAATGAATTCATCATCAACGCGTTTATTATTACCTTCTTTATATGCCAAGGTTTATTGTGGCAGAATTCAACTTAGGTCGGAATGTTCAGCGTGACGCTGTGGTGACACTATTTCACTCGGTGAAATTGAATGTGAATAATCCTCACTTCCTCATCATGCAGGGTAGGATCAACAAAGTAGTGAATATGAAGCCCGATGAGATACTAGGTGAGCCGGAGAGCCTCTCGAGGGGTTGGTCAGTGTATGGGGTTAGCTCTTATGGAGGAGGCTGCTGGGACGAAGCTGTATGATCTTAAGAGGGCTCAGGCTGAGAAGAAGATTGCCAATAAGGAGGCTAGGGTGGGACAGGGGGCTACCAATGTTGTGAAAGAATCCGCTTGTTGTTGTAGCTACGATTTTGCTTGTCAACAGAGCTTGTCTCAATAGTTGGATTTTACTGTCGAACTGTGTTAGGCAGCGGAGATAGAGCGAACACTACGAGAGGAGTTCGAACCGAGGTTGGCGCAGTTGCAAAAGGAGAGGTAGGAGGATGTCTGTGACGATGATTAGTATAGTGTTGGCAGCGAGAACTATGATCGATGGGCTAAGGCGAGCGCCGAGATCGGTCGACTTGGGAGATTTGTGATAGCTTGGGAGTTCTATGAGATGACTAGCCAGAAGAGTAAGGGTCGCTAATGCGCACGTGGAGGGCTCAGTGGCTTTACAGGAGACTACGAGGAAAGGATAGGAGAGATGCAAGTGGCATTACGTGGAAAGCAGGAGGAAGTCCTTGAGCGCGACAACGACATGTGAGCTGAAGACTGCTATTGGTGGCTTTGGAGGTGTCTGTGTGGGTTAGTGAGGAGACGCAGGAGGAGATTGAGGAGTGCAAGAAAAAGAAGGCAAGGATTGACCAGCAACAGGAGGGAGAATTCGCGCGGATCAATGAGCAGGTCGGAGGCTGATTCGGTTGGGGTCGTTGATGTTGTTGTTGATTCAGGCAAAGGAGGCGAATCGTGGTGTAGTGAGAGCTCAGGTTATGGTGAGTATTGGTGTCCATGGTCGGAAGCCCAGGTGACATGCGGTGGCAGGTCGAGAACAAAGAGAAGGATTTGAAGTCTGAGGAAGAGCGACTGAAGGACGTAGAGAAGCAGCTGGTTGGGAAACGTAAAGAGTTGGAGGAAGCGCAGAAGTGTTATGAAAGGGAGGAAGTGAAACAACAGAAAATGATGAAAGAGTAACTCAGATGGTTAGGCTGGGTAGGCAGTGGGGTGAGTCATTGGTCAGGTTGGAGAACTGTGAAGCGACTCTTGAGAGGTGCCATGAGAGGCTGAATGGAATATCGAATGGGATTGGTGATGTTGGTGAGAAATGATGGCTTCTTTTTGTTTTTGATCTCGATGGGTATTCGCCTCCTCATTGGGTTCGTAGATGTACTTTTCTGTGATAGTTAGCATAACGGGAGTAAATAGGGCTTTTAATAGGGAGAGAGCTCACAGTGGTTGTGGTGAGAGTAGCATCAGCACAGCTCTACGACGTTATGGTGACACTGTTATGACCGAACTGTTAGACTAGATTGATTCGCTTGGGTATGCTTTGGCATTGTAGTTTGTTGAGAGGGTAGTCTTGGTATGTGTAGAGAACTTCTCAGGAGCTGGCAATGGCGAACAGTCGATCAATGAGCAGCTGATCCAAGCCAAGTATGATTATGAACGCGCTATTGAGGACCTGAAAACCCATAAGGAAGATGTGGGATGGGCTCAATGAGCTCGGTGAACTCTGATAATCGACGTCGTCTCCTTTTAGTTGGTGACGAAACGCAGGAGGAGGGATGAGATCAAAGGGTCGGGGGAGAAGAAGGACTGGACGAGGATGATGAAGGAGAAGGCGGCACTTGAGAAGAGGATTGATGAGCTCAATGAGAAGAAAGCTGCCACGGGATATGACAGAGATAGGTGGGCAAATGTGATTGCTCTTTTTGGTTAGGAATGTTCTCCTTACAGATTTCGAGATCTACGTAACGAACTTGGGCGTTTGGAAGCACGGTTGGAGCGGCTCATTGAAGATAAGCAGAGGCTTTATTCGGAGGTCCGCAATAGGGTAGAATTCCAGTATGACTCGCCAGGAGGGTTTGACAGGTGAGGGCTCTCTGTGCGCCTTGTTCGGTTACTGTATTGGGTAGGTCTAGAGTGAAGGGTGTGTGTGCCAAGCTATTTGATGTTAAGCAGGAGTATGCGGAATATGCGAGGGCCTTGGAAGTGGCAGCGGGTGAGCAAAGCTGAGCCTATTCCCTATATGGGTGTAGGGACTTGTCGTCGTAGGGTCGAAGCTCTATCACATCTGTGTTGACGATCCTCAAACGGCTAAGATATTAATGTCAGATCCAAGCAGCAGGGTGAGTCGCGATAGATTTTTGAATGCTGGGCTACTGTGTGCTCCTCCTTAGCAAATGAGAAGACGACAGAATTTCGTACCGCTGTCGAAAATCCAGACTAGAATTCCAACGCCCCAACAGATTTCTGGAGCGAGTAAGTCAGTAGTAGTATGAGACAACGTGATGAACTTCCTCAGAACGAGCAGCAGCTAGTGTGAATGGTGAATGTGTGCCGGCTCTTGATGCAGTAGACTGTCCGGAGTGCTACACCAAAGTCGTAGAGTAAGTATCATGGTCACCATCTAGTGGGACACTGTGACAGGTACCTTTTTGGGGCTACTTTCTTATGCGATACGTCGGACACTGGGAAAGCTGTCACCTTCCACCCACAGGTTGGTTGGTGCGTGAACAGGATGATGAGAGAACCGCGGATATGTGACTTGTTGTCAAGCCAATTCCCATGAAGCTGACGATATAGGCATTTTGTGTCGCCCAAGTTTTGATCTCCTCGTGCGAGAGGAGGAAAGTGATCTGTTAGGTGAAGGTCAAGTCAGTGACTAAGGATGGAGATTCTTACGACCCCTCTGGCAGTCTTACAGGAGGAAGCAGCTCTAATGGCAACGACTACAGCGTATTGAGAACACTCTGTGTGAGTTCATGCCCTGTGATCAACGGTTAATGATAGGTTTATTTCTTAGGAGCACTTTGCTCGGTGCAGGGAGGAGAGGCAGCTGAATGGCGATATAGAGCAGCTAAATGTGGAGATTAGCAGGCATCAGAAGTCTAAGGGGGTGAGTGGTCGCTGACCGGCTCCTCGGAATCCTCGTAGTGGTTTCGTAGTAGGCATGGGAGAACATTGACCGAGAGCAGCGAGATTTGGATTCTCAGTTGGGCAGTGTTAGCTGCAGAATCACAAGTAAGTGTATCTTTCTACTTTGTGCCGCGTGAGCCGCATCAGGTCATCCTTACCATACGTTGCATCAAGAGATAGAGGAGCTCAGTGTTCAGATTGAGGAGCATGAGAAATCTATAGAAGAGTTGGAGGTAGGGATGATAGCGATCAGAACTGCATAAATTCTTGAGGGATGAATCGGTTGTTGCGATTAGGGGAATTGCCGACAGTTTGGGGAAATATGCACATGGTCAACTACATGTGTTGGTGACAATACGAACATTCTCAGGAAATTTCGGGAAATTCTTATGGGTTTTTGTACATTTCTACTCGAATACTATAATCAGTGGGAAAGCACTCAAGCTTAGCTGAAAAGCGAAAAAATATTCCAACACCGATTTCCGATTTCTAATGTGACTCGCACTATATGAGCTAGTTAAGATTGGTGTGGTAGGTGGAGAAAGACCGGTTGGCAGCTGAGGTGGGCCGCCTGCAAGAGGAGGTAGCTAGCCTTGGAGGAAATCAAGAAGAACAAATAAGGGTAAGTATTCAGACGTATTGACAGTCATCGCTGTGAAATTGTTCCCCGGTTTGTCCGCTCCCTTGCTCCCTCGAGTTGGTCGTATGTGACATGGTTTTGCATGAGGCAGTCGTGTTTCCATCGGTAGATCGTAGATTGTCTGGTGTCAGAAATTGAAGGAGGAAATAGAGCGAGTGAAAGCTGAGGAGAGCAGCCTTCGAGGGCAACAGGAGGCGCAAGCTGCCAAGGTTGGCGATATGGAGATGGAGAAGGAGTCCATTGAGCGGGTAGCCATCAACGTTAATATTCCACCCTTTCTGAAACGCATTTGACATGAGACTTTTCCGAAGCTGAAATCCAAGAGGTCAGCCACTCGATGATGCTCGGTGCCTCTACTGAGGCGTAGCTACCATGGAAGACGTTTCTGTGCCCTTCTCTCAACGAGTTTCTTGATTTGCTGAGTTTTCCACTGGCCGATTCGTTGAACTGTTGGGATTGCTGATGTAACATATGTTAGGATGTAGAAGCGCTAGAGGCTAGCATCTCGGGCCAGGCCTTGGAAGAGTTGCGGGGCGAGCTGGAAGGTCTACAGGTGAGCTCGTTGAGCACTGTTGTAGATGAGATACACTATATGTCTTAGGCGGCTCATGAACGTAGTAAGGAGAAACACCAAGCAATAGAGGACAAGTTGGCGGGCATGAACCAAAGTCGACAAGTATGTCTAAGCTCCTTCCGTGCGATATCGACGTTGATTTGCTGCAGACAGTGCAAGATGATATTGACGCATTAGAGGCCAAGTTGGTGGAGTTGAAGGAGTCTAAAGCAGCTGCCGAATCGGAAGTAGGTTTCCATTCATTGTATTGCTGATGGCTGTTTGTCTTGTGTGACATTCACTTGACCCTGCGTCGCTTCATGGGTTGTACTGTAGGTGAAGAGGCAGACGAAGAGCTTGTCAGAACTGCAAGCTGTACTCAACGCGACGGGCGATCGAGTGAGTCATGACTATCAAAGGTATATGCTTGTTTGTACCTCTCGGTTCTCAGCTTGATAAGCTGGAGAGCGATCGGCCATGGATTAGTCGTGAGAAAGCGGGATTTGGAGTCGATGGTTCAGAATGGGATTTCGACGCATCCGAGCTGGACTTGCGGCAGAGTCAAAAACAGTAGGGTTAGTCACCCTTGAGAGTTTTCCCCATTTTTGTATCAGATTAGCGAAGTACGAGAAGGACCAGAAGGAGGCCGGCCGAGACCTCAACAAGAAAGCAGGTGAGTTGAGCCGTCAATGATCAGTATCCTGGGCTGAGCTGTCCTCAGGCATGCAATATGAGCAATCTAAAGTTGCTGCACAGAAGCTTATAGCAGATAAGGAGACGACTCTGGCTGAAAAGCGCGAGATTGAGGTGACTGATAACAGCATACTCCGCGGACTTGTTCAGGACGGTGTTTTTGTCAGCGTTTCCGAGATAGTCTGGATGATCGGAAGAGTGAGGAATTGACTCGTACAGTGCAGCAGGTGAGTCGGCATTCCCCCTTGACGACAGCGGCCAGTATCATCATCAGTCTAGGTGAACAAATGGTTTGGTGGCATCTTCCGCTCTCTCTTGCCCAACGTTAATGCTAAGCTTTCTCCACCAGCGGGAATGACTCAGTTGGAAGGCCTCGAATTGAAAGTAGCGGACTAGAGGGCTCGCATGTATCGCAGGTCTTCGTAGGTCCAACTCGGCTCAGTGTGGAAGGAATCACTAACTGAGCTGAGTGGTGGTCAGAAGTCACTATTGGCTTTGTCGTTGGTGCTTGCTCTGCTCAAGTTCAATCCAGCTCCAATGTAGAAGTAATTTGTTTTTGTTATTGTGGAAGATCTCGGCAGGTATATTCTTGACGAAGTAGACGCAGCCCTCGATGTTAGCCATACGACGAACATTGGTCGAATGATCAAGGAGTACTTTCCCCAAGCTCAGTTCATCATAGTCAGCCTCAAGGACGGCATGTTTAATAACGCCAATGTCCTCTTCCGTACTCCGAATACTTTCTCAACGTACGGTAGCGTCGCCATTGTTCAGGAACTCGATTCGTTGATGGGACTTCAGCAGTATCTAGGACTGAGCTGAAGAATAACGGCAGCTCATCCACCTCGAGTTCTCCTGCTGGTCAGAATGCTAGAGGAAAGAAGCGACGAGCCGCTGATGCACTACAAGACTAGAATTAATCGGCAGACGAATATTTTAAGTGCATTGATCTCAACACCAACGGTCTCGAGTTACCAGTGTGCAGTCGGAATGAATTTGAGCGTGATTGTGGTGATTGAGCCTCTTCTGCCTTGCCGGGGGAGTCTCTCCTTATTCCTGATGAGAGTCTGCTTCACCAGATTTGCGCTGGATGAGAAGTATGATGAGACATGGCTGCGTTAATACTTGTCACTATGTACAGATGAATTATCTCTCTAGCCCCTGCTACGTTACGTATTAGTCATTGCTGTATTGCTGATAACTGAGTTGGTATCATCATCAGGGTACTCCTATCTCAGTACGGTTATCAAGTTCACAATTGCCATTTGTGTATTTGATAGAACTTGCATAGGTTCGAACAAAGTATCGGTGACTATTATAGCCAGGTTATTGCCTATCCACTCAGGACGACCATTTGAAAGAGTCCATTTCAGCTCAAGTGATCCCGACATTTTCCTCCGATTTTAGTATTTTCGGGTCCTTCATTACCGATGCCCTCGGCCGGTGAGTACTTCAACAAACCCAATTTCAACATTTCCGATCTCATTCGCATGCGTCTATCGTGTGGACTGTACTTTTTCTCGTATTATATTATATTTATATATCCATGTCTGTATTAATCTATTTAATGGTTATTATAAAAACTCTAGTTCTGTTGAGGCTAGCCAATCCGGTTAGTGTACAAGGTCTAGGAGTAAAGCCTTCACATGTGAGCCTTGTTGGGAGTCAATTAAGGGGACAGCGCGGCACTGTAGAAGACTCGTGTTGTAGGGCCGTAAGATGATTGCAAAATCCCGGCTGACCTTCATTTAGACGTTCCCCCTCGAGAGCTCACGTTGTCCAGGATGTGTGGAATCTCGTACTCCTCCTTCGTTTTGAGTCCTCCCTTTCAAGATATGGTGACGTATAATCAACTCAACGAAGCATGTAGACTCATGTCTACTTCCACTACAGAACAGCCGCTCACTGCAGCAGCTCTTTTATCCAGACTCTGTGCGATCTCCATGAAGCCATTGCCTAACAATAAGCATCTTCTTACTGTCCTTGGTGAGTGTTGTCTCACTTGATATTCTTGGTTACGTGTGTCGTTTACCTAGGACAAATCATTCTCTTCCCACGACGACCGATAACAGTCGACTGGGAGACTCTGATGGAAGCGTCAGGAGTCCCTCATGATGCCGGTGGACTATTCAACCGCCTCACTCAAGTTGGTGTGACTCCGACCAGGGAGGCGTGGCGGGGCACTGCGATGCTCACGTGTCGGTTTATGACCCAGGCTTTTGGTAGCGACCTCGCCTTCGACTTCATCGGCGGTGCTAATGCTTGCTTTATACTCGTACAGTCTGATCCAGAATCCTCAAACCTAGTAGCTATCTTTGGTAATCTTAAGACCCTACCGCCTCCAGTCAAGCGTACGGCCTCTCCGCCTCCACCAAATGAGTTCAACGCTCCCAAGCCAGATAGGACTCTCCAATGGAGTGCTGTGCTGTACAGTTCAGAAGTCTTCCAGCGGGGCAATAAGATGCCTCCGGCTAAGCGTCTGCGATTGAATCGAGGGAACTTGGACTCGTCAGGAGCCCAAGGGTATACTTCACGCTTAGGAGAGCGCGACCCTTTGAAGATCTTCCCACAGCAGCTCACAAACAGGGAAGATTTCACCGACCTTCCTCTCGGTGCCTTGACGCAGTTTCTGTCAACCTTGAGCAGTGGGTTGAGGAACCGTGCATTAGAGCTACTGGGCCACTGGCAGAGCGATGGGCGTTTGAAGGGACTGAGGGATGCCTACGTCTTCCAGCAGCTGAAGCCCATCGAGGAATACCAAGTGGAGCCCCACGAAGCTTGTCGTGTGGCTGTACAGATTCTAGCGGAGATGATGCCTGAGGGGCTTCTTGGTTGCGGCAAGAACCGCAAGATTGTACTCCGAAATGTGAGGAAGTGTTATTCCCTTCGAGCAGGTGAGACCATTGGGCTGCGAAGTCTTACTTCTGGTATGCGAACAAGAGCATTCAGGAGTGTCTCCCAGAAGACAGCCCAACTGTATTTGGCCGAAGTGGTCTGGTTCATCTTTGATGATGTTCTCCTGCCCATCACACGTATGTGTTTCTATGTGACGGAAGTCCAGGACAAGAGAGTTACGGGTAGACTGCACTACTTTTACAAGCCGGACTGGAGTGCGCTATGTGCCAGAGCGGCCAGAGGGTATGTCGCTCATGTTGGTCTCCAACGAGTTGGAGATGAGCATCGGGTTACATCATCACCGGAGAAAGTCTCCCAATGGCTGAAGTCACCTGCAAGCTCGATGTCTGATGGGTCGAGTAGTGGCTCAGAATCGCTGACCGAGGGTCTTGCCGTACAGACCGCGGCTTTCAGTGGTTATGGCCTGGCCTTGATGTCGGTGAAGGATAGGACAGCAGAAGCTCCTCCTGTGAGGCGGAGCATTCGAAAGAGATATCGGAATGCGAACTCATGCCGGGTCCGCTGGATTCCGAAGACCAAAGGCGGTATGCGGCCGATAGCGCAACCGCCGAAGTGCTATCAGTCGTCCGGTCGAGTCTGTCATCGTGAACTCATACGACCAATTAAATTCTCTGGCCTCCTTGGTCGCTCGGTGCTCGATCGTGATCAGCGTACAGGAGAGCTCGAAGAGTTCGTCCGCAAATTCCCCAACGAGGACCTTAAAGTCGGCATCTACGATCTCAAGAACTGTTATGAGAACATCAAGCACGAGGATGTGGTGGCAGCTCTCCGTCGTTTAGAGAGGCCAGTCGAATCACTCAAAGTCCTCAAGTTTTACAGAGGGCATGCCGTGACACAGGAAGTCGGTCTCCCAATCAACCAGCTTCTCAGAGTCTCTATACTCCTACCAAACACTCTCACCAAGGTGGCACTTAAATCCGCGACTATGGAACGCGTGAAGAGAATCTTGAATAACGTTGAACTAGTTCTACCACACGGACGGTACACTTTCGATATGAAGGGGCTGATACAAGGAGGAACTCTCTCGCCAGTTCTTTGCTCGTTGGCCCTCGGGACAACGGACCCTCTCGCAGACGCCCCGCTGTTCACCGCAAGGCTAGTGGATGACGGCTTGCTGGTTGGTATGGAAGAGCAGGTGTCGAAATCACTAGAAGTTGTGAAATGCACGTAAGAGAAATCCAACCGATTCCTCGCTGTTGCTGCGGAGTTCTCACGTGTTTTCTCATTGAGTCGTTGTCGATTTTCAGTTGGTCTACTGCACATAAGACGGCCTCGACTGGTAGCGGTGGCGACGTTCAATGGGCAGGCTTCATCGTCAGTCCCAACGGTCGCTGGTTGAACTTTTCTTGCCGTCCTGAGTCTTCCGGTGCCTCTTGTCGGGCTGGGGATGCGACCAAGTCGGTGACATCGTGGGTAGAGCGTTCTCTCAAGCGATCCCTTGGACATCGTATGACTACGACACTCATGAGTCGAACATTGAATGAGAAGTCCACCATCCGAGGGAACATGCGAGCTGCTATGAGGATGGCTTCTACCAAGCTGAGATCGACAATTGCTCGAAGGCGGAAGATTCACAAGATTCGCACGCCGTTGAATCAGATCGACGAGGCTGAAGCTCGACTCAAGTTTTACATCGAGCAAAGAATGCTGAGCCGTCAGAGACTTTCTTAAGGTGGAAGTGTTGGTTTGGTATAAGGACAATCGTCAGTAGATCGTTGTGTGGGCGCACGCTGATTCTAAGTCGCTGTTCTAGGTGGAACTTTCGTGTAAAATCAGCCATGCATTAGGAACGATCAGCCAGTGAACGAAGACACTGTAACAGTATATCCATTTTGCGAGTAATGCGAATTGATTAACGCGGTACGTCGCTGTATTCGAAGTCATAATAAACGTATCATCAAGCGCAAAAATATTCCGGCGACATTAGTAAACCTCAAAGAGTACACCGACACAGACCCGTTCAAGAGGACCAAAACGGATGCGCATCATGTACTCGAACGTTAATCAATGATACTGAAGATTGATAGATCTAAGACACCCCAAGAGAAGGGGGAGAAGATGACCAAAGATTAAGTTCTGACATAATTGAAATAATAGAGCTGATCGCCACCACTAGCCTGAAAGTTGGCTGTGTATTGAGTGCAGAGTGAGTGTTGCTCATGTTTGGTCCCGTGAGAATCCAGAGGCCTTCGTAAGGTTAACGATGAGTGCTGGAGAATCAAAACTGAGTTGTTGATCTGTGGAACCCATGACGAACACTCTGCATATAGCGGTAAAGGGAGATAGTACAACCCCTGGAGCTAGATTGGAAATACGGTCTACGATGATGACGTATTCAAGGGCACTGTTCCGATCAGCCACCATCGCATTCAATCGAGATGAGGGCAGAAAAGTTGGCAAACATAATCGCACTGAACAGCTGAGATCGTGCACATATTCCAGAAGCTCGGGAAGTAAATTGTATATTCACAGCCTTTACACGCCTTTACAGCCGGCACATGTGGTGCTAATCAGTGCTATTGACATACCTTAAAATGCTGAAGACGACGATGATCCACGTCAGAAGTGACGTTGAAGGCGTCGTGCGCGTAGTGCGTGGGACTCGCTCTCCTCATGCGTACAGCCCGCGGATACCCGTAGTGCGTTAGCGAGATAGTAGCTAGACTTGTGTACTCATTGTTAGTCGAGACATGCGCCGGTTCCGGTACCTATCTGTCGCTATCGTAAGCATGTTCTCCCGGCTGGGAATAAACTCTGTACTGTATTGAGCTGCTTGGGGTATCGGATTATTACTAGTTAAACATCGATTAATTGAAGTACTAATCGACGTTTCGATCACTACAATCATCTACGTCCACATCTGGCATCATGTTCGTGTGCGCAGTTCGATCGTCACGCAATGGTCCGACTGATTGTGTCAGATAGACGATGATGAACAGTGCCGTCACATATCGCGACTTGTACTACGGGGAGCCTGTAGCACCAGCGATATAATTCCCGCTGTTCTCTGCAGTGCAAACTAAAACTCGTCAAGTCGACTCGTCATCACGCGGAAAAGGCTCGGCATTGCCGAGTCGGCAATTGGAATCGAGGGGCTCACCGGCAATAGGGAAAAGAACAAAAGTGTCATTGACCATCACAATAACAGTTAGGATCGATGGCCGTTAACCAAATCTAACGGACTACGTAACGTAGAGTACCACACATCAGTTTTTGCACCACTCTACGCTATGCCAGCTTCATTCAGAGAAATTATGTTGATCGTGAGCAGCACAAGCCATCATAACTAGTTATGTTGGCAGGCAGTTAATTGTCTCCCTCAAAAGCGCAAAATATGAGCGGACTCAGTCTCGTCGGACTGAAGCAGTGTCGTTTAAGGCACACGGATCGATCCGGCCGCACATGATCCACGAACAGATGAATATACGTGTAGTCTCCACGTCAAATAATACGACGAGAGCGGAGTTTCTACCGCGTTATACAGTGTCAGACTAGGAGGGGAAGAGACGATTGACGCAGTGTCGGGGTTGACTATTGCCCACATACGTAGTCGGCAGGCGATATCCCCGACCACTTCCTCCATCCGTAATTCACTCAGAATAGGTCGGTTTCATGCGCCATGTACAACATAACTCCGAGTTGAACTCAAGCCCTCACGATTGCTGGTAAATCCAGAGCTGGCAGTGATGAACTTTGGGAAATGAAAGGGTCGATCATTGAAGAGCCGAGTAAGACTCAAATGGGAATCATCGCCGTTACGACGCTCGATGAAGGAATATTAATGTACAACGAGTCGCTGCTGCCTGCCAGGCTGATATCGAGTTGCCTTTCCGGCGTCTTTTGGTTGATTTTATAGTTCATCGCCTGAGGGTGGAAGGGTCGACTATGGCCGCATATTCGACGACAGATCCCAGTTGCCAACCCCAGTGGGCAGAACACTCACCACGAGTACGATATTGGACTCATCTGGAGTGACGAAAGCCGAACACACCAGACCATCCCCGCTGCTGCCCATTGTTATTCCGATCCGCCGCGAGCCAGGGACCACAAACCGCGATATATGAGAGAAGGTGTAATACGACCGATAGACCTAACGCGATGATCAATAACTACACATCTTAGTCGTTGAGACTGGTACTGCTAACTCACAAGTAGATCACTGCTGTTGGTGACGTGAATGTGGGTGTAGCACCAATTTTTCAACCTTGAATGGTTCGGTCCGCCAGCGCCCTACAACAAATGACTGTCCATGTAACACGACAGCACTACCCACGTTCTCAACAATATTAAGAAGTATGGACCAGTCCATCCAGCCCACCACCCCAGCGTTCAGGTCCCCCAGAATGTCTTCAACCTGAATACAATGACAACAGGCCAAATCGACTGCCACAGTCGCCCTTTGGTCAAGCTAACTTCACGCCACTAACACTGCTGCAACTGCGTCTCACATGTTTCTAATATCATGTCTCTTACAATGTGACCGTATGTGATTGAATACGTCAGGATCGGCAGGCACCCTACATATCTCATCGCCCTCTTCCATTCGGTATCGTACTCCTGATCCAGAATCCCATCACAGCTACCTACAAAGAACACCAGTCGGCATCAAGACTTGGGATGATGCGCCTGTTGGCTCACATCCTTCGGTCGCCAGCTGGTAGTACTGAGACCCGTACTTCTCCTGGAAGGTACGCAGATTATCAAAGTAGTAACCATCATACCAGTGTAGAGCTATACCAGAAATGTATCTGATTCAAGACAATTGAATAAAGCGTGGCATGCGGAATGCGCCATAAGACTATCCAGCACGTAGTGACACATGTGATCACGTGGAGTCACCAAACCTTACTTAGTTGCATTCGGGTTGGACAACACCACATTCGCCCAGTCGTTCATACCCCCCTTGTTATAGTCATAAAACAGCAGACTAATGTTGTGACCATCTCTCGCCATCACCTACAATCACCATCGGCCATGCCGTGGCGGCACCGTGGAAGATCCTACAGGCCCCAGGTGGTTAGCAATGAAGTCAGCTTCCCCTTGAGCATCGAAGAAACACTGTTCCCACCATACGTTGATATAGTTCCTAACACAGCAGCCATCCAGCCAGATGAGCCCACAACATGCCCAACTCACGCAGGTTCATTCTGAACAGTGTGGTAGGTGAAGTTGATACCTTGTTTCGCATACCCTTGAAACTAAGCGGAAACCAGTGGCCCTGTGAAATCGTCGTCGAGATGTTCTTGAGACTACCCATAGAGAGCGGTATTCTGCCCAAGCCCTGTGGTAGCGCTGATCCCCCTTCAAGCACGGCATTTCGCTGCCTATCATCTCGTGATTATCTGTCTTCATCCAGTACGGCGGGGACCACGGGCTCGCTGAAAACAAAGTCGATTACTTCCTTGAGCTCAATACACCGCATACCAAGCAGTTGAAGACCACCAGTGTCCTTGGTTCGTGATTGAGCATCGTGGATCATGGCAAACATTCCAAGTTCCTCGTCCATCTTGAGGTCTCGGTCGAATTCGGTCAGGTCGAAATCGTCGGAAATGTTATCAAAATTATACCTGACATTTTGCATACCCCCATTTTGCGCTACCAGTAAACCAAGAATTAATAATCTCATTCGCTTACGTTTCAGGAGAGAAGTCGCAGGAGTTGATGGGTACTCTGCCTAAACTATAGTGTAACCCCTCTGGAGAGAAAACTCTGAAAACCGATAGTAGTAATGAGTATAAGCAACCCGAGCAACCTTACAGTTTCATGAACTGCTCTTGAGTCGATCTGTCGAGATTTTTATAGAGATACGCTGCTGCCTGGGTGAAGGACCCTCCAAAACCGTGGATGGTTTGGTACTTGCTATCTGAAACCATTAGGATTCTATACGGCCTCTCCCGCCACGGTCCGTCATACGATGATCGAGAGTAATAGTGACCGCATTCGTGCTCCTCTGCCCCTCATTCCACTGCACCTGACCACGTCGCATAGGCTCCCCGGTCTCTTCAGTGGTGAACCTGAGAGAGATCGAACCCGTTATACACCTCCCTACTATGCTCCTTACGTCTCAACACTAGACCGAGGGCTGGCAGTGGTAGACTCGCGATTCGACTTATGACTGCAACCGTGTAGCAGGGATATTAACAACAGGCACAGATGTCCTACTACCACTAACCATGGCGAGAGGCGAGGCATTCAAGACAGAGCAATTCCAACGAGGATCTGTCGTCGTTGGGAACCAACAGTCCCACCAACCCAAGCACCGGATAGGAAGCATGCTAATTAGGATGATGCACTAGATGACCACGTCCTCGATGTATTCACACAAGGCATCCAGCTGGCCTGAGGACTCTTGCGACTCCTCCGTTAAAGAGGGCATAGACGAGGAGGCCCTTCCAGAGTACCATTCCGATCCCCTACAGCTCAGTCATCTACCTTACCTCGATTCCGATTCAGGGCTGGCAATCCCCGGATATTTCTTATTGGAGTAGGAAGAGCAACCCACCTCCTCTGCCGTGGATCGACGACTACTGCTACCCTACGAGCCGTCATTAACATGAGCTGTGGTACTCCTCCCTACACTGCTAGCAGTCCAGTCTTCCACATAACGTGGTGAATCTTTCTCTTGTGAGTGTTCCTCATTCTCCAACGTCTCACTCTGTATCGGTGGAGTCGACGCTGGTTTTCTCATCAAAGACTGAATTTCGTCCGTCAGACGGGCCAAACGAAGGACGTTCTCCTCCAAGGATTCTGCAGCAGCAGACCACCAAAATGAGCAAACGAGACTGCGCTCAATCCGACCCTCAACCGCCGACGCTCCCTCTCTATCCGATACATCGAGCCGCTCATCAGGGCTGCTGCTGTGGCCCTTCGTGGCCTCCTCGAACGCATCTGTCTTCACCTAGTCAGCATACGACCTACTATGAGGAACCATAACGAAGCACAACCATACGGGAGAGCCGCGCATTCCAGGCCGAGACTTCAGCGGTGGTAGATCCCCGAGCAAGCTGTTCCCATGGGACTTGAAGCCTTGTTCGGTCCTAGATGGCGGACTTCCACTGCCACCACTACCCGGGGACATCGTTCGATCCACGCCCAAGTCATCACCCCAGTGGGGGACGGGCAGGCCTGATAGGAAGAGAAGCAGCCGAGGCAGCCATAAGGAATGCCTCGACCTCACCTGCCTTCCCCGGCGGTCTTAGACTACTGAGTGGGGACATCTGATCAAAGTAACAACAACAGTGCGAGTCAGCCAACATCTCCATAAGGACCATGTCCCTCCCCGAGCTAGCAACGCTAGCTTCGTCCCCATCGGTAGTGGACGGGGGAGGAGCCCTCGGCTGGCCGATCTGCCCGTCCGTAGACAACAGGGAGTCAGCGTGTGTCGAGCCTTCCCCCATCACAGTGAGGGACCCCCCAAATACGTGCACGGGCGGGTGCTCGATCGATGGTTGTGCATCCTGCAGGCTCGAGGGGAGTTCTCCTATAAGCATCGATGGATGAGGGACTCACGTGAGCCATCTGACCTCCTATGGTGTTTGGCATCGATCGAGGGGCGTAGTTCGCCGAGAAATGCTCTCCCACCCCACCCTTCACGACCTTATCCTGGCCTATCGAACGGTCGGGGGAGACAGATGGGGACTTCGTGACGAAGGGCTCGTATGGCTGATGAAGTGACCGGAAAATCATGGCCCGTCAAGGGTCTCATGCACTCACCTTAGGCGAGGCCAAGTCAGAGTCAGCAGCGGGCAATGACGTTTCCATCATCGGACCTGTAGTATCATACAGTCATTGCAATGTGTAGGCAGCGTACTTCCACAAGTAGACGTATTCAAAGCTACAGCGACTAGATGCTGTAGGAGTGTTTGCGATGGATCCGTCTGAGTCCTCAGACCACATTCTTGCTCTAACTCCCGACGAGACAGGCGGAACCGAGGGAGGTTCAATTCGGGCACGTAGATCCTGCCAAGGGACAGACACCAGGCACATTGTGATGACATAAGACGTGATAGCCAACCTACCTAAGGGTGTGCGTTAGGTGGTAGAATTCCAAGAACTCCGCGACAAGCTCAGCCACCAATGCACCATTGGGGTTCTCACTGAGGAGCTTAGCTCCTGAGGAAAGCATGATTTAGTTCCATGAGCAGTTCCATAACGTGGACGAGCAGGTGACAGATAAGGAGGATATCATAGTACAGGCCTACAGCCTTTTACCTGCTACCTGGATTCTTTTGATTCACATAATCGTCCGACTCGATCGCTTTGTATCTGAGTGGGAAGGGGATGGAACTAATTCCGCAGCCAAAAACGGTGGCACTCACACACAAGACCTCAGCTGGGCCCGTAGATCTCCCAGAGCGCCATTCTTCTCCAATGTGGCGATCACCAGCTTCTTGAGCTCATCCAAATTCCCCGATGGAAGGCTGGTCGGGGTCTGGGCCGCTGGAGTCGATGCATCATTGACTGTCACCATAGTCTATCACAGTGCTATCGGCATCGACATCCTCCCAGGCATTGACAACAACGTACTAGAAGAGCTCTGATGTATGATCGGAAACCGTTGTGAAACGGAAACAAGATAACATAATAAAATAATGAGGGGACGTCACTACTGCCTAGCCAGCAGGTCCCACTAGAGGTAGAAAAGGGTCTCCTTCAGCCTCGGATGGGGCGCTGAGGTAAAGAGCATCAACGTGATGCGATTCTGATGGACTGCTCGACTCACCTTGGAAGACTGCCGTGCCCATCAGATGCGCTAGCTTCTTAGCATACTGCGCGGGGGCTGGCAACCTGATGCCCCCAGGGAAGTTATAATAGAGGAATGCCAACTTATACGTCAATGTTTGTATGGCCTCTACTGGGTACCTGTCATCACTCCCTTCCTGGTTCGACCAGTCCCCGATCGACATCTCCTTACCCAGTGTCATCATAGGCGACGGTGTAGTGCGTAGGAGAGGCACTACCCCGTGACACGTGCTGATTGATGAGATAGAAGTTGTACGTGCCACCAGTGACCGCACCAATACCAGTAATTGAGGTGTCCACAACCGTACCTGATAATAGACACCACATATGTAGACGTATGTAGAACAGGAAGGTGAGCTAAATATAACATGGAACATACAACCCTAGTAGTGCGGCGGCCGTATGCACGATTCGGCCAGGGGAGATAAGACATGAATATCAACGAGGAACAGCCTCAAGTCATAGCCCTAATATAAGCATTGAGACGAACTAAAGGGCCCTCCGGTGTGGTTCTATAGCGGCGCTTCAACGTGAGATAATGATGGACTCACCCGACACTGGATTGCGTAGACCCTTAAAGTGGCCTGACGAGGTCGCTCCTCCCGATCCCTGCATGCCCATCAGCTGTCATACTACCAACATGAAGAAGCTCTCTCACCTGACTAGAGGACGTCTGTGGCGACGACTGTGTATCCATTGGCAGGAAGAAGCGCGCCTGGACGTTCTGCGTGCACAGAATATACCTAATACACTACATAGGGCCTATACACCATAATCCAACCTACGTCAAGCGAGGACAATACAAAGTGGGCCGCGCAATAGTAGCATCATCGTCCCACTCAGCTGCTGCCATCTCCGCAAACGCATCCTGGACCTAGTACCCAACCATAATCCATCCGGAGGCACGCCCTCCCCTTACCGCTTTCACTTCCAGTGCGCCCACCTCCCTCATGTCGTTCATCGGCACCGATGCCCGATAGATGACCACCCGAGTCGGCAATATGCCGTCATTACTATCGCCAAAGTATAGCAGAGCCTCTGTTACAAGACCAATTGCTGCTCTTGATTAAAGCTCACTACTGGTCGCACCTTTCATGCACTCCTTGATGGCCCTCGCAACACCAGCTGACCTCCTTTCCTTCATAGACGAGGTAGACGGGGTGGTGCCGCTCACAGTAGTCCTGGGTGGTGCTGAATTAACAACAACAATCACGCAGTAGGTCAACGACAGTCCACAGATGGCTGAGGAACTGGACGTGATTTTTCAGGATGAAATCCCCGACGAATTTTTTAGTATCATTCGATAGAACGAGCTGTGAGACGTGATAATATACAGATATCTACGTTGTAACCCCCCAGGGTTAACGATTCCTCATACACCTATGAGCAAATGCGTTAACCCTAATATTGCTAATACTAAGATATGAATTTCGAACTCCTCGAATAACAGATCAGTTTCAACTCTTTCAGACGGGTCGAGCCCCTATGTAGCGAACCGCACGCCCCGTATTTAGCTAGTGAGTGCTCACTTGTATGCCCATGTTCTGAGTACCGTTGACCACCTCCTCTGTCACTCGACATCGCCGATATGTCGTACTGGTCCCCATCCAAAGGGACAGCCTGATATAGACTGCGTATCAATTTGATATGCAAATGTAGGAAATGTGCGGTATTTTACGAGTTGAATAAAAATCGATCCGGAACTATATCGCATGAACAACATAAACATTGCTATGAACATGTCAAAGAGTAGCCTCGCGAGACTATGATTGCGACTAGTTCCGCTAATTTTGTCAATTCGCACGTTGGAAGGCACTGTAGGAGAAACTCTACTGAAGACTCACTCACCTTGCTGAAGTATTGACTGGATGCAGAATCCAGCGAGCATACAAACCCCAGTACAGCACGCCTAACAACAACACAATTGTCCCTTCCCCATACTCTAGTCCCCACCAACCTCGTTTCCTTAGCCACAGCCGTATCAATACCAACGAGCATACAGGGCTCATTCATCATAGGTGTCAGGGACGTGTGGAGATCTATGTGCCACAAGGGGCCCAAAAACTTTGCTGATATCTATCGGTCTTAATAAGATGAAGTTGTAGTAGGATTCGATTGTCTCACCTGCATAATTATCCGAGTAACGATAGCTACAATACTAGTCTTCTTCCTCATGGTCTCACTCCTCACCACTTGAGTGATGCATGGCCGTTCGACTGTACACACTTGCTTGAAAATCTGATATACCCTCTTGCAGTCCTAAAGATCATCATCATCATTGAAGTAGTAGTAACATGACTCTACCTTCACTGGCGTGAATAACATAACCAGTTGCGTGTCCACTTTAACTTTATCGAGCAGTAGTGGTCGCAGTTCCGTCAATTGATTCGTACACATCAGCCTCTCCGGCTCGGCAATGTGCGTGGCGAAACCCTGCAGCCAGTGTTCATACGATGTGACAGAGGTGTGGTATGATGACCTGCGCTGCCAACTCCTTCATACTCCTCAGCCACATATCGACCAATCCCATATCCGACTCGGGGAATATCAAAATCCAATTAACCTACACATTCCAAATTCTCTCACGCTCCCACCGCCCAATCGTCCCACCAGATTAACTGGGCACTGCGCGCCATTCCTGGTCCAACGTTGGAAGTTGCCATCCTCCACTGTATAACGCTTCATCCCGAAAGACACCTCCACTGGGTCCATCATACGGGCTGCTACTTCTATCGGCCTAACCATAACCATGACCAACTGACACCATGTCGAGAAGCTCACTTATCAGAAACAGTGCATCGCCAATCACCAAGGACTTGTGCTACTCTGTCCACTGTTCCGGCACCCTTCCTTCCCTTATCCCTACTATCAACACTGAGGCCTAGCATAGTCCCAGGACCAGCTCAGCTCACCTATCATTATCGCCCCTTAGTCTGCGTACAATATCAACACATGCATTCATACGCTCGTCTACCGTACATCTCGACAACTGCAGTACTTCTTGCATCAACAATCTGATGAAATATCATCTCCTCGTAAAGGTACCACCGAATAGAGCCACCTGTCCTTCCGCATTTCCTCAGTGAGCCCCGTCAATGCACAGAATTCCGGTATCATAAAAACTTGTTCACTCTTCCTCTCCCCATAGCACTCCAGCATCGGCTGTTCCGTATTCATCACCACCAAATTATACCATTTTCGCATAAACTACGACACGACGAATTAAGACCTTCAACACGGCCTCTATCGCTTACATCAACGAAAGATATGTGGCTGACCTTGCCCGTCTTCTTGTCCTTGTATGGGAAGGTTGAGGTTGGACTCATATCGAATCTACTCAGCATCATCACTCGTCGTTATGAAGATGTCTTCCTAGCCTACCTCACACACTTCACCCTATACATCCTCCTATTATGAAGGGCAAGTATAATAGCATTCTCACATCTGCGATTCCACTCAGCTCCTGAACAGAAACAACGACCAACACTGTTATCGGCTAATAACATTACGAAGGTACTCAAGAGAGGTATCATAACTATACTGCAGACGACAGGAACTCTCCGGATGAGAGCCCGCGATCAGTCCTCTTCCCACGACCGTTTTAAAGTGCTTGAAAATTCCTAGTTATCGAGCCGTTGCAGACCAGTGTTAGAATATATGCTCGCTTTCCCCAGCTGAGCTCAGAAGTTTCCTAATCTTCTACTTGTATAGTTGCTGAGTCAGCAACTATACAAGTTTGCTTACAAATCCCGCTAGGAGTGGACAGAAAGCAATCCACACAAATGCTGACAGCACTCACCTGAGTCGATCGTAGCCACTTCAACACCCGAACTGGCCAGACTGCCTCTCTCCGAATCTACTCCCATTCGATCCTACAACACGAACGGTACCACTCCAATAAGCATGTCCCCTTAAAGATGACCTCAGCTGCATGCCTCGACACAGCCTGTAGCATCGTCTCGTGTTCTAGTATGCTGGTTATAGTAGTGAGAACGTCCTTACGATGGACAGCTCGATAGAGGACATCAATTCTCAGCTGATGCCCATATCCAGGCACGTTGCACACAGTACAGGAGAAGCCCGATACCACTTTACACTGAAATAAGAGAACATACCACCACGACCTACCAAGATGCCAAGAAACAACCGCACTGGAATAAACATCTTTATAGACAAGTGCACGGGACCCAATCAGTGAGGTATAACTAGGTTCGCCCTCGTCATCATATAGACCACCGAATCGAACCCATCGCGCACCAAGCAAGAAATACACAATGTTCCACTCCTGTACTACCGGGACTGGCATTCGGCCATTATCTTCATCGCCCTGTTGTTGTTGTTGTTGCCTATCAGCCGCCCTTGCTTCACCATCACTCCCTCCCCGACTTCTACTCCCAACTTTTCGTGTGTCGAAGTACATCACCGCGCCGCTCTTGCCAGACCCCAGAGGCTGCAGACCCGTGCCTGTATCAATGCAATCACTTATCACTTCACAGGCGATGTCATAGACCCAATCTCGTGTGGCAGGACCAACTTTTCAACCACTGCTCATATCAACATCAAACTTTGTACAGGAATTCACCAAACATGAGTCTATTGTGCATGGGCTTGATTTCAAAACGAACCTTGCTTGTGATTCCGATTGAAACCCACAATATTGGCCTCCCCGGAATGCCGACAGTTCACGACATCCTCACGTAATTCTACTCACATAAAAACACCAGTTCTCCCACGTAATTCAGTGAGGACTACTCACTGAATACCCTGTCCTCACCTGTGGTCATCATCTTTGATATCATCCTATACACTGCTCTCTCCCCGTTCTCCCGATCTGACATAACACAACCATACCACTCCATTGCCACTTCATCATCTCCTCACCCTTATAAGCAGTCTTGGCAGCTCTGAGACTAATAGTCATCGTCACCGGCTGTGTAAGGCAGTTCCTATCCGAGGCTTGACCAATTCGAGTGGATGCCTCGTGGTCCACCGCGACCAACGGCGTCGTGATCTGGCAGTAACCAACATCCCCCCAGAGTCTACCGATGATCAACTACCTTCACTGGAGAGTATAATATGTTACTCTCAATTACGTACGGCTTCAATTGCCCATCCACTTGCTGTAACAGATAATCCTCAATTTTCCTCATCGAAGTCCTGTCCAATCCCTGGACATCATCCGTATCTTACCAACATCAACCTAAGATACTACCGATAGACTTGGCACTGTAATAACATCATAAGCCTGGATCCCCTGTGTAGCAATAACCTCCGACCTGACTCCACAAACCCGAGTCCATCTATCAGCAATCTCATGGACCTACCTCAGTCCAAAAAAGTTAGCCATGAGGCGGACTTTACGTCCGTAGGTGCCAGAGGACGGCGCTGGAGGAAACAACCCCTCATCACACTGACCACCGTGCTGCTGCTGATGGTAATGATTATGATATGCGGGTGAGGCCGAGGAGGAAGAGGACATTGATCATGCAAGGACGCTATTGATGATGACAACCCTTAGCCAGGACCAGATAACATATCATGGCATGATTTTCACGCTATCATACTCTCATAAAACAAAAAAATCACAAATTCCAAATCACCAAAAATTCTCTGCTCCCTCCGTCCTTCTTACACACTATATCGGTCACCTATGTGATGAATGTGAGTGAACCCAACAGCAACCCCTTTCAGATGGAGAAATCTTACGACCCTATCATTGCTGATATCTAGCAATACCATTACGTTCTGAGAGGCTTCAACCCTAGCTTAGCCCGAAGTGCATTAGCCTCATCGATCCTGAACAACAACCTCATACCAAGACCATGCCCAGCGCAGCCAGCTGCTGCTGCTGCTGCTCACTCCTGCTGTTCCTCCGTCTCCTTCCCCTTCTTCTTCTTCTCTCGGTGATGATGATGATGACGGTGATGCTTGTGCTCCTCATCAGATGGTTTAGACCTGACCAAAAATCATCACCAACTACAGAAGCAAAATGAGAAAGCTGTGAGCAGTATTGAAATATACGTTCGTTTTCCTCAACTGAACCGGGGAGTTTTATCACTACTTTCAGAGGTTCATAAATTGTACAGAAGTCGCCGATATTGTCATATTGTCACCAACGCATGTAGTTGACTAGTAACCTCACCTCGACCGACTGTCCTCCTTCCGACCCTCCGAGCCTTCAGCTTCAACCGTGTTTCCCTGAGATACACCAATGACATTGACCTTGGGGGGACAAGCTGACCTCTGCCACTTCAATAGGCTCATCCGAAGGCTCCTCCTTAAGACCTTCAACAACCTCCGGCGGCCAGTTGAAGGGCTTCAATGCTTCCCTTTCTTCAAGGATCTGGACACTGCCAATGCCATACACCCGTCCAACGCCCTATCATGCGCTGATGTGGAGGAAATTCGGTATGACCTTCTATGCAGACCCATCCACTACTGATAGTGATGTAGTAGACACCCCCGACCCAACAAAGTTCAACAACAAAGTGTCTATTTTCTAGAGGCTTCCAACACGTATAAACTTCACAACCACCAACGCCGAGCCATAGCACGAACCACGACAAACTATGTCCTTACGAACTACTTCAAATTTTTCCTACTCCCCCTAAACCCTCAGAAGAAATTTTCGTTGTATAGTTTTTAAATTGTCTCCGATATAGTGCATGGAGCATGGCTACAGCATCAGTAGAGTCTGCATGGCAAGTCATACCAAATTTACCCCCAGAGGTAACTCCACCACTTTAAATAAAGAGTTATATAAACTCAGTCTGGTAGACCACCAAATTCATGAATATGAACGTTGACTATGGCGAATAAATACGATTGCACGAACCACCTCTACCAATATCCTTACATGACGTTGCGGAAGCTTCGGCAAGCCCAGTGTAATGATCTCATCCTCTGTTAGTAGAGTGTTCACCCACGTATCGAGATTGGATATTTCAAAACTGCCGTCAAGCTTCCGTACACTAACAGGAGCCATACCTCATATTAGCCAACGATGCCCATCTTACACTATTTGACGATAGTCCCACAGCACAGGCTCAAGCCAGTTATAGATCTCATCCGGCCGACCGATGTACCGGAGGTAGGTGCAGGCCAGTGCTCGGAGGTATCTTGCAATGGTACCCGTGGAGGTCCCCGGTTCGATCCCTGCTCACCGCAATTCTCCAGCATCATCCCCTGCACTCAAATCAATAAAGCTTTTTATAATTTCTTTCTCCGGTCCTATTTGCAGCAACTTCACCAGCAGACACAGGAAGGGGCTCGGTCGCTGTAGTGAACCATACACTGTTCCCACATACCTAACATACCACACCTTCCAATCTTCCAAACCAATTCACCCATCCCCTACTTCAACTCAGCCGCCTTGTCCAGTATAGTTTCCGCGTTAAGACCGAAGCACTCTTCTTTCCAATACCGTAACGAGTACACTCTATCTCTCACCTACTCCAACAATGACTACGACCATTGGACCTACTACTTACAATCTGTGATATGAGGAACTGTGGGTTGCCACCATGGGCTCCTGCTACTCCTTTATCAGTGAGGTTAGCCATAATGAGAAGTAACCCTACAAGCTACTACCAGAACCATGATGATCACTGCAATGCTAGAATATATCTTTTGTTTTCCTCACTAACTATAGGAGATTACATATGAATTCGGGTTGGGAATTTCCTAAATTTTCTCAGAATTTGCATATCATCACCAACAACACCTTTTACCCTGTACATACTTTCACACAACTACCACTCTCCAAAACGAAAGGACATAACAGCTACCAACAGCAACTTCCTAGACACTGCTCACCATCCTATGCTATATCCATCATTTATCCTCCTCACCTACCGTCCTGAATCACGACCAGCGTTACTGCCGCACCCCCCCCCCCCCCAGCATACCCCAACGTGTGCATCGGCATCCCCCTAGCCCTCTGTCGCAAGACCATGTCCATCGTAACTATAGCCGCCATGGATTCAATCAGCGGCGGGGCTCTAGGAAGTACACATGGATCATGCCTGGAAGCCAGAGAAAGCATTGAACTCAAACACCACATATCATCATCACCATCACCAACACTCACCTGCCCTTAACGGCTAGCGTCTGAGTATGCCCATCGAAGTCTGCGGTAACCTGCTCGACTCCTATAGATGACGCCGCTTTGATGCATACCCTACAAAGACACGATAATTACATTACAATGGTGTTTCACCCGTTTTACGTGAAATGGCGTAATACTCTGTGGAAAATCTGATATTCGGGTTATGCAGTAGTCGTGAAATATATTTTTCACTAGTGTTTTTCATATCACGGGTGAATCTCCAATAAACCATCACTATAACGCCTACTGTGACATGCGTGGAAAACGTTCATGAAGTGAGTATGACACTCTGCTACTCCGTTAGAAATACTTATCATATTCTACACTCGAATAGACGATTAAAACTTTCTCTTCAGCTCTTAGTTCGAAAATTCCATTATGTATCAGAATATGCATAATATACCCTCAAAAAATATCCGAAAAACGAAATATTTTTCGGGATTAAAAAGTCCAAAAAATATCTTTTCCCCCGAAAATGAGGTATTATGTTCGGGAACTTCCTATACAAAATTCCACGTTGATACGAGTAGTAGTTGAGAAGTTGAGGTTATGAAATTCACCCACGGCTTGGAGTAAAACTGTATAAAAATCAATCAGGAATTTCACAAGATCTCCTCATTGTCACCATCACGCGTAGTTCACTATGTACGTATTTCCCAACATCCGCTCATCTCCACGAACTTGTCATCTGTTTTCGAACCACTTGGGAACTTCGAATGGCCTCTACTTTTTCAATTTCTCTTGGCTATTTTCACTCTCCTCTTAAGTTTACTCTAAGAGCAATTAATCGTGTGATTTTCAAGCACATTCTAATCAACATATTTTCATCAGCATATACGTTGCATTCACATTCAAAACACATGTTCGTAACCAGCGCTCACCGGAAGTATATCGGCATGCCACTGGTAATCCCACCAAGGGTTCCACCATGGTTGTTGGTACGAGTGTGCAGGAGACCTTCCCCATCAACACCGCTTTCAAAAGGGTCATTGTTACGCGAACCTCGCAGAGTACGGCAACCGTCGAAGCCCGAGCCGATTTCGAACCTATAATACCAAATACCACACCCTCCTCATATCGAGCACATCGCGCTTGCACATTCCCTACGATTTGAAAACTATGAATATTACTGGACGAGAAGATATAGATATAAGTGAATAAAACGAAGAAATCTGGAATCAACAACAACGACAGTGAAAATCCAAGAATGACAAAACCCATTACCGATTCGAGAAAGTATGCACATAGTCAACTACTGTGTCGGTGCCGAAGTGAATATTTTGAGGAAATTTTTGTAATTTTTCGTTGGTTTTTGTCTACTCCTACCCCGATTCGTGTGCAGACTTTCATGATTATTAAGGAAACGCCTGAGCTCAGTATACTCCAATACTGCCCATCACCCTTTAGTAGCTGGTAGTGACATCATGCCCTTTGCCAACTCAGCCTCAAACTTATCCATACAAGGCTCCCCAAGGCCCACAGGACAGTGAGTAATACAGCATCCAATACTACCACCACAACTGTCGTTTGCCTGATCAACACCATAAATATCATCATCCTACTCCTACTCCACACATGACCAACCCTACTCCCTTCACTTGTAGTAGACGGGCAACCATCTGAGCTGCTGTCGGCCCATGCGGACAACGAATATAATGAGTATTGGTCAGAGTGAGGTCCCCAACTAGCACACCTCCTCCTATTATAGGGTTACCACTAATCCCATCATAAACATTGTCCTGATGATCTATAAGGTAAACCTCATCCTCCAAAGCGGCCTGGCGGATGATACCTGATTAATCAACTACGTCCAGTCTTCACTATTCTCCGACTCTAGTGCTAGTGAAACCTCCATTACTACTATATTGAGCCCTGATAGACTACTAATTACTTCAAATATAAAAACTTACTCCAGCCCTCTCATATATCTACTTTATGCAAACATCCATAAAACATGTGTATAGTATCCATAGTATAGACAAAATCAAATTTTCTAATCCGTTTTTATTCAACGCATATACGATGCCAGTATATTCCAACGGATCACCACACAAGGAGTGACCCTACACGATCATATGCATAATATTCTTGTATGCAGTATAATCGTTGGTGATCATACTACATAAACATAATACCACTATCGCCCAGCAAATCACTATACAGAAAATGACACCACACTTTTCGCTCGCCCCACGATTATATTCATATTCTTATGTGAAGTATTCACAGTATCAATGATAGGGAACTCTACTACATATACACAATAGCACTATCACCCAAGGACACTACACTTTTCAGTCGCCCCACGAGTATGTTCACAAACCCACACGTGCAGTTTACCCTACCAAATGCATCCACTTCTTCCCTAGTCGGTGGTCTCGACTTGAACCCATCTCGGATATCCTCAGGCAACCTTATCTCCATTATAGAGTCAACCCAAGCCACCACAGCACAGCCAAACTCCTTGTACAAGTACTTCTCAGCAATCGCACCTAACACAAGGCATCCATCAAGAAACACACAAGGCTGGAGGTTCACCAGCAGCAACCCTTCCTATAGTCTCCCGAGCCGAAGCCCGACCTCCACCACTGCTCGCTTTAATTCCATATTTAACCTAAGAGAAAGAAAACCATTTTTAACCATTTTTCTGTCTATTCTAAAACGTATTCGAATTCAAACCATACCGACACTACAATCTCAAATTGGCATGTACTACACCTTTGAGATGAAGAAATTAAGTTGCGGGTTCAATTCCTGGCACGGACTTTTTTCACGCATTTTCTGCTTGCTAACAGTCAAAGCGCGCAGTGATTTCAGCCAATACACGATACAGGATGATAGTAAGAATATTCCCATTCCTTTGCAGAGTACATGGACTACACTCATACGAATAGTATATGTCTCAAGACCTCAACTGGTGCAGTGACGAAGTAATAATTCGAACGAACGCTCCGAAAATGTGCTACGTGACAGACCATTCTCCGCTCGCTTCGCAACTCTTAATATCCGCATAACACAGTGTGTCATAAGTATGCTATGCTGGTGTGTTAAACACAGCAGTACACACCTCCGGCAGCCGCCTACCTGATAGGTGTAGTCAGCATGACCTGGTCGTGGTATAAGAGTAGTATTGGCGTAATCGAACTTCCTCTGGTCCTTATTCTTAACCATCATAGCCACCGGTGTCCCCAACGTAACGCCGTTCTCTGTACCCGACATGATGGTAACTTGATCAGCCTCCGATCGAGCTGTGGTCAATGTGCTGACATGAAACATATCTTATTACGATCGACCTCAAGATTCACCATCAACGACGCCCTATCAGATCAATCTCACTGATGTCCTCTGTAAAAAACTACAAAAACCATCAGTGATGGTTCTCTCAGCGTTTATATCACATAAAGGAAAAAGTGTGTCAAAAATTCCGACGATTCTATATGTACAATAACCACCTCTGTCCCGGCCGACGTCTATCCAATTGCGGTTGTACATCCTCCTCCGTTAACTCCAAACCCGGAGGTACACCATCTACCACGCAGCCCACAGTGAGGCCGTGGGATTCACCCCACGTTGACACACGGAAGGTATGACCAAAAATCGACATGGGCCGCTGAGAAGCGTAAAACTATTCAACAGCATACTCATACGCTCAACTCGAACATAAGCAATTCTCGAATGAATTTTGCACCAATGGTAGTAGAAGGAAAACACTAACGTAATGGACAGTTACGGATGAATGCGGAAGACGGTCAAGCTAGATGCATGCAGCAGGCAACTTAGGTAATGTTGGACTCGAAAAATTGATAAAACCGTTGGGCATATGTCTCTGGTGGGGCACACGATACGCCTCCCGAAGGATACCTGCGCAAACAGGTATCAATGAGATCAAAGTAAAGAAATCACTCGTGTATAAAACTCCCACAGCATTCCCATATCGTAATTCAATAAGTTCATTGCTACGAAAACTCCAACCACGAAAATAATAATAACCAAAAACCGCAGTGTCGATTTCCCATACGCGAAGCCGCTGAGCATTTCTAATGCTGACTGAGATTCCAGCCAGCCTTACAAAGTAAAACCCAAAAAAGATGATGGAAGTCAGAGAGAGCACATATGTACAGTGCGAACGAAATCGTTATTCAAATCGCCTTTGCTGAGATAATTAGCTCAATCATGAGAGTTCGTCAATAAAATCTGAGAGCGACCACCATGACGACAGCAGAATTCGATCAACAACGTTTCACAACCACTGTGATATGATTTTACCCACGAACTTGTGGAAAAGTATGCAGACGATCACTACATGTGCTAGTAAAAATACGAAAATGCTGCGGAAATTTTGGGGAATTCTTGTTGGTTTCTGTACACATCTCCTCCAAATCATAAGAAGCTTCTATAATTGATGAATAAACTCAATTGAGGAAAGCGACCATATATTCCAACACTGTTGTCAACATTGCATAAGACTACGACCTAGTGCCCAAGTACCCCGACTCACCTTATGGCCTTCAACAGCCTCTCAGCCTTCTTCTTAGTGTCATACTCGGTGAGAATATCAATCATACCGAGGAAGTACTTACAACTACCATCAACTGCGTCGAATACAGTAGAACTTCGATACCTATGATTAATAGCAGCTGCACGCATGCACAAAAGATTCACTTCATGCCCACTTTCGTCCCTGCGCGAGTCGGGTCTCCCCATCAAGTCCGTTGCCTCCAGTATTCTGACGCTTTACGGACATCTCCGCTGAACTGAGTGACCAAACTCCGTCACGCGCCACGAAATTCCATCCATCAGCCCTCACCTGTTCTCATGAATTCCCAAGAGCATTGAGTAGTCGATAATATTGTGGCGCGCGAAAAATTCACAATCTCGGCGAATCTGGTCCAATAAGGCAGCCCGTGAGGTCTCGCCAATCCTTATCTTCAGCCCGAGGCTCTCAAAATCCGTATCCTGAACGAGAAGAAAAATGTCCATACCGTAACTCCGTCAAATCTACCTTCAATGCAACACTCTTATCAAAGCCTGGTTGATCGAATCCCTCGGTCGACCGACCGATCCAACTTCCCTTCAAATCAAAACGCCGGTGCATTTCTGATCACCAACAGCACTAACATAAGCTACCCTCATACCGAGCCCGAACCCACCAACATTAGCGTTGAACATATTCCCCATCACCACGAAATACATCTTCGAATGACGCTCGTTACTCTGCCCGCCCGTGAACTCATTCGCGTGCTTGAGTCGTAAACCTGACGCCGTTTGGTGACTCGTACCAAGTGTCACACCGATATACCATGCAGACCGAAGAAACGGCAGATAAGACTGGTCCCAGCATGCTGCGATATATGGGAATAATAATCAGGCAGCATTCGCTTGAGTAACTTCTTCTCTCGAGCCGAAACAGTCTTCAACAAAAACTGACCATCTGAATGAACACAGGCCTCATAAAAACCCGAGTGCTTCCGCACCATCACCAAAAACTACGCTGTAGAATGATGGATGTCCTAGTAGGAGCTCAACCCCACGACTTCCTTCATCGTATCAACCATCCTTGTGAAACCCTCTACAACGTTTTACCGTGCGTAATTAGTAACCAGATCACGAACGATTTAAAGAGAGAAGCCCCACTAACACCCACCCGAAGTGTAATAGAAGAACGCGCCTGACTTCCCCTCGGTCGAGAGCTCCGCCAAACTTGATAGGTTTCCCAGCAGCATATTGCCTAAATCAGCAGCAACCCGCCTCAGCACTCGTTTGCCCATCCTTCTACCAAGCAACTGCTCAGGCCCAACACTCCGAAGGTACTCCTCATCCGTTATACCCGATAGCTGACGTAGGGACTTGAAAACATACGGCGCATAGTCTATAAACCTCGTTATTGTAACCTGAATTCACTCCCTACCACTACCATCTCATTTTCGGGCGCGCGCTACTTACCTTGTCAGAAACTTTGCTGTCAAATATGTTCGCAACTCTGGGCACAATAGAGAATTTATCCTTCATTAGAAAGTCCGCATCCAACACCGGACGATCAACTTCTTGAGCAAGGCGACCTACCGATATCCGGAGCCCGATCATCATGTTCAACACCTAAGACACATGGAAGTGCCCCCACCTCCCTTTTAGCGGTGTACTCCCGACCATGTTCCAATCCTCGTGACCAAAATGAACAGCTAGTCCTTTCTTAGGTCCCAATAGCCGCCGTACACGGCTAGCCTTATGGTCTAAATCATCAACATAGTCATACCACACCAAACCCTATTCCTATCCTACCCAATCGTCTCCTACTACTCTGTGGGGGCGTCGAATGAGCGTCAACCTAAGGAAAACACCGTAACTCAAAAGACATCACTACTACTACAACTGCTGCTACTACTACTACTACATCGATTCCTTCAATCGAACGATACGGATCGATGCTGCTCCCACGCCGCAAACTGTAGTGGTGCCCCGAGTCGTGCTCCGGGCCATCCCCACCTGAACATTAGCTTCTCATAAGCGACTTCGAATGATGAGCATTTCCCTCGTACTATACTACTGGACATTCAAACACTATAAAGGCAACCCATTCCTTTTCCACCACTGACGAAATATTACTCCTCAACTTTTCGTGTGATCGAAAGCGGGGAAGTTGCTACCACGAAGAGCATGCGAAGAGCTTTTGATAGGGGATCATCATAGTATAAGCCCACATCGAATTTCAACTCGTAACTCCAGTGTACTCTCTACTATCAGCAGCAGCAGCAGTGTTTGAATAAACGATCGTATTCCTCAGCTGAGTCCAGAAGTTTCCTCACTACTTATTGAAGTTTACATACATACCATTCCGGGTAGAAACGAACAGAAGCCAATGAAAATTCCTCGAATGTCACCTACGCACGTAGTTAAGCATGTGCATATCTTCCCACACCGGTCAGAGGACATCCACCAGGCATCAATAAAGTTGCAGTTTACCTACCCCCATCATACTACCAGGCGCCGCAACATTCATGCTGGCCATAGAACGGAAAAATCCATAGTCCGGCACCCTGAGCTTAGTATCACTCGGCGTATTGGGGATATCCATACCCAACTCCCCCTTAGCCCGCGGGCTCGCTGATCTGATCAATCCCTCTAGTCAATCTTCACACCCACGCACTACTACCCTTCCGAATGAACCGAGGCGTCCACTGCCAAGCCACTACCATCTATAATATTCAACAAGTGGGCCACTCTAGCGGACACATCCACTATTCTAGGCTGACTAGGACCAGAGGATGCTACTGTCACCCGAGCCACTGGCCGATGAATAGTGAGCTCCTCCTCATCAGGGATGTCCATCAATTCAACATCATCGATGCTTGTACCACGAGCGTCGTTCGGGTGGACACAACACCATAGTAGAGAAGCCCTAGAGGGCTCAGGCATGAGTTGGGACGCCGATACACCGCCCTTTACGTCCAATACCGACAATTCCGGCACATCCGTTTGGACCTACATCACACACACTCACTCACTTAGTGATCCCTCCGGTATATATAAGCATAGCGCGATGCGCACACACAAGCCTCGCGTTACGAGAATCCAATTTAACCCGAATTATTCAAGATCAACAATGCGAGTCGTCACTTAGTCTTAACGTTTCCACAATCTACCACCCTCATCAACATTCACAACCGAACCGACACAGAGGAGGTAACCTACAGCATCATCATCAACTCCCAACGCCCCCTGTCCTCCCATATATGCGGCGAGGATATCCCTCAATTCCCTCAACTCCTTCCGGAGCTCCAAACGAGTCTCATTTGATATCGGCTTGTCCGCTGATATCGACTGGGTTGATGCATTTCTAACAAGGAACTCCTCCCCTTTATTAACCTCCAACTTTCCTTACCGTCGCATAACCACTTTGGTATCACTACCACTTCTGAGCCCACGAGAAGCACCCACAGCGTTGTGGCTATAGGATGGAGTCGTGCTAGGCAGGAGCCCCAGCATTTGCAGGAAGTCCATATTGTTTTGAATACCTTCCTGATCACCTTACCATACCACTCCTCCGCCACATCACACGAAGACTACCTTATAATCCTCCTCCGTCATCACTCTAACCCCGTCCTCGCTCATCCCAGAGGCCAGCTCAGTGAACAACCTGAGGCCAATGATCGTACCATAAAAGCCCCGAGTTTTCACATTCCCATTCCCTCGTAAAATCTTCTATTCCAAGTACATACCACAAACCCATCAATCCCCATGCCGCACCTACCGTCTTATACGCCTCTCACTGACCAGCCGCCTCTCCTCTCTAGTCTCCTCCTTTTCAAACAGGTTCGTCACAGAGTGGCACGCCATTATCATGTCCCTACCATAAATCCCCCACATCAGCCTCACACCTACCCCACAGCTCACCTAAACTCGTTGTAGGTAAGTCCACCATGACCCCCAACGTCCGCCATACGGAAGCTCAAGCTCAGCTTCTCATAGTCGGTGCCTACAACCACCATCTACTACATCACATCTCTTTGGAGTATATATTCGCTTTCCTCAGCTGAGCTCAGTAGTTCCCCCAAACTTTGAAAAATTACATACAAATTCGTGTAGAAACATACAGAAACCAATGATAAACTTCCAAAATTCCCAACTTCGACACCAACACACGTAGTTGACTCTGTGCATATCCTCCAGGCCCCTCACTCCTACTCAAACTAGCCGAACCTCCTCAATTCTATTGACCGCCCTAATTCCCGACAGACCACGCGCTTAGGAGTATATAACCATATGAGATGTGTTCCTGTATTTTTTCACGACGATTTCCGCGATCCCTTGCCTTGACAAGCGCGATTGCCTACCTCTAAGCATAACAGCAAGACTGTTGACGAACTCCTTGAACGTGAGTGTCCCATCGCCGTCGGTATCAAATGCTGCGAACATCCGTAGAGGGATGAAGCTGCTCGAACCCAACCCTAGTATCTAATAATGTGAATCTACACCACAACACAAGCCACGGTCGAGCCTCGGCCATGATGCATTGTTCCCTACTATTACCCCCAACGTATTACGAAAGTCCTCCTCCATCATGCGCCCACTTGGAGCCACCTTGAGAAACCTGATATACTATCAGTCTTCCTATCAGCTTGCTTGAATCACCACTCACCTGTCATACAGGGCCTCCACCTCTTGTTGAGTCAACTTAGTCTCTTCTGCCAGGCTAGCGACGGTTGTCTTCGGTAATCGTCTCGGCGCTGAGACCCTCTGCGGCTCCCCGACTAAGTGCGGCCTTTATAACAGACGATATAGCCGAGGAGTGGTACCATTCTGCAAGCCGCAAGTGCAAAATGACATCCTCCTTCTCGTCGCCTGTCACCAGACTATGACCAATGGAGAGTAATAATAAGGACAGGCGAACGCCCCAAAGAGGTAAGCATCAACGACTCGAATAACACGATACCATAGTAGATGAGAGAGTGGCCCATTGCCATTTCATGCAGCACTACGAATAAGATAATGACTGTAGTAGTAGTAGGAGCATACCCTCCTGCCATAAGACTAGCGATGAATCTCCAACAACAGAAGGAGTTGTGAATTGAAAGAGTGATGAATGCATACGTCCTAATCCAGGTACCTAACACACCTTCCATTCACACCATCCTCGAGCTGACCAACAAGGTACGACCCTGCTTACTGTTGAGGCATGGCGCTCCGTAGCTCCTCCTCGCTCACCTTGCCCATCATTGCTGCTACTGGGCTGGCATCAGGACTAGAACCTCCAACCTAAAACGAGGAAGGACGGGAAGCCCACGGACAGGAGTGCTTGCTACGGCCGTGGAGCCCATATAAAAACTATGCCGGTCGGCAGCATTGCCATAGCATGCGAATCTCATGTGCTGTTGAGGACTAGCGACTGCAGTTGTAGCATAAGCACCAGGGATTGGTGTGGCTCCATAAGGTGCTAAAAACAAACAATATAGCCCAACGGTTAGTATGACCACCTCTCTTTCAAGTAACTCAAGTTCGATCCCTGCACCCGCCCCATTACTACCAAAATGCCCAGTGCATGTTGCATGTGGAAGTCCAGGCGTATGAACAAACTGCATCCCTGCATGTTGGCTCAAGGGTGTTGATGTAAAGAATCCCGCGGGCATATACACTCCATCACCACCAGTGTGATGATGAGGAGGAGAAGGACAACTCTCCACCGGCACCACTCCACCTAAAGCCAACCTCCTTCACCAACCGCTCGATGGCCCCCCTACAACAACCCTGTTGCCGAGTATAGTCCATCGGCAGGCCAGGGGTATAAGCCTGCCATTCCCTAGGGTGTAGCCCAGGAGACCCATACACTACCCCCGAGCAGCAGGCCCCTTGACATGCTGTTGCCATCGTGTCTTCACCTATCTACGATCTTCCCCTCACCAAAAACCCCTCCACCCTACTGTATGCACTCCCTCGCTTATCAACCCCTTGCTGTAGATAAGGCACGTATTGGCCTCCCATTCCATAGCCACTATATTCATAAGGATGAGCGCTGCCTGCCGTAGTAGGTGCCGGTGTGAACACACTAGAGTGGTTCAATGCATTGCCTTGTTGCCGAGGGTCGTATCTAACTCCACCCTTCCCATTTCCACACCATCTCACTCCTTACACCAGACGGAAGACTACCGTGTAGAGCCCACTGTACGGCTGCGACACAGGACTGGCCATCGAACTCATACCACTGGGAGAAGCTACCAATGGTACGTCAACGTCATTATGATGGTGATGACCAGAGCTCCTGAAACACACACCCCACGTCCCTCCATTCCCAAGATAGGAATAGTCAACTATCCACCCGACTCTCGTAAGTGCCGAGCGTCTGGACCTCACCTCTCAGGAGTGCCGCTGTTCTCTGAGGATGTCGGCCATACTGCGGCCGGCCAAGCCTCGTCGCCTCTCTCCTACCAACAAGGACCCTCATTCGCAATCACCCCTTGCCAAGCATCTCACAACATTGTGGTCTCCCATGTACATCTCGGGTGTCCTCCCATCCACCTTATACATGGCCGACTCGACAGAGGGGCACGACATGATAGCGATGGGAAACAGCTGTAGTTGATGCAATCCATTTACCGCACTGAACTCATCACGCTCCGTTGCAGAAATGTATAACGCATAAGTACGGTGGCAATTACGGTCGAATTCACTGACACTCTCATTCCACAACGTCCATGACAGGATCGAAGGCCGTCTCCTCCTCATCAATATCCTCAGTACTGGCTTGGCTAAGATAATAAGTAACGTGTGGTGCGGTAGGGACAACCGCTCCATACATGGTGACGTGCCGACACGCTAAAGACCAAAATGTCACCGCAAGCAACATCCACACCGCTGTGAACAACAAGGCCACTGACCAACTCTTGGACCAGTCCGCTATTGCACCTGGAAGACTAATAATAGAGGGAGACTACAAAGACTATACATACCAATAATCACTGGACTGGGGAAATCGCCAATAAGGTGGCTTACTCCAATCGATATAGCTAGGCCCTGGCTCCGGACGTCCTCAGGAACGGTGCTCATTAGCCTGAGCAACGACTCCGATACCGCTATCTCCATTACCACTACCCAACATTGCTCGGTGCTGTAGTCGCAAATGATGCCAACAGAGCGACTGACATCATAAAAAGGAAGGCCCAGGTCGACTTGGCCGTTGCTGTCAAAGCAATCGATAGTGCCTGCTGATACCACCATGCACTGCTGAGAACAACTCCAACTACCCCTATAGCGCTCATCACGGAGGATATCTTAGACCCACTCCTGGCTCGAGTAGTTGCACTTGGATCCTTTCCAGCTACTTTATCACTGAGCCAACCGCCAAAATACGTCCCCACTACCCCTACACAATGACATCCCCTATCTCCGCTATACCGAGGGCCTACCTGTGAATACAGTAGCAAGGCCCAGCCCCAGTGTGGCAACAGCCTGGCTGGCTTGGAGAGACTCCCGCAGTATCGTGGGGCCGTGCACTGCCAGACCACCAGCTACGAAGTTGAAGGCAGCAGATCCGAGGCAAATGAGTACAAACGGCCTCGACTGAGGAAAGTAACCTTCACGCGCCACAAAATAGGCAGCTGTCACTACCATGAGGACTTGCTTGATGTCACCAATAAGGCTCGTAGTCGAAGCATTGAGCTCCGTATACTGGTGAGCATTCGTCGAAAACCTCCACTGCCATCTCACACACAGTACTATTACTGGTATCATCAAACATGCCTGACAGGTCGACTGATTATACTCATCGACGCTCCAAGTATCACCTCAACAAGGAAGATGGTCTTACCACCCGCCCAGGAAGTTACCCCAGATGTCACTATATTACCAAGAGCAATTCCAACGTATATCGACATGAAAAAGAACCCTGATACCACAAAGCGTCAACAATATGCACTCATCCACATCAGGGTTACCGAGATAAGACGACTTCCGTCCAGCAGGAGAGGCATCGTCGATCACTACTGGTGCCAGAGAGCAAAACGCAGCTTCACCAACACCTAACGGCTCATTCACTAACCTAAACTGGTGAGAGCTCACCTGTGAGAAGTCTACACCATAGTAGTGCATTATAACTATTCCCAACGAACAAGTACGTTGATGCGCAGGAGGCCGTCCAGACTATCAAACCTGTTGGCACCACTATCCCCCTTCATAGAAAGGACCCTACCTATGGCTATGGACCGAGCCGTCCAACAAGGGCCTCTCCTAGAGAGTCGGGCGAATATAGGAGATGCGATAGTGTATCTAGGTACATAAGGCATAAGGATTGACTTACCACTGATCATGGTAGTACCCGAACATGAACACTGAACCAAGCCAGCCTGCTGCGGCTGAGCTCAAGGGTAGAGAGTCTTCTTTGTGAACTGACTCTTTTATATGGGGAAGCAGGCCTATCCTAAATACCCTAGTACACGCAGGTTCGACCCTGAGTCGGGGTATACTACCAGCGAGGACTCCTCGGTCCATGTACACCAGTAGCTCACAGGCTATGAAAAAGAATAGCTGTGTACGGGGAGAGAGCCGCCTTGGGGGCTCGGGCTCATTAGAGCCTCTCGCCGAAGATGATGCCATGCGAGTGACCTATTCCTCAAAGCACAGTGCATCATGAGCCTTGTTGCTCAGAACGGAAAAGTCGAGGAAATACAAGATGTGCAAGATCGACACAATATTTGATTTCACTCCTACACTAGAAATGTTTATCACTCTGGTATCCAATGAAGTCACCCTCTTCTTACGAACCACAACACCTGTCCCTCTCATCCCACTACAAAAACTACGGCACGCCCTTTGGAACCCTTCCTAGTTGCATCGTGTATCTTTCGACCCTTGATCGTGTTCCTTCACCTCTACTTTCCACACGATGTCAACAGCTTTGAGAGGCACACACCAACAGCATAACAACACGTTGGATCAGCACTTCTACTGTGAGAACACACCCCCTATCCCTGACTTGAGCACAACAGACAGGCAACGCCCGAGGCTGTACTAACATCCTCACAAGTAGAGCCTTGGCCTTCGATGGCCCATGCATGCACATCTTCTGTAAAGCACACGGTGAAGCCCTATACCGCTCGATGGGAGAATGCCCCTCTTGTGGACAGGGCAATGCTCGGGTACTGATACTTGCACCATCCCGTGCCGGACACTCTTCCCTTCGTGAGGTCCGACTGGTTAGTCTCCAAGGAGGACCTCAACCACAGCGAGACGACTCCAACTTGAATTTGCAATCAGTGGGGACCATCACGAGTCCGTATCGAGGCTGATCTCCCTTTCTAACAACTCAGTCTGGTTTGATCGGGGCGAGCCCCAGTGAGATTATTGAAGCCTGGGAGAGTTACCTCAGATTTCAACTAAACCAGAAGCTCGTTACAGGCCAGAAAACTATGGTCAAGAAAGAGAGTAATCGCATGGCTGTGGTGCCACGCTCAGTTGAAACCGCGATCGTGTTCCATCGCATACAACAGGACATTCAGAAAAAATTTGGTATGAAGATTAGTGTTGGGATATGTGTTCGCTTTCCTCAGCTGAGCTCGGTAGTTTCCTCACTGGTCATGGGAGTTTATGCATGAACTCGGGTGGAAGTGGTCAGAAACCAACAAGAATTTCGCAAAATTCCCTCTAAATTTTCATATTGTCACCGACACACGTAGTTGACCATGTGCACATCTCCCACACTGATAAAAATCGTTCATATAAGTGTACCAAAGTGTAACCGACATTTTGTGCTGCATTCAGTGGGGTATCACAAATCTGTTTTTTCTGGCAGTTGTTCGAGAGAAGCTGCGAGCTATGAAGTCACGGTATCCTGAGGTGAATGGATATTCACATCGTATCGCCGCCGAGATTCGCTCACAGATCGCACAACACGCCCAACTAAAGCTGCGGTATGAAGATCTTCTCAAGGTGTATATGGAGACACGGGCAGAATATAGAGACACATTAGACAGGTAAGGCCTCCATGCTATCGAGCTGAACGATTGATGTGCATTCGAGACTCTTGCCGATTATGTGGGCGTTATGGTGTCTCAGAATCGCAGCAGCAAAGACCAGGGTCGCCCAAGTGAATGAACTACAAGATGTGATGGAGGGCATTTGTCGGCAGTCCGAGATCACCACTCGTGCTAGCAGCACACCGCAGGTAAGTCAAATTGTCCCAATCCCGGTCCCCGATTTGTCTATAGTTGTTCCTCCAGACGATATCAAGAACAGCAATTAGCAGTGGGGGCATCTCGGGCTTTCGAGGTGTCTCTGGCGCGCCAATCTCAGTTACTGGGAAGCGCCGAGCTCCTTTCATGTGATTTCCATCTGGCCCCGAGTGCTCTAGTGTTTGATAGTGGAGCTCTAGGTAGGATTAAGGACCCCTTATACGCCTATACAATAGAGTACAGCTTCCAGGAGTACCGATCTATAGTTTGCCAGTCTAGGGTGTCCGAGATATATAGCGCCAGAATCCTCCGAGGGTCGTAGTCCGCCCTCTCTGGGATAATACAATATGGTCAGTTGCGTGGTTAGAAATCGTAAGGAGAGTTTAGGTCCGTTAATAGACATTATTTGCTTATCATCTCAGTACATACGCCTAGATGTGATTCGCACCGCGTAAAACTTGTTCTAAACTAATAGTGCAGGCTAGTGTTGAATCCCTAACGGTTCGCCCTAACTCGAGAAACGCAATTGCGACTGTTAAAACTAATCCTTCAAATGTAACTGCGAACTTCTCCGCCAGTGTGCCGACAAGCTTGTCGTATTCTGACACCAATCACCGGAGGGATATACCGACAAGATCCTCCTGTAAAGTTCTCCTCGCACATGCACTCTTCAGCGTCGTGTGACACTAGTCAAAAATTTTCCGTGTAGTACAGAGCCTGTACGCCCTCTAGAAGACTTTCTCAGCTTGTCCACAACCGTCGGTCGGCTTGTTTGACTACTCTCGCAACCACCGACATATTATGGGCGATCTCAGGCAGTCTATCCTCAGTAGACACGTGCAAATTCTACGCATAACGAAGGTCATCTGACCAATCTCGCCTACACCTTCCACGATAGCATCCTTTCGACTAGATCGGAAATGATTCTCCTGTCAAGCTAAGCATCGAAAGGAATACACACGTCTTCCCCAAGCTAGGCATCGCGGAGTCTGCAACGTATGGCGTTCTAATTCTCTACTAACCTGAATTTGTACGCCAGAATTCATACTATAGCCAAGCTGATGGCACAGGAACTATACGGTCAACCCGCTACTATACGAATACACGCAGCAACTCACAAATGATTGAATAACTAAATCCTTCAAATGAATGAAACTACTCTGTTTTAGATACAGCATTAAGTATGCTTACTAAGCGGCGAGCAGCTCTGTCAAGTAGAACCAATGCATCAACCGCTGGGTAGTGAATGAAAAGTCGATCCTTTTCACTTTACAACTTCTCCATGATGTTGGAGGACCTCGAGCACGAGAGACCAGTTCCATCGGGCTCGACCTCTAGATCAGTGATCTTGCCATTATCGACGATAGCGGCGAACCTCTTAGTGCGGATGGGTCCGAGGACATCAGTAGCATCGAAGTTGGTACCAAGAGCCTGACATCAACACTCCATAATACCCTCGTTGAAAGAAGACTAAACCATATGTCCTACCTTGGCAGCCTCGCCATCGACATCGGATAGCATGCGGACCTTTCCGTCAGCACCCTTGATCTTTCCCCAAGCTTGCATCACAAAGGGATCATTCACAGCCATACAAGCAACAGTCTTAACACCCTTCTGCTGGAGCTTGTCATAATCACGAATGAAACTGAAAGTAGACAGTTCTCAACAATGTACCATCACACGAGTTACACACGGGACGCACGGCTGCTGCTGCTCTCAGAGAGAAGATTACAAGTCATGAGCATCCATTGTCGGTTCTGCTTCAGAATCCGATGAAGTGGAACGAGATATTCATTTTAACATCACAGAGCAGCACTCCTCTTCAACACCTCAAAAGTTTAGACAACTATCGAACACGCTCCTTACCCAGGCAAGTGAGATTGGTCACAGGTTGGAGTGAATGCGCCGGGAACTCCAAAGAGGATTCCCTTGTCGTTACCGAAAATATCGCGAAGCGACTTGGTGTCACCTGAGGAAGACATGAATAACAAGGAGGACACCTACGCCATACACCGAGCTTACCAGGGTCAGCCTCCCTCACAGTCACATTGGGCAGGGCATCGCCGACAGCAACGGAAAAGCACCTAGCGGCCATCATACGGCTGGCAGGGGCAACAGCAGCAGACACGGATCCAGTAGCAATACGGGAGAGCATTATCGAACTTGTGAAAAATCTAAGAGCAGCACCCACATGGTTACGCACTAGCATCACCAAGAAGCGGTAAATTAATGAATTACAACCCTAATTAGCAACACTGCATTTTTCGCTACGCCCCCGAGATCGATGGGACATCAAAGATACGACTTTTGTGTGCACTAGAAGGATACTTGGCGAATACCTTGTCTTCGACTGATCAGAACGCTTCGTTGCTGTTCATCATTCTGTATGGATGGCAGAGCGGGAGCGAGATCCACTCTTTCTGTTTGACTTGTCAGAGTGTTATGTTCCTATACGCGCCGCGTATGACGCGGAACGCTCACCCCCTCCCCCCTTGAACTGGAATATGGACGAGAAATGGCAGAGGATTTGATGGCGAGAGAACAGACAAACAGGAAAGACATGATGGAGGCCGCAACCAAGCGCTGCCCAGGTCGGAGATACATGATCAAGCCAATATTGCCGTCGTTGTCGAATCAACACAGCGATTGTCACTGACAATTTTTCATAACGAGTTTCAGCTCGGGCCACTTCTCGGGACTTGAGCCGCAGTACGATCATCGCAATTGAGTTAACTCTATTCACCGTGGATCACTAGAGAAGACCTCAACTCTGCTGACTAACACGACGCCATTCGAGAATCGAGGACAGTATTGTTGTAAATACAGCGGTTGATTATGAGACGTTGTACAAATACATACAGCAGCGTATACACCACCAAATACAGGCAAGAGGAGAAGGAGTGAAACTCTACCAGAAACTTCCTCCACTGCAGCTGCCACTAGAGCCTGATGCCCTAATTCCTCCTGCGAGCCAGATACGCAACCCCAAGGCCGCACAGAGTGGCGATCTGACAAGGGAAAGATCTAATCGGTCAGATTCACTGAACTTACCCCGACAACGGTTGTGGTCTCCAACACTATCTGCCTCCTCCGAACCCGTTCGCATTGAGCTCTATGGGCCTCTAGCTGTGAGCTGAGATCCTTGATAAGGAAGTGGCCTACTCCTTCACCAGGCATCCTATACCTACCCAAACAACGACTCTATTCCATCACCACCGACCAGCGAGTTGAAGTTAGCTCACCCGAACTTCCTGTAGTAGTTCCGGACGCCCACACCTGAGATGACTGCGATCTTGGAGTATCCTCGCTCGACCGCCATGCGCTCAGCTTCAGCCAATAATCTTCTGCCCAGGCCTGCTCATGGTACAAATGGGGCGAAGAGGACCTTCGTCTCTGCAGCCTACCTGTGTGCTGCACTGGAGCTACATCCGTTCCCCCTGCTGCCGATGATAAGTGACTGGATGAGTGCAACGATGTAGCGTTGGAGATCTGTTGGATTGATGGTCAAAAGAATAAGACATCCTCGTACCTGGCTCATTGCTCTATCAGCCTTATGCTGGCGAACAGCTTGTACTGTGCCGTAAACATGAAGCTCGCGAATCAGAGCACAGCCGCTGAGCTCCGGGAAGACCCTGGCAGTCCAACAATAGGCGATAACACCGTGAGATCCACTTCACCCACTTATGTCGCTGGGTCAGCCCGTTGTCGTTGAAACGGAGCCGCAAGAGTCCATACAGTGGAGCGTTATCCTTTGGTGTCGCATCCTCGAGACCAGTCCCAAATACCCAAGATCGAGCTGCTCTCCATACGGACTGCTGTAGTGTAACTGAAGGCTCAGACATGGTCGCAGGTTCGATCCCCGGCGACGATATTTTCCGCAGTGTATTCAACTATTCTCTCCCTACCGCATTTGTCAGCACCCGCACTGAGCTTGGCCAAGACCAAGGACCCCATCCCGGGCGTCTCCGCAGCAGAACTCTCTGTCCGCTGGGCCTTGCGTTGCTTCTTGCTTTTCTTCTTCTCCTCCTTCTTCAGCTTCTTCTTCATGCCTCTTTCAGTAGCCCCACCACCCCTAACAAGACCACTACGCGATACCCTTCAACCCAGCTCCAGTACGTACACTCCTCGATCAATGCTCCCCTCAAAGCTAAGGAAACACTCATCGCCATCACTACTACGATACCTGAAAGAGCCACCAACATGAATCCCTACACACCACTACCATGCTGGCCACGCCGTTGTTCTCTACGGGGATCTACTACGCGACGACGTATAGCAAACATAACGACGAAGTCTGACTCCAGTTCTAGCCCAGCGACATGGGAACCCATTACCATCGCTTGACGAGTCGTAGAAGGGAATCGTCTTCAGGCCAATCCCTCACTTCCCGGCATCGTATGCATCTGAAACGAGTAGTTAAACTTTCCCTCTCATAATGCGATTCTCATTGCCGCGAGCTCCTGGAGGATCGCCCAGTGAGCCAAGACAACAATGTGCGACCCTGTTGGGACTTTATCCTCTCTAGATCCTAGGACTACTACCTGCAGTACTTTCCCTGCTTGGCGAGCTCCTTGAAAATCATCTGTCGAAGGTTGGTATTCTGGTTGCCAGCGATGATGGAGACCTCCGGAATATCCCGAATCACTCGATTAAGCCTGATCATGCAGCCTTGGATAGCCACACACAGCAAGTAAGAGGAACTCAAAGTTAATATGCAGCATCACGAGGAATGCCAAGAGGAACAGCAGATCCTACCGTATCCAGGGATGCACCCGAGCCTTAGTCCACACCAATAAGTCCACGAGCAACTTCGGGTTTTTCTGCAGCACACAAGCCCTCAATTGACAGGAGTATCAAAAAGCACTCACCTCGGTGTAGGGTATATAGCTGCCTTCACTATACCACTTCTCGATGGTGCTGAAGGGGGTGACCTCACAAGGGTAGATCTTCCAATGGTCGGCCTGTAGATGGGGGGTCTCCAGCACGAACTGGAACATCTCCCTGTCCTTCTCGGGGTCGGAAGTAGGCAAGTCGGGCATGAGGTGAATGTCCACCTTGAAACAGGACTCCTTCAGAAGCTTCACGGCCTTAATGGAATCTTCCACGGTGTGACCTCTGAAATCGACGACCTCACGCTCAGTAGAACAGAGATTGCTATGACAACAATACAGTCAACTCTGGCACAGGGAATGAGCTGTTCCATCGTTAACGAGTCGTAGGAGGACACAAATTATGGTGAAATCGCGTCAGTCGAGGTTCGACTAGTGATATTGGTATTGTTCGACTGTCAAACAATACCAACGTAATCCAGTTTTCCACAATTCGATGGAAGCAAAGTAGGAATAGAATTGAAAGCTGCGAGGAGCGAGGGTTATTGAATTCTCCATCACTAAAGAGGCATTCAAGAGGAAGGTCCTCCTCGAGAATCCACCAGTGCTTGGCTCAGTAGCCAACCCGCCTCACCTGTTGATAGTTTTCAATATTTGGTTGTCCGTATGCTGTACACCGATCTGGACTCTGTGCATCCTAGAGTCCTCAGCCTTCTCAGCTCTGTTGGGTTTATGTAGTCCGGACGAGTCTCCAACGTCAGACGTGAATTACATGAGACTCCCGCTGAGCAACGATGAGGGAAAATAGTACTCCTAGCACAGGGCGAATACAGTTGAGGTGTAATTAGCCAACGAGGATTAGGATTTTATCAGTGCATGTCACAACCAATGTGATATTTTCAATCGTACAGGAAGAGGCCACTCCCATTGTTGGGTTTATGAGAACAACAAGACAGTTCCCCTATTACCAATGATCTTGCAATCAGAAACTTCATTCCGAACCTGTTCCTCCTCCAAAGAGAGCTTTCCGCGATATAGGCTATTCAGGGCAGGCATGCTGTGCGCCTCCAAGGAAGATACATCTAAACGGCGGGGAAAGACAGTGAGAACCCACAAGGTGCCCATGCATAATTCGAACAATCAATAGACCTCCAAACAGGCTCATCCGAGTCAGTAGTTGTCACCAACATAGATGCTGGCGTGAGAGCTGATCTGCACTAGTATTACCCAACTTCCTATTCTTTGCGATGGCATTCTCGTTGAAGACATTAGCAGCATAGAACAGATCTCTGCAGAACTGCTCCTGGTACTCTGGAGGGTAGAAGGACCACGTTCCACCCAAGACGATGATCTCAACCTAGGTATAACAAAATGCAGGCAGTGGGATTCGAACCAGGGACCTTCCCTTTAATTACTTTATCCACAGTATGTCCTTGTCTCGCTAGAGTGGTTGCACGGTCCCAAAACTGCAATACTGGATCGAACTTGTTCTGATTTGCTCGCGCTACTGCCGGCTCCGTAGACAAGTAGGACCTGAAGGCTGTCGATGCCATCGTACGCCTCCTTACCGAGAAGATGAAGCCCAGAAGATGTCACTAAATGTGTATATTCCTCCACTACTACCTCGGCTGGCCAGGTTCATTAGGGCAATAATAGCAATCATTGGGACAAGAGAAGGGTCCGGGGGCAGTGACTATGGTGATGACCACTACTCCCGAGTTGGAACGAATAGACTTCTTGAGGAAGATGCCTGAGGGGGCAGCACTGTTCGACTGAGACCAAGCATGCACATTACGCTCAAAGTGTTCGTTCTGTTGGACGTCTCCCCGTGTAACCAGGGTAGTATAGGCCGCCTGCAGCTGGGCCTTACTAGGAACCAGTTTGGCCTTCCGCAGCACTGCTCGATATCTGCTCTCACATATGCAGATATATAGATACTTTATAATATATACTATATACATGGGCAGTATATAGTGGAGTACGATGACCGATTAGACCCCATATCAAAAGGACCCGAGTTCGAATCTCCCCACCGTCACTATATTACGAAGCCTTGTAGGACTGTTCAGTAGATAGATCGTATTCCAGGAGATCCTTCACGAAGCACTCGACCTTGGGCCAGTCAGTATCCGCCTTCACTCGATGCTGATACCTTTCCATTAACATCTCCCAACCATCACCAACACTACTATGGTCACTCACTCAGTCCACTCCTCAGTGTACAGGTCCTTAGCCTGCATATGCTTCGTCTGGGCATCAGTCGTACATATGTCGTACCTTTCCATCGGGGAATGAACAACTATGCCAACATAGGAACGCCCTCCGGATGCCCCAGATCGAGGCGTATCAAAAATAGGAAATAACAATACTACTGCAGTGCAGTAGAGAACTCCCCTAGTACTGTTTCTGGCCTTCGACCATGTGTTCTCTTCCCATCTCAGCTGTCGTGTCAGCTACAGTAGAAGCCTCAGTCGGTACTCCCTCACTACTCTCCCTTTCAAGTGATGATGGAGCTGCTGTCATTCGTCCGAGGAAAGATGCAGTGGCAACAGCAACTAACGCCACGATCACTATCACTCATTTCGATATCGTCCTTCACTACCCCCAAACTGGATAACCCAACATCTACGTAACTGAGTGGGTACTACGTACAAGAAGGCCTATTATGGTAAAGACGTCTTGGAGGAAGCAATAGTTGTTATCACGGCAGATCATACTTCACCCCTGCGGCCTCCAACTTGCTCTTCAACGCCTCCTTCTTGGCCTCTTTACGAGCCTTAGCCGACTCACTAACAACAGGCAAGCCAGTCTTCTCATCGACAGGACGACTGTTATGCTTCTCTTTATTGTCCTTAACGTGAATGCGTTTCATGTTAATAATGCCACGGCCCTTGCCGGTCTTAGTGCAGCCATCCCAGAGGGACTCATGAACCTGGCTTGGCTCCAAGAGCTTAGCACTGATAGGCTTCTGCATGATGAAGTACTTGTCCATATCCTTCGCCACGATCTCAGCAACATCATGCGACTTGAACTCAACGAAGGCATACCCCTTCGAACGAGCGCTTCGCTTCGACCGAGCCAAACGGAGGCGCGTAATGGTGCCAAACTGGGACAGGAATTTGCGGATCTCTGGTTCGTAGAAACCTGTGGGAAGCCTTCCCAACCGCACTACTCCTCTAAGTCTAGCCCAAGACCCCGCGATCTTCTTGCCGCTGGCCTTCTTCACCGACCCCTTTGTGGCCACTTTCTTGGACGTCTTAGCCTTACTACTCACTGCAGCCACCATGACTTAAGGATGGATATTATTTAACAACTTATACAGGCAAGGCCATACCACACCCGACCCAACAACCAAATATTTGCAACTAGTTACCACATTGAGCTAGCCGAACTCGATCTAGTGCAAGCGGAAATTCATTAACAGCAAACTACCCCTTCCAATAAGACAACTCAACAAACACGACATCTCTTTGAAGTACCAGGAAGTCATCCAGACCTTAGCTGCTCTTGCTGAACCGTCTCCTTACCGTTTGGTCAGGACAACGGTGCACCACTGCTTAGCCACCAATTTAGTTGGAGGCAGCGGAGCCGGCCTTCTTGGCGACGGAACCCTCCTTGAAGCCGTTCTTAGCCCTGCGGTCGACGAGCTTGAGATAACGGCAACGACCGGAACCGGTGGTGCGACGACGCTTAGCCTTGATGGACCAGTTGAAGCTGCGCATCTTCCTGTTGGGGAAGCCGCAAGAAGCACAGTGCTTCTGCTGAGTGTGGAAGCTGAAAAGAAGAGACGAGTCAACAAGCCCTCTATTGATTCCCTATTATTACGATCTCTTGCCGCAACGGACACAGAGGCCGTGAGACTTGGTCAAACGACGTCCAAACGAAGTGGTACCCTTGGTCTGAAATCACCAAAGATATTGGGAGGATCTTCCACAACGACACGGGCCTTCCCGCACACCCCACGAAGTAACTATTTCTGGAGTTCCGATTGAAGCGGCACGACTGTCCAGAGCCATTGCATGCCCTTCTAGACCACAACACGATCTAAATCCCTGTATTGACCTCCCTTATTACCATGTTGACTGATGGACTCCTGGATAGAGGCTCTTCTGATAGCGTCGGCCTCGCCTATCGATCATCTGGGCGAGCGAGAATCACTCGAGAGATCGAACACTTGCACGCGTGCGCAAGATGAGACGGAAAGCTTCCGGCCGCTGATTAAAAGCTAAGCGACTCTCCTTCTCGACTGTTTGAGAGTCCTCGATTCCATCATATGCCTTCCACGTTTTAGAGGCATTTTCTGTGTTCGTGTGTTAAGACTGAGGAATGGGAGTAGCTTCAGCGTTCTTCTAAACACGTGTCGACCGATTGTGACACGGCTGCAGTGGCAACCTTGCTTTCTAGCGTCATTGGATACGCTTTATATGTTGTGCTAGCTTTACTCGGTTTTTGGTTGCTGTAGTGTGTGGTCATTGTAGGACCTGTCGTGTGTGTAGCTATCACTCGTTAATGTGGCTTCTGATAGTCTCTTGACTTAGTTCTGTGACATTCATTGAGTTGGTATAGTAGTTAGTTTATGCTCACGGTCTAAGTCCGACGGTTTCAATCGTTTTTGTCAGTGATATTTCTGTTAACTCTCACTCAGCCATGCAAATTTTCGTGAAGACTCTCACGGGTAAGACCATTACCCTCGATGTCGAAGCTTCTGATACTATCGAGAATGTGAAGGCGAAGATCCAGGACAAGGAAGGTATCCCTCCGGATCAGCAGCGTCTCATCTTCGCCGGCAAGCAATTGGAGGATGGCCGAACCCTTTCGGACTACAACATCCAGAAGGAGTCGACCCTTCATTTGGTTCTTCGTCTTCGTGGTGGTATGCAGATCTTCGTTAAAACTCTCACCGGTAAGACCATCACTCTCGATGTTGAGGCTTCTGATACCATTGAAAATGTGAAGGCGAAGATTCAAGATAAGGAAGGTATCCCTCCGGATCAGCAGCGACTCATCTTTGCTGGAAAGCAGTTGGAGGATGGTCGCACGTTGTCCGACTACAACATCCAGAAGGAGTCTACTTTGCATCTTGTTCTCCGTCTACGCGGTGGTATGCAAATCTTCGTTAAGACCTTGACTGGTAAGACTATTACTCTCGATGTTGAAGCTTCCGATACCATCGAGAATGTCAAGGCCAAGATTCAAGATAAGGAAGGTATTCCTCCGGATCAGCAGCGTCTCATCTTCGCCGGCAAGCAGTTGGAGGATGGTCGTACTCTCTCGGACTACAACATCCAGAAGGAGTCGACCCTTCATTTGGTGTTGCGTCTCCGAGGTGGTATGCAGATCTTCGTTAAGACCTTGACTGGTAAGACTATCACTCTCGATGTTGAAGCTTCTGATACCATTGAAAATGTGAAGGCGAAAATTCAGGATAAGGAAGGTATCCCTCCGGATCAGCAGCGTCTTATCTTCGCCGGAAAACAACTAGAAGACGGTCGCACTTTGTCCGACTATAACATCCAGAAGGAGTCGACCCTTCATTTGGTTCTTCGTCTTCGTGGTGGTATGCAGATCTTCGTTAAAACCCTCACCGGTAAGACCATCACTCTCGATGTTGAGGCTTCTGATACCATCGAGAATGTCAAGGCCAAGATTCAAGATAAGGAAGGTATCCCTCCGGATCAGCAGCGTCTTATCTTTGCTGGAAAACAGTTGGAGGATGGGCGCACGTTGTCCGACTACAACATCCAGAAGGAGTCTACTTTGCATCTTGTTCTTCGTCTCCGCGGTGGTATGCAGATCTTCGTTAAAACTCTCACCGGTAAGACCATCACTCTTGATGTTGAAGCTTCTGATACTATCGAGAATGTGAAGGCGAAGATCCAGGACAAGGAAGGTATCCCTCCAGATCAGCAGCGTCTTATCTTCGCCGGCAAGCAGTTGGAGGATGGGCGCACTCTTTCGGACTACAACATCCAGAAGGAGTCGACCCTTCATTTGGTGCTCCGTTTGCGCGGTGGCTGTCTGTGAGCTCTCTCTCCTCGAGTTCTGTAGTTTATTAAGATATAGCATTGCCGTTGATCTGTTCAACCGAAGCATTGCTGTTAACTACCTAGTAAGCCCTCTAATATTATTTGATCGTCGACAGCTGGGGCCTTGCTACTGCTATTCTACATAAGCAAATGTACTAGGTTAATATAGACCCTCAGTTTGTGGTTGTTGTGTTAGTCAGATCGAGGGGCACTTCTATTACCAATTCTGAAGATGGAAGGCCGAAATTGAAAGTTCTATCACCACGAACCTGATTCGCGTCATAGTAGAATTTTTAAGTTTTAGATGCGAGTATGTTCTTTCCGTTACGGAGTTTATATGTACAGTGTTGCTCCTCCAAACGATGGTTTCAAAAATGTATTTGATGTTTGCTGTTGTAGTGTGGTCGAATGATGGAGTGAGGCAATCTGGCTCGTTGAACTGGTTATTGAGTACCCCCTTACCTTGTAGTTTTAGTAGTGTTGAAGGTTCCGACCAACATTTCGTGACTCAACCGTTGCTGATCGCACTGTGGTAGAAATCTTTATGGCAACTGAACCTGGTGGTGGGGAAAAAGTTATGACACGAAGTTCTCGTAAGGGCGAAGAGCATTAGATGTGTGATAGGCGTTGTGAGGGTATAATCGTTGAAAGTGAGATTAGGCTATGTTTCATGTCCGCCGTGAATAAATTACCCATAGCGTTGTAACACAGCGTACATCGCCACATGTTGGTCGGGGTAGATCTTCCCAAAACGGCTATTATCGTACTTCAGAACATTACGGTAGAATCTTGTATAGAACACGTCTTTGTTTTGATAGTGGTCTTTGGCCACACTACCGTGTGGATTGAATGCAACGAGCCGACGCTGTTCACGCACCATTGCACGACAGAAACTGTAAAGGTGCGACCCCTCATTATGACAGATCATCAGGCTAGTCTGGAGCACTCAGGAGGTCCTTCCTGTATGTCTGTTGGCACCACGGGCAGCAGCAGTAGCAGCATGTCGATGTTGAGACGGGCAATGGGCACTCCTCCTATACCAGAAGATGAGCAACTCGTAAGGGCTGGCTGGCCCTTAGCCCTGACCTGAGTTTGTCATCCCTCAGGTTGATATCGACAATATGGGAAGTGTCGCCTCCTCAGCATGTGGCCAGAGGCCTCCCCAACAAGCGTAGATCTACTACTACGCTACTACTACGCTATAAAACCTGTCGACTCCCTCTCGATCTCAGAAGGTTCAGTGCGGTCCTTGACACCAGTGTGTCTGAGTATCCATCCCCGAGCACAAGTCCGGCTAGCAGCATATCACATAGTTGTGAGCCTGGTGGTGGCCTATCGAACGGTCTCTGATGGTGCAGTGGTTTTCAGTGGTATCAGCGGCGACCTTGGCCGACATGCAGAGTAGTTCGCACCGTCACTTCCACCAAACTCTACTACAATTCCCGAGATCAGCCACCCCACCAAAGCCATCAGTGCCTCAAGAAGTGACAACGGCACAAGCCAGAAGTGAGCATCTACTCCCGATTCCGATACTCCCCGGCTTGTCATCAGTCTTCCTCTGTGCTGTTATTAATGAGGCGGTACAATCAGAGAGGCTGCCCGCGAGAGAAGCAATGGTGGCCATGAGTGGAGTACTTGGTAGGAGCCGCGGCTTACAGTCACCTCAGTTGCAACTACCCTCAGGTGAAGACTCAGCCGTCACTGACCGTATGTACACTTTTGTGGGTGCCGGGAAGAATCTTGAGGTTGGCTAATATGCGAAAATGACAATGGTATTCATTTCATCTAATTTACTTCAGGAGCAACTGCGCATGCTCCAACTATGGATAGAGTTCCAATCCTCTCCCCTGGCTGGCGCGGTGTCTTCATCAGCTTCTAAGAAGGGGGATCATCATCATATTGTTAGCCCTGGTGACGCCTCCACAGTGGCCTCACCCAACTTACAAGAGTCCCCATATGGAGGCGTGAGCATCTCGGGGAGATCTTCCGTCTCGTCCGCATCGTCGGGTATCATCTCAGTACTACGGCCCTACTCCTTATGGAGCGTACCCTCCCCCACCTGGGCACTACCCGGGTAACCAAATGGCCATGCCTCCACCTCCTCCCCACCACCCCTTCCAATATAACCCCTATGGGCCCCCGACTAGTCGAGGCAGTCCGCCACTACAGAACGGGCACGCCCCTCAAGGCGTTCAGCAATATGGTGGATACTATCACTGCACCTCACCATAGTTAGGGGACTTTCTCTTCCAGGATACTACTATCCCCACTCGTACAGTCCGCCACCTCATGCACCGTATTCACCACCTCCCCCACTCAATCTTCAACAGGCCATCATGTCCATGGCTCCTAGCCCACCACAAGGGTCTGTTGAGGGCGTGAAGTAAGTGTGTACCGAGTTAGCGATCGCCACAATGAGAGCGCTTCAGTTGTGGTGCAAGGCATCAGTTGCAGTCCCCCGATCCCAATGCGGCGGGAAGCAATGACATATCTGTCGGTATGACGAAGGCGATGAACAACCACCAGACCTCTTCAACAGTCCAGGGCAACATAAACTCATCTAATAGTAGCACTACTGCGACTAACAATTACCGTTCTACTATCGCTGGTGATCATGCTTCATATGGTGCTTCTGGCAATGAGGGCCCGCCAGTCCTTTTCCAACCGATGGCACGCAGGTGAGGACGTGTGGTCTGTACGGCGCCACCTTCCGGTGCCCCTCAGACCGGAGGACTTCCAGCCTCTCGTTCTCGAACCCATCAGAGGCTCATCCCCGAGTCCGACCTTTTTCAACGCCTCCCCGCCATTGCCAAGCCCGACATCATCACTTCAAGTCGGTCCTCAATGGTGTCGTTACGTGCTGACAGTTTGTTTGTCTGCAGTCAGCAGCCCCGTCGCCGACTCCGACAGTAATACACAATCCGACTGCTACCCGACGAACACAAAAGGGTGAGTCGGGGTACACCGAGCTCCTACCCTCTGGATCGCTAATAAAGTTAAGATTTGTTACTGACAACGACAGCGACTTGATAATGTCGACTTAGCACGTAAGTCTAGTGCTTGAATTATGCACCTCCTGCGAATATTCGTATGGAATTCAACTCCAGCCTAGAGTCAGTAGTTCGTAATTAGTCTCCATGTCATAAGAGCCGAGTAGAGGTATGCAGTTTTAGTTTATGTAAAGAGCCAGTGTATCATAAATGGTATCTAGGGTCAAGTGTGGTCGGCTGTTGAGTCCGGTTGAAGAACTCGGGAGCTCAATAACCCCATAAGGGTCTCAGGCTTCTACTCGCGTTCCCTGACCGAGCTCGCACTGTTCTATAATGATTATGGTTTGCCGTCATCGAGCTTGGTAAAGTATACATATCGCATGATCATCCGTCCAGGTATACCCGACGGAGGACCCCCAGTGGCACCCGGCATCAGCTTGACACTGGCTGAGGCCACCAATCCGACTGTTGAAGCTACGGAAGAATCGGAAACTAACTCAGCGGAGGTAGGCATCTGATTGTGGTTGGAGATCATCGCATCACCATGCTACTGCCTCCTCATTCGCGATCTGATTCTCAATTCATCGATACACAACTCGGCCGAGTTGGCGAACTACGTTTCCATGAAGCGTTTACGAATTTTATAAACTATATGATTCCCACGATAAGATTTGTTAGTGATGTTCCGCCGGCGCTGCGCTTTGTCTGATTATGTCGTGACTCGACTGGGGGACTTGGATCGTGGATTTCGATCAGCATGTGTCGCCTCTTGATTTCTAAATAGCCTGCGAGTTTAGCTCTACAGTATATCAGAGTCCATGTTTATCCCCGAGATGGGCATCGGGTGAGTCCGGTATCTATATTCAGTCTCTGGTTGTCTCAAGGATTGAAGAAATCTGACTGGGTATAAGTATGGGCCTTGTAGGCTCTCTGCATCATTCTGTCTGAGGCAAGCACATTCCTCTCCTCAGGAAAGCCCACCGGAGGCTTCATAGTTCCGACAGCTACGACCAGCAATATTCAATTGGTCATTCATGCACACATCCACTATTCAGCTTTCTAATTCATCCCTCCTCTCAGCTGTTGAGTCTCCAAGTTGGACGTGGATTGAACTTTGTTACTATTTTCGCTGTGAAGTAGGGTTCAACGGGATTAAGGAAGCGGTGTACTTAGAGTATTGCGTCGGCCTCTCATGAACCAGACAGAACAGAGGCAGCTACTAAGACTTCACCTATACCAACTCGTAATCGCCTTACGGAAATCGTCACTTCGGCTAGCCCCCTTTCCCCTGACAGTGTCCAACTCTATGGAAAGCACATTCGGACAGCCCTTCTGCTGTCGTGTATTCAATCGGCGAGACGATACAATCATCTCTGAGGCAAACTTGGGCGATGTAGTGTCAAACTTGGCTGGTGTAATGCCAATCTTGCTGGTGATACAACCTGGTAGTGCCAAATTTGAGTCCTCACTGTCAGACTTGTTTGTATCAAAATGGACAAGTAACGAACTTTCATTTTCATCGTTAATCTCGCTTGTAACAAAATGGAATTTCGTCGAACTTGTATTTCCATCTTCAATCTTGATCGCAACGTAATTAGACTGTGACATACTTGAATTTTCAAAGTCGAGCTTGATTGTAACACTTAGTCTCGCCTGCTCACTTGTCAAACTTGCACGAAGAAAGGTGAAGACGTACGCAAGTTCGCTAGAGCCCATGGTGGACACCGATAGGTATCGGACTACCCTCATCGCCAAGCTAGATCGTAGCTCCACAACTTTCTCACAGTTATCGAACGTAACACTTCTGATAGAAAAACAGGAAAACTATCAAGTAGTCATGGTGATGGTCGCACTAATGCCCTCTTAGGAACGGTAGGTAATACTCTGCCTTGGCCTCTCTCATAGGGTCCATCGTCCTATAGATCATATCGGTGTCCTCGGACGACTCATACCACGAATAGTACCTGTAGCACGCGGGCTGTCCCGAGAAACGTGGCTGATAGAAGCTTACACGTAAGCAATTGGTAGGGAGGTTGCAGCAATGCAGAACGCATTCCAATTCAACAACTTCACGCGGTCCTCGATCGCCAGATTACACTAAGATCAACCAAGAGGAAATATCCTGAAGAAAGGCACCCTGTACCCTCCTTGAATATCTGTTCTTAGTAAACTCGATGTCATTGGCGACTCTCATACAGTTGACGAAGCTGCGACGGAGCAGCCCAGCCGCTACAAGGCGACGAGTGGAGGAGGAAACGATAGACATACAATGTTGTCACTTGAAGCGAGTTGCAATTCGGGTTTCAGGTTGGAGGGTTCGAAAGCTGAGGAAAACTTTCGAAAAAAATGGATGAAAACCCTGAAGTAGGAATCGTAATCCTGAGGAAAGTTCCAGCGACTTTCATCCACAATGGAGCAAAGTTTCCTTCATCATTCCAGCATGAACTCAGTGCGTCCCATTAACTGCTCATGCTAATGCAACACAAGCTCAACAGCTACTTCAGAGACACGGTATATCAGTGCTTGTGCTCGGGCGGTGGCGGCTTACGTTTTCATCTCAATCTTCATCGACATATGGAGTTCCCTAAGTCAAACATCGAATAATGCATGCAACCGTTTGCGCGACAATGGTATCACCTTGGTCTGAGGGCCACCGGCCTGCTTGGCCACGATGATGTGCTGAATTCTGAGGATAGTCAGCACGGCGTCAATAGCCAATCGTATAGCCCAGGACTTGATGCCGCGATTATCCAGTATGGACTTGGACACTGAGAAGTCTTCATCAACAACATACTCATAAAAGAGTTACTACCAGCGTCACAAATAGGGGAGGCTCGTCGGTTGGGTGCATCAACATCAACACACATTCTGTTCTTACCAGAAGCATGAGCGGCCTTTAACCTGAGCGAGGAATGCCAGTGGTGACTTAGGGAAAGCTCACTTCGTGACGGCATCCATAGCATTGAGACCCGCATTCTCAGCTATGATGTTCGCAACAACTTCAAATGATTCTGCAAATTTCAGAACGGCGTATTGCTCGAGGCCTGATGAAAACGAGCACTGTGATAAAACACCTTGGGAAGCGGCTTATACCGGAACATTCCTGACCGAACTCAGCAACGTCAAGGCTGAGAGAGATCTCACATCCGCCGCCACCAACGACGAACCTGTACAACTACAATCCGCACAAGTTCAGATCCTGGCACCTCCACTTACTCCCTCTGACCCTTCACAGCACAGCATCGAACCACATTGACAGCATCATCAATAGCGCGTTCAACCTGAGCACTACAGCATCTCATCGTGTATGGACTATTGATAATACCTCGTCGAGGAAGTTGCCAGTAGCCCCCCTTAGGACAATAGTAGAGACCTTCGAGTCTGCAGCTCGGACGACAGTCACCTGACAACAGGATAAGCAAAGGGGAAGAGATCTCGCAAGCATACCTTGGCACTCGAGATCTCCTCAACATCAATGCTCTCAGCATAACCTAGCTCATCAGGCAGGGGGGCACCGAGCCGAACGATACCCGTAGCTCCAAGAGTCCGGCAAAGACGACGCATCTCGAATTTAGACGTGCCTGCCGATGATAATAATAATGAAATGGTGATGGTGATTCCCTCGAGCTGAGCCTACATTTGATGGCTAGGATATGATGTTTGTTTAGGAAATGGAGAGCAATATCCTGAATAGAGCCTCCCACGATGACGGCCTCAACACCAGCGTCAACCAAACTAAGAACCTACACAGATATAGCATCACTCGCTTATGAGCTCAGAATGAGCTTCCATTACAAATTCCTCCATCTTTTTCTCCTCCCCCTTAGCAAAATCCATCAGCTGTTTGCCCGACTCTAGCAGTACCGTCCCTTGCGTCTCAGTGCCGGTCATCTCGAGGCCGCAGCCGTAGACGGCAACCTGAACATTCTCAGGCTCCTCCAGCGCCGATCAGAAGGACCAGTGGAATCACCTTGCAGTTCTTCTTGTGCTTTTCGATGCCCATCGTGTCTCTGGTAGTGACCATACCGTCCACAACGTAAGAATTATGACTGCCAGTAAACCAATGAGAAAAGGGGAAGTTGGACAGAAAACGACTCACATGTTGCCGCAACCGGGCAACTTGGCCACCCTAATGTTGTCGATGTCGAATTTCTTAGGGTCCTCAGGCATCACCGAGCAACACGCAGAAGCGACAAGACGAGTCTGAATTTCAGTAAGTGAGAAATCGTATACAAACAACGGGTGCCCCATCCTCACCAGAGTGTCCTCAAGCCCGTACTGTTTTGCGCCCAGGACAGACTTGATAGCAGTACTGATCTGAAAGTTGAAATATTATACAACTCGATCTGATCAAGCTATTATATGCAGCTCAGTCCGTAGTTGACAATGTTGGAATACATTTTTGCTCTCCTCAGCTGAGCTCGGGAGTTTCCTTGCCATATTATGAGAATTTACAACCGAATTCGGCTGGAAGGGCACAAACACCAAAGATTTCCAAATTTTCCCAGAAGTAGTTGACTATAAGCATATTCTCCCACACTAGTAGTTGCAACTCGCATCCTATACGTCCCTACCTGATCTACGCTTCTGACATCCCCTAGGGTATACGCGACCAAATCGTCGTTATCGTTCAAGTACTTCACCACACGATCACCTAAGCAGCATGACTCGTCAATTGATGATAGTAAGTCGGTCTACTACTATCATTACCAGCCATCTCGTAACCACGGATTATATCCGAAGCATGAATGCCCTGCTTCAACAGCTGCTCAGCGTTCTCGAGAAGCTCACCAATCAAAATCGATACCAAATTAGTGGCTAAAACGGTCATAACACTGAATGCCCCCCAGACCGGTACTCACCATCGCCGCACTCCTGCTCCTGAGCCTGAACGGCCATCACTACTAATTTGGCTGCTGGATGGTATATCTATGAAAACACGCCTCGTTAGGAGCAATGAAGTGTGAACAACGCACGTCGAGCTCCTTGAGCATGGTAGCAGTATCGCTGGTTACAAAGTGTTTATTGATATGGTTGACAATCAGTTTGTTGGTACCGCAAGGCCCGAGTGATGTCTAAGAGAATCAAGGGTGACATATGAAAGCGTCGTTTCCGTGTCGTGTTACCCTGGTTATCTCGGAGACGTATTTGCTGGCCTCCATGTTCTTCAAAAGGGCCTCATCGACACCAGCGTAGCTCTGAGTGCCGTCCTTTAAAAGTGATTGGATTCCCACGGGGCCTTTGAACATGATGATGGAAAATACGGAGGAGTTCAGCCGCAGCAAATAAACTGTGATAAAAGAATCCTAGGTCCAACCCGAGAAGATACGAATCACGTCAGGTTGTCCATCTTAGCGCAACAACTACTATACTGTGAAGCTCCATTTTTCACGCGTTCCATAGAAGAGACAGGCCATTGATTACAGCGCCTCAGATGATGCACTGATTACTTCAGCTGAGACTCACCGTAGACTCTACGGTGAGTCTCAGCTGAAGTTTACGGCGTAAACTACGACTCACGTCACCCATACTTCTCCATAGTAGATGAAACATGCACTGCTCCAGGGCCTTGTTGAAGGATTTACGGCCTCTTAGGAGGTGTTTACGCTAAAAGAGGCAACGCATCGGTATACTCTGCTGAGGCGGCCTCGGGAGGATTTCGATTACAGGGGCGGGCGCAGTGAAGGGTGTTTCAACGAGCACAGGATGCTGCTATGTGTCAAACTTGTCTATGATGAATTAGATCATATCTGAGCCGGACACATACATGCTACCGCCAGTAGCCGTGCCGAGCTGTGAACTAGCTAGCCAGGACTGAGACCAGATTCCATTTTCTTTGTATTAATCAATTTCTACTGGGTTTCCTCAGCTCAGTGTCACTGGTGCTGTATTAGTCGGACCAATACATCAGGATGACTAATTTAATCATCAGCACATCCTACCAGTTCATTGTGATATGATATATCATGTATCGATGGTCTTGGTTATCGTCAGCGATGGGTAGATAGTGTTAAACGCCTCAGTAATTGAATCCCAATCTCAGTACTGATAAATACAATGACAAGATGATAGTGATGATAATGAATTCACTTCCACCAACGCTTACCCCTCTGGGAGAGCTCTTAGGGCCCCGTTGGGAATCAGTGGTGATATAACTCTATGTGAACTCTGATTAATGATAAACGTCTCTGCAACCCTCTATAGTAACGAGGTCGATCGTTCTATCTCGAGCCAGTTCCGTATTTAGCAGGCACACCAACTTACGTACTCAGCTGACGTACTGGCACGGCATGCTCGCGAGTTCTTCTTGAGCGAAAAGAATCTACTTTTTTCTGCTCCAGTGAGACCGTCTTTTATGTTTCTGTTCCACTTGTCCTCCCTATTATTTCTTCTGAATTTCCTCTACTAGCCCGTTCCTCCTTTTTTCTATCCGTTTGTATACAGGCTGGCAGTCTTGTCACGCTGTATTTGTCGGTCTTGTTCCTGGTATTTCCTTACTAGCTCACAGCCCAGGTCGACTGAACTTCTCACTATAATAGTGGAAACTCTAACTTGAGACTCACTCTAGCGTGCTGCACAACTTGAAATGGGTCGCGTAATGGGAGTTGCTAATGTAATGGGTCGCCTTCTTCTCTAACAGACCATATATGTACGCATATACATTGCCGCGAACATTTTTGTTCGTGTCCCGACATCATAACAAGCTCCCCCTACATTTTTTTCTAACATCTCTAACACAGCCTAACCGCTAGGTGCAAAAATCGCCTAGCGCCTTACGATTTTCGTGCATAACCGAGGCTTGTGAAATGGGCCTCTGATCAACTGGCGGTATCTTTTCGCGTGCGCAGTGTGCGGAAGGCGAACTATGCGCCTGCGTGCAGTCTCCACGTGAGAGTGGTGCATCAATATTGATGTAGGGCGACAGCTATTATTACGAAATTATCGGCGGACAAATTTGAACTGTCATACAGATAGGCTTAATGCATGTCTATCTCGTCGCCTCTAAAGTGTGTGTATCTCGTGAACTCGTTGGATGGAGCTTGCGCCGTGATGCTACCGTGGGTCACGGGCTGTGACGCTACCTTCCCAATGCCACCGTGTCACGCCAGTTTACGGACTTCTCCCAATCGTTACGCCCTTCCAATGGTTCATCCTATTCTACAGCGTCTTGGTTTATCTCTCGCTGTCCTCACTGTGGTATCTGGCGAACTGAGTCAAACTTCGGACCCGGTCAAGGATGCTATCAACGAGCTGAAGGAGAAACTCCCTCCGAACGCCACTATCACGGATCACATCCCCGACCCATTTTTCTCTCTATTCGGAGCATCACACGGCATCACTCCTGCTGCCATGGTATCTCCTGATAACTCCGACCAGGTTGCGACTGCTCTAACTATTTGCCACAAGTATAAGGTGCCTGCCGCTCTCCGTAGTGGAGAAGGCCATTCCTACATCGGCCAGAGCAACGTTAACAAGGGTATCATTCTAAGCTTGCAGCGTTTCAAAGATCTTAACGTCCAAGCTGTCGATGGGGATTATATAGTTCAAATGGGAGGAGGTCTCGACCTGATTGAGGCATACACAAAAATGGCTCTCCATCAGCCGCCTCTGGGATTCGCCGGAGGATTCTCCCCGAGCACCGGGATAGGGGGTTACTTCTCTGGAGGTGGCCACGGCTTGCTCGGTCCCAAGTATGGCATAGGAGCTGACCGGCTCGTCGCTGCTGACATCGTTATTTACGACAAGACGGCTAACGCATTCCAACTCGTGAAGGCTACGTTGACCAATGAGCATGCTGACCTCTTGTTTGCTATCCGTGGCGGGATGGGCGGCAACTATGGTGTGGTGGTGAACTTCTATTACAAGGCATTCATTACTGGTAGTGTCCTCTATTCTTCGGGAGCTACAAATATCTTCGAAGTCGAAAACTACGTTGGGCATATGAAGTCTTATATGGACTTCATACAGGCTTCTACCACTCCCAAGGAGTTCAATGCCGCACTGATACTTGGATATTCCGCTTTCCAAGCCCTCTCATACTATTTTTCCATCTGCCAATGTGATTCAAGGAACTGTTCGTCCTGCCTTGATGTGACAAATGTATTCAGGAACTACACGGGCATCACCAACTCGAGCGGGATCCTCCCCGATCAGAAGGAGATGACTTTCGTCGAGGCCATGTGGACGAGCATGAATTGTTTTTCGGTCTTCCCTACTAAAGGAATTCCCGGTGCATCAATGCCTGAGATCGAGGAGGCGATGACTAAATGTCGCGCTATCGAGAAGAAAGTAGTTTTACAGTGGATTCAGATCCAGTACTACTATCCCAGCATATTGACTCATGATAACCTCGAGGCCATGGTGAGTCATGTCTTGGGGAAAACATGTGCTTCGAAAGGTTGTTACCAGTATGTCCTGCCTTACACCCACCAGATGCTCGAGGAGCCGACGGACTGTCTCGATAGTTCCGGAGGAAAGTGTACCTCCTTTGACCACCGTCAGAAGGGGTTCTCTATTGAACATGGTATGTTCCTCCTTCCTGGTGAAGACCCCTCCAAGGTGGTCGAGCCGTGGATGGCTAATATGTCGGACACTGTGAGGCCCTTCTCAACCGACACCAAGTATCAGAATTACATCGAGTCCACTATGACTCGTGATGAATGGATCCCTCGTTACTTCCCACATAATGGGACTTACGAGCGGCTTCAGGCGGTGAAGTGTAAATACAATGGTATCGATATGTTCGACTTCAGACGTATAACTAACTTCACTATCGATCTGAATGATTGCGAGGATGGAACTTCCTCACATTGCCCGGCTCGTTAGGCTGTAGGTTCAGCTCATCCCATAACAATCTTCATTTTTTCCCGTACTTGGCATATGTTAGTATTTCAACAGTTCGCATCGAAGTTATCAACACCAGAACAATATGTCCGGTATGTTATAGCATGAATTCCTTATATTATTAAGGCATATCTCCTTCCATCATATTTAGAGACTACTCAATACATTCATTTCGACATAGTTTCATCAGCCCCGATATAGTTCTGAGTAGTAGTAATAGTAGTAGTAGTAGTAGTCAGCCCAAGAACTGGCCATCGTAGCTTTTGTAAGTGACCAAGTTGAGAGGAGCCACGTTTCCTTGGATGTGTTCGATTGCATCAACTAGCTTCGAGCTAAGCTAAGATTCCATAGTTGTGCAATCTGCACAACTACACCTATTCTGTATCTTGCGAGCATCAACCTTGATACCCCGGCTGTCGACGATGATCACCGTGAACTGTTCCGTGTACTGGATCTGCATGAACGGCATCGGTCCATCGTCGGTTGGAACTCCCTTCACTTTGGCCAGACTTTCCTGGGGATGTACGCAGATTGATTGGGCATAGCTGAGGGGAAAACTCCCAACCGAGGGTCTACCCCGGACCGATGATGACCAACTCGTACACAGAGGGACCCATTGAGAAACTCTCACAGCTTTGCACAATCGTTATGATGTGGTAGTAGAATGGAAGAGGCTTCGACCCAAGTAGTCAGCGATAATCGAAAAATCATTAGAAGACGCGCCGATAGCTTTGTATCTGACAAGAAGTAATTACACCTCTGCACGCATGCTCAGTCATCCATCCCAGACGGACAAGGTCGAAAGGCTCTCTGCATCCTGTATGGAATCTTCCCGTTCTTTCCTCATGCTATCCTTGTATCTAAAATTGGAGAGTCTGCCGGAAACTTCGCTCCGGCTTCCTCCTCACAGAGCATCCGGTTGACACAATGGACACTTATAGCCATCGTCGTCTGCACTGTGAGGCGACTCGCCACTGGTCGACAGGCAAAGCTGGTGGAAGGAATGCATACACATGAAATGAATCTGTCAATGACAAGAACTCAACAAAGTCACCCGGGTTCGATCCCTACCGCTGGCATGTCCAATCGTTGCCCGCATTCCGCGCACTTGGGAGACCCGCTACCCTCCCCACCGTTGAACACTCGAGCCGTTGTCCGCAGACTTTCGACCTGAATCAGGAATCCTGATTCAGGATAGAGAGCCTTCATGCACCGCTGGCTACCTCTTGACGCATATGCTCAAGCTCCTGCTTATCCTGTTTGAGGTTATCCAGCGACGTCGAGCACTTATCACCACTGGTCTTCAGGAGTGACCTCATCTGAACAATAATAACCTCAAGCATGTATAGACTTCGTTGCTGGAAGCTATCATCGATTCCAGCACACCGCGTAGAGTATGAGAAAGGTCTCATCACATACCAGACCGGGTCAGATGGAATCGATGAGATTCGAACCCCCTACCATCGGCTTAAGAGTGCCCATCTCCACCATCGTGCCAGAATCCTCTTCCACAGCTGGGTCCACAGCCAGCGCATCCAGCACCTCCGCCGTCACTGAAGCCGACCCAGAACAGCATCGACTGAGCATGCCTAAGAGAAGCATCCCACTTGCTTCAAATACCCCCGAGGATCGTACCAACTATTTCGTTCATCGCTTGCAGAGCCTCCTTTCGGTCACGAGATGACCCAACCGGCCTCTGCCGGAGCTTCCGAAGAGCTTGCAGCCACAACCTTCCAGTGGACGAGTCGGGCTTGCCACCTGGAGAGCCAATGGGAAAAAACAACAACGAGAGTGGCTTCCTACTATTCTTCTCGCCAGCAACACCTTTGCTCACGGCCTCACAAATTTCCACGTATGAGCTCGGTGCTAGCTCCGAAGCATCTAAGGAAGGAACCATATCACACGAAGAAGTGGCCTGGATAGATAGAGCTTGCAAGACTACAGTACTTTTCAGCAAGAGTGACGAACGTCGCTGAGCCATCCCTGCATTCTAGAGCTAATCCTGCATCGTGCAACGTCGAAGTGGCGATGACACGAAACTCCCCAAAAACTACCTGTGGCATCGAATAGTGTCCGGGCCAAGGCTCGAGCATCCTCGGACTGAATATAGGAAGACTCAATGAGAGCGATAACACCCTCTGGCCATGCGAACTGAAAACCTGACACCAAACAAAGTCGACAGAGCAGCCAAGCAACGGAATCCTCTCAGCCTATTAATACACATATAACCATCAAAGAGATAATAAGAAGATAGCCATAGCAGTGCCAACAAAGACAAAGTATCACACTTTCCCCAGGTAAAATCAGAATCATTAGCATTGATCGCTAACCACCTGAAATTCCTACCGACTAGTCCCTCCTCCCGCACTACATGTCCCTGCCATCATCTCAGCTTTGCTGCCCAGATTCCGATCGAACAGCGTGTCCTTCATGTGCAACCGAGTCGCCTCGTCTTTCCGATGGAGACCACAGGTAAGGCACAACTCCAAACAAAGAGCCGGCAAGAGGGAAGAACCATCTGAAGCAATGCCCGAGTGCATACTGAGGGACACCCTCCCAAGGAAACTTACTAGCGCTCGAAGACCGAGACTTCCTACTCAAATGCCGCAACAACATATTCGCACATGCCTGGAAGAGCAACCAACGGTAACTGTCCTACTAGGCCCAACACTCCTACCTCACTGGGGAGTAGAAGTTGTGATAAAGTTGCCTCGATGGGAGAACTCAGACTGTCTGGACCAGCACTGTCAGCTGCTGTAGGCTCCTGCAAGGACGGTAGCCTGGGACGGGTGAATATCAGTTATCATTCTTACTGTCCCCGACGGAGTTTTCTCATCTTCCAGCACAGAATGCCGCCTGAAATCCATGCAAAAATGGGATTAGTACTCAAACCAGGGGCCGAACCCGGTACCTTTCGCGTACGAAACGATCGACATAACCAACTAGACCCGCAGAGTCAACGCATTCCAACCCTATACCACCACAGACACCCAACATGTGCCATCACAACAAGTCGAGCGTTACATCATACTTACTCTAGCAACGTCTCAAGCAGCGGTATCATCCCCTCTGCATTCACGTGCATCAATGACCGACCGATGCCCCGTGAGGAAGTCAGAACAGATATGACCTACACTGACACCCAGGATGATATACCCCCCCCCCAAGCAAGACCTCCTACCGCAGCATCTTGGCCACGCCCTATCAACTCCTTCAAATACCTAAGCCACACACTATCCCACACAATGTGGGGGGAAATATGCACATGTGCTAGTGACAATATGGAAGCTTTGAGGGAATTTTCGGAATTTCTTGTTGATTTCTGAACACTTATATACGAATTCGATGGACAATCAATGAGAAAACTGCCGAGCTCAACTAAGGAAAGCGAACATATACTCCTCTAACGATAGCCCTCCTCACTCGATAGCCTTGGTTCTTTTGCTATCTCCATCATCCGCCTCAAGACACGTCCCAACATATCTACACCGTAACAATGACATACGTAGTACAACAGCAAGCAGCTCCTCTACAATTCCGCTGCTGATGCTGTTGTCCCTTCTCCTCCCCAAGAGAGAGCCAACTGCGACGCCAATTTTGGATACCTAAATGTCTTTTCAAAAACAATTGAAGATCTCCTGTCCGCCCCACCCGCCACTGAGAAGAATGCCGATAGCCGTTGTGACGTCCAGCGGGATGTCACAGTCCTTCCTAGTCAACAGGTCCACCAGTCTCTCCAAGCTACGGTAGTCTCCAAGCCGACACAGGCACTTCATCAGCATATACGTATGCTCCTTATACCTAACCCAACTCCCAATTCCCCTTATCGCGACCTCAGCTCCCCCTCACAGCATTATCGGCCTCAACTGGCGTCCATCAGGGCCCTTCTTAACCACTTCAGCTTCATGTAGACGTAATAAAAACGTCGCAATAGCCGGCACTCGATGACGCACTCTGAATGCTTCTGAGGCCAACGACCAACTACCCCGTCCCCCACAGGAGGTCCCCTCCAACCTATAACAGTGCTCGTCTGTACGGGTAGACGAAGGCCAGCTGCCGCCTTGATGAATACTCTCAGCGCATCATCCACTTGGTTCTTCTCAAGCAGATTTAAACCATACCTACCGCCACAACGACGTCCCCTCATAATGCTACAACGTTTTTATAATACACTAATGAGGTTAGAAGAGAGATAAATAGTGTCAGAATGTACGTTCGCCTCCCTCAGCCGAGCTGGAGAGTTTCCTTACTAACTATAGAAGTTTACATACAAACTCGGGTAGAAGTATACAGGACGCACCGAGTATTTCCATCGGAGTTCTCATGCTGTCGCCAACACATGTAGTCGAGCACTAAAATACCTCCCCAGAGTGAATTAATATAATACTAGGACCATATTCCTCAAAAATAGCATGTTCACATCCGATAACGTATTTTATGTGTTCATTACATACATAATGCACCTATACCATATAAGGCAGCAATGTATCAGGATGATACTATCATCCTATGTGGAGGATACACTAAGTGAAAGTGTTTTTCATATCATGAATGAAACTCCATCACTCTCATCGTTACTCACATCATATTGAACATAGTATAACCACCCTCTAGTAGCCGCTATGAACCCTCCCCCCTACTTGGTATACAGCTGCGTTAGGTAAGGGTTGACAGGTAGGCCCTCCCGAGTCGCAATCTCCACTGCCCACTCATACATCCCCTTCTGTTGCAGCATCGAGACCTCCTCCGTAGTGGCCTTCTCATGCAGGGAATATACACAGGGGGTACCAGTAGACGCGTTATTGCCTGAGCAACCGGCTAAGAGATAAGGAAGAGCCCCCGGGGGTCTTTCTACCTACGACCAGCAGGGAGTGGTCGAAGGCCGGTACTACGGCAACTATCCCAGACTCTGGTGCGAAATCGCTAAAGACACCCTGAGAGGGAAACTGCAATCAGCGCGGAAATACATGTTCGCTTTCCTCAACTGAGCTCAGGAATTCCCTCACAAACCATAGAGGTTTCCCGAATTAGGGTACAAGTGCACGAAAACGAACAAGAATTTCCTCAGAATTTCCATATTGTCACCATAACATGAAATTCACCATGTGCATATTTTCGCCCATGATTGACATCCTCCTCCCTACTACTCCCCTTCTCACTTGAAAAGCTATAAAACGCACATTAGCGTTGGGATACATCAACACTACTGTAACGCCGCACTTCACAGGGCCGCCTTGCCGATGCCCAGCGACAGCTTTACCCTCACCCTTTTGCCCAGCCAATATAGGATCCGCTATATCACTAGAGCCTGATTGATACGCGCAAACTACCGCGCGCCATGAAATTATTCCCTCTTACGTCTCCGCCGAACCTGCTTTGTGGTGAGTATGAAGTAGGATCGCGAGGAGTAGAGGCCTGTAGGGTGCCAGTCGCTGCCTCCCTCATCACCAACAGGCACCTACGACGACTACTCACTACAAGGACGTCCCCACAGCTATTACCGCCGCAATGTTGCCCTGTTTAGGGTCAAAACCAAAGACAGCTCCCTTTGAACTGAGCACCAATAGTGCCTCCATACTAGGGAAGATAGCACACCCTCTAGTGGGCATCAACTCCTCACTACCTTCACATAAATACACCTCGTAGCCGCTACTACTACTACTACTACTACTACTACTACTACTACTGCTACTACCAGTCTCTTCCTCTATACAGCAGCTAGGGTCCACCTCCAAGAGGGTAACAGCACCATCGATGCCTTCAATAGAATAGCTCACTACCGCTCCATCATCATATACCACGAAGAGGTAGTAGCTTTGAACCGTCTGGGGCTGCTTGTGGTCAGCCCCGTTAGACAGCTGTGGACGGTTCTCGAGACCCTTCCCCTCACCATTCTGCCGATCCATGATAGCCTAACGATACGACCAAACTCGACCGAAGACGCCAGCTCGCCATCCTAGTACCACATGTCGTACTCCTCCTCTATAGGGTGTCTCAGAAGAAGACGGAGAGGGCGGTATCACTCGCAACTTGCAGCTACGTTCAGTCAGAAGATCCCTGCTGCGGTAAACATACACATTCCCAAGTGACGTGCCCACTGCTAGGACCTGTACACAAGTAGTAGTAGAGACTCGAGCCTCGAGCCCCACCACGATACCGTCAAGTCCTTAGAGACATCAAAGCTGGTCACAGCCTCGTCTTGAGGAGCCCCTGCCAAAATCCTAGCCTCTCTCAAAAGGCAGGGCCGACCGGTACTCTGGTCAGTGCGGTACAGCGAATATGCCTTGTACCTGATCCCAAGTACCATCATCAACCCTTCCCCGCTTAGACGAGAGCGGCCTACTTCCAACATGTAGCCGACTCCAAGCCAGGTGTGACGGTGTCCTCTCCTATCGCCATCACACACTGCTTCAATGGGACATCCCTCAGCCCTACAATACTCCTATTAAATGCTTGCAGGGGAGCCTCTTCATGCTGGTCCCCCGCAGGGCCACTTGTCAGTGCCGCTCTAGTCGATGACCGGAGACTGACACAACGTAGTAGCAGTAGCGAATTTCCTTTTCTGTCACTGCTGGAGGGTCTCACTACTACTATCCCACAAGCCCTCGTCCGCGATAATCGAGATCCAATCACACTTAGAGGATCCACAAGTTTACCCACAAACTAACAGCCGCCATGAAGTGGCTGGCCTTCAACACGGCCTTCATCGCAGTAAAACTGAGTCTAAGAGCCGCGCTCCCAAATACTTCTATCATTCTAGTAACAATACAGACACCTTCACGTGCTCCAGACCCCAGTATGAGGCCGTAGGATTATGTCTCTACTGAGTATCGGATAGTAGCTACTGTTCCTAGTCGATTATTCCCCACCCGAGTTGATGCTATCCCCTCATCCCCTTTTTACTACTCTCTCTCCAATCTAACGACAGCCCCATCCTCCGAGCCCAGCCATACTGCATCGGACCCACCGGCAGCACAGGTTATCTTACGGCCCTCCATGCCTTCTATACTCACCAATGGTCTCCTCTCAAAAAAGGGTATTCGAGGGAGCCTCTGCATAATGATAACCACCAACTGCCGACATCGACATACCACTCCCTCGCCACTTCCTTACCAACCCAACATCTCAACCCGAAGGAGTAACTATAGTACGATGAGGCCTATTCTCGGAAGACAGTAGGCGCCCCCATACCCAGAGGCCCGTTGCTATACACAGCCTCCCCATTGTAGCTCTTCCCAGTGTAATGCCGGCCGGCCCCCTTACGCCGACCACCACCACCGTCCTCCTCATCGTCATCAGCCAGTAGTCGCCTCATGTCCTCTACTTGAGCTCTAAGGAAGGCGTTCTCTGCAAGGAGCTGATCTCGACTCAGCTGACTAGGGTCCGCAGAGACGCCCAATTGGTTGGCCGCATTAGGGGAGTTCTCGTGAGAGGCCAGGACGTCGTCAACCTCTACCTCCTCGAAAAGCAGTCGGTCCTCCTCCATCACCGGCTGAAGCCACTGGTCCGAATCCAGCTCGGCGACGGTCGATGGCTGCCGGCCGTTTTTACGCATGAAGTTGACGAGTTTCATACGGATATAATCGTCCGCTACATCGAACTGGTCATCGTGATTAACGTTGTGGAGGGTCCGCATGTGGTCCCATACCTCGGTCACAGGGCCTTCGGTAGAATAGTCGCAAATGCAGCACACGGCCGGGCTTTCCTGAGATGGAGGGCGGTGGTCATAGCTGGGCCTATTCCGTATCTTACAAAGTCAACCTAGAGATACTACCTGCTCATGATCACTGACTTCAAGCTCGCTATCCGACCAGCCTTCAGAAGACAAGTCACTGTCAGGCCCCGACAGGCTGTCGCTGCTGCTGCTAGAGGAAGAATACGATGGAGGACGCATAGTAAGAGGAAGGACGGTACTGAATATCCTAAGGTTAACCTTTGCAAGATACGGATGAGGCCCAGCAGCTTGCCTCGACTCTAAAAAACTATTACAATAAATGACCCTCTATCTCTCCACGATATCAGCGGAGTCTTAGCGTGAGTCCACACTCATACAGAGGGCTCTCAATCATCATGCGCTTAAAATGTCGAAGCGTTCCACAAAATTTAGCGGAGCGACGCGCGCGCTTTCAACGAATTACGATCATCTTCTCATCCTTCTGGTGAAGCTGACTCCTCTTACTAGGGCCTGTTTTACGAGAATACTTAATCGGAGGCGCCTTTGGTTTGGGAGCAACTCAACTCATTCCACAACGTCAAGGAGCAACTTTAGTAGCATAACCTAACCCGTCAGTGAGCCATCGTAAGTTACGCTTGCCTGAATACAGGAACAAGTATTGGGACAAGAAAACTCGGTTGGAGATGGCTGAACACGTTGGTGTGAAGAAGAGCTTCCTTAAACTCATGAAGCAAGTATAAAGTCTGCCAACACAAGTCGTCGGTATATTAACCCTCAAGTGTGCAACATGCTGGAGGACCATGGGATCTTCTGCTCGGCCCTTTGATGACCTCACATGGGGGATGTTCATGGGGACGAAGGCAACTCGGGGCCGTCCTTCTTCGCACTCGATCGATTTGGGTACATCTTCCCTACCGCTGACGCGGGTGATCTCTCAGCTGGAGTCTGCCGTCTTTCGAATTCAGGGCCATGAGAAAGCATTCAGTAGACCTCTTCCGCAGCCGCAAAGGTGAACCATCTCTATAGATATGCCGAGACCATCTCACGCTGGCTTGATAATTGCCTCAAGAACATAGGCAGCATGGCAAAGGTCTTTGGCCTCCAAGCCGCCTAACCCTTCATAGATATCATCTTTCAGCGATCGATGGTATGACATCTGGACAATCATCCTGGCGTGGAGCATGATGATAACCCGAGGAGGCGGCAGTGAGTGGCAGTTTACCAGCTCCTCCCTTATCCCTTACACATGATCGTCACCTGCGATCGTACCAAGTTCGTCGGGACTCACTCGGTCCTTCCAGTAACCTCAGCTGCTGGCGGATCTGCCAACAGGGTCGGCCGCCTCTCCCCCCGACAAGTGGATCGAAACGTGATCTCATCTAGCATGTGTTCGTTATAGACAATTGATTTTGTCACTGCCGAGTTATGATGCCCTAAACCGTATCAGCATCCCCTTTACACGTTGTGTTATAACATTAACATATATCAACCCAGTTCAATCAGGCCCCATGCCCTACCTTGCATACGACTACCGCGAGGTCCGACGCACCCCTCACAATCAGCGTAATGGCGAATACTGGACCTTCGTCCTTTTAGTGGTGACCGCCTTCATCCTCCATGTAGCAGCTCTGATCATCTCTGATATCATCAAGGCTCCTTGTGACGGTTGCGGTGGTGGTCAAAGCGCCATGTGCAAAGCCAAATGTGTAGCCTACGGTTGGCTGGTAACTGGCGTGTTCTGCATCTTATCCCTCTTTCTCTACCTACTGGGCTTCCTAGTGTCCGCATGGTGGGTGAACATGTTATTCATGGGTAAAGTAGCGTTGATAACCTCAGTCTTATCCACAATCATTTGTTCTATTGCGGTCATCATAGCCCCTCACTTCTACGACAATCACGTTAGTCCTATACTGCTGGGAGTAGCGACATTCTTGTTATTCGCTACCGTGTTCTACTTTAGGTAGTGTGAGCACCGCTCCTGTTGTTCATCATTGAGACTCTTGTGTTATCATAAAAGCATCCACTTGAGGGAAAAGGGCTAAACTGTGTGGAATTCGCATCCAACATAAACCCCCCATTCCGACACCAGAGGTGGGGTAATGAAATCTCCCATGAAAACAATACGATCTTTCCGGACGATGAATGAAATTGCCTTCGCGACTAGTAATAGAAGCAGACAGGACTAAGAAAAAGCGGCAATAATCCTTCCCGGTACAAGTCATGTAATATCCGGACCTCATCAGCGCGGCACACACCAAGTGAGAAAGGTGTGTTATTAAACACAAACAGGTTTTGGATCCTCATACGACTAGCCTATATCAAGAAGTGTGGCATGAATCTCCCATGTGTAGTGGTAACTAGCCCACGTACTAGGTAACGCACTGACGTAATGTGATACCAATAGAAACGTAGCATGAATTAGCATTCAAGCAACACCCTCTGCCTTAGGACTCGACAGAATCATCTCGGAAGCCGCCAACTTGGTCTCTGCTGTCGCCCCTCGAGGAATATAATGGGCTGGTCGCAATGGTGGGGCTCCATCGTCCGGTACGAACCTACGATAAACATACTCTTCACGGCAGAGTTGAAATAAATGCTCGCTTTCCTCAGCTGAGCTCAAGAAATTCCTCACTGATTATGGAGGTGTTCAGAAATCAACAAGAATTTCCCAAAATTTCCTCAGGAATTTCAACACATGTAGTTGACCATGTGCATATTTTCCCACACTGTTCCACCGTAGCCCAACTCCAACTACTCACATCTCCGAGCATGGCCGAGCTCCCTCTGGTGGTGGACACTTGAATGCCGGTCCGAAATTAGCCTCGACCGTTGCACCCCCGTACAACGACACTGCAGGGAAGTACCTGCATCACGGCTGTAGACCAAACAGTAGCCGACTCCTCACTCGCCCTCCACAACGTCATTGAATGCCACGCCAAGACTCTCCCCATTCAGCGTGTATGATAATGCAGAGCCCTCCGAGATGCTCGGTATCGGGGGATCTTCTGGATCGCACAATAGGCCTGATCATTCTCACCTCGCTGAGTACAACCGAACAAGCAGCTACCTGGCAACCACAGGGAGCTTTCGGGTCGTCCATCATCCGCCCGTAATGGCGTCTTGGGGGGATCTCGTATGAACAGATGGCAGCCCATCTGAAGTCGGCCGAGCACTACTGACCTTCCTCGCCATCAACAGCCATACCGTATCTCCCGGAAATATCCTCCGTTTGCCATAAGGTATCCTCTTGGCCACCACCTAAGCCATAGACATCACTTTTCCCAACCAGTAGTTACACCCACTATCTTGCATGCGTCCATATCCCGCATAGCATAAGAAAAACAGTCGCTACCAATAGGCATATCATATCGAGTCATTCTAGTCGACCACCCCACCCTGATATGAGGTTCCATCCTCGATACCACACCAGGATGCCTCGAGCCCTCCCCCAAGAACGTGAGCTCATAATACCAGCCACCACTACTAGCCCCATGGGTCGCCAGCACCTACAGCAGACGCTCTCAACAATCACTAATAACACCATCCCACCGTTGAATAGCCCTGGTCACCACTGGCCTCCAGCCGATTCTCCGAAATGTGGATTTTTCTATCAACGTATCTGACCTCCGTCCTCTCACCGCCGCAAAGGGCCCGCCCAACCTAAGGCTCCATCCCATCTCCCTGCACTCCCTATCAGGATTGTTGATCATCACAGGGGCCGTACGGAGAAAGCTGCCACTAGGCGGTGGGGTACCTCCCGACCCACTGCCCGACGGTGATGGATCTGTCCCCTGACGTACTACGGCTCAGTTATGCATACGAAGAGGTATGACGATAAGACCTTCCTTTTGGTGACAGTAGAGCCCTTCCGTGGTCTCCCTCCTGGTCGCTCCTTGCCACTCATAACCAAAACGAATAATCCTCAAATACTTCCACCCAACACTGAACTCAACACCAACGCTCTCGAGACTACCATCACCACCACCATCGTCACAGCGACTACGATAAAACTGAAGTCACAACAGCGTCATACTGGAAAGCTCAATGGGACGGCATAAGACGGCGTAGACCCATGACCCAGTTCTTGTTGTGCTCCCATTCATGAGCACTCAAGTCCGCCTAAGAGTCAAGCCATTACTCACTAGAAAAGGAAGGTAAGAATCGTCATTACCACAAGCCTCTTGGCAGTGTTGAAGTCCTGAGCATCAACAGCTGCACACAGCTCCTTCACCTTCTCTTGCGCTGTCTCCGATATATCCCCACTTTGCAACTTGCCGTAGAGCTCACCAAGCCGCTTGGTAAGGTCCTCACCTGTAGTACACTACAAGGACAGAGACACACCCCAACGCGGAATCGTGAATGTGAAGATGAACAACACAACGAGACAGTATATGTGGCTAGCGTTTCGACACATACCCTCAACTTTTCTTTATAAACCGACACTCATTCCCGCCGGACAGGCAGTAGTTAGTATGAATATGACTACGAACTCAGCAGCTCCAAGGTGAGCGACCAAGTCCTGGTCAATACACGGAAACAAATTTACACGTATAGTATATATTATCAAGTAAGCTACTAACCTCATGCATAGATATGCTCTTCTATCATAGTACATTCCACGGTACATTAACGAGACTTCTATACGAAATAAATCTCATACAATTTTCAGTCAATTCCAACAGTTCCATTTACAGCAGTACACCATCTTTTTCCGGTCCATACGGGTCTATCAATATAAGATCCGCGTCTTATCCCTACCAAATTTGAGGCTACTACCGACCATATCGAGATCGCCGTATCAACATTTTCCCGCAGCACATGCCCCCCCAATAACCTACGCTTCCGTCGATTGCCATCCTGACAGTTGATCTCCAACAGCTGATTCAGTACCTGCATACCACTCGTCTCTCTACTCCCACGGCAGCAGTAGTGCTACCCTCTGGCAGTTGGAAACATCGGCGGCCGCCATCGGAGGAGCCTGGGGCTGAGCAGGAGCACTATGGGCACCCACTGCCTGGTTCCCACTCAACGTAGCAGGGTTACTGTAGCCACTCTGCTGTACCTACCACCTTGCATAACCTAGGACCACCTCAAACGCCTCAAGCTTACAGAAGTAGGCACAGGCCAGCTCACCGGGAGGCCCGGTGTAGTCGATACAGCGGCAGCATGCGGCGCCGTAGACGTTCCTGAAAGCAGCACTTATACACTTCTACCCGTTCACAGCATACTACCGGATCCCATAGGAGCCGACTGCTGCATAGGCGTTGCTACACCTCCTCTCATGGACCTAGCACATGCTACGATGATCACCGCCATCGCAGACAGGTGTACTCTATTACCCTGAGGTAGGCCCGTTCATCATCGGCGAGACCCCACCACCCTGTTGTTGCTGTTGCATCCCATACTGTTGCCTAGGAGACCTCTGTGCATAGGCCGGCGTGCCATACCCCGTCTGTGATACTCCTGCTGCATGGGGGCCTCCATAACCCACAGCTTGCTGCTGCTGTTGTGGCTGTTGGCCAGGACCATACCCAACATGACCTTGCTGTTGTTGGTAGGCTCCCTCTGCCTGGTACCCCGGAGCTGCACTATAAGGTGACTGCTGCCCAGGACGAGCCCCACCAGGCGGCATGGTCCCCGGCATACCCGTGGGTTGGGGAGGAACTTGCATCGCACTACGACTCACAGCAGCCGGCGAGGCCGCCGCTACAGGCCTGACCAATGACGCATGATAGAGTCACCACACAGACCCTACTACTACTACTACCCATGGGACACTGAGCCAGCATAAGAGGCCACACTAGGAGCCATACCAGGGCCTACTGGTGGCCTATTATGACCATACCCAGCAGCAGGACCAGTAGCTGACGACCGCATGTAACCCTAAGAGACATCGTACGAAAATGAAATGGGGCTATGAACCCCTACCTGCTGCTGTTGATGATGACCATACATCCCACCTGGCGTAGACGGACGCTGACCATACGGAGTGCGGCCTGATGGATACCACACTTCCTCCACACATCCATGCACCCGGGTTCGATCCACACACCTGTCGAATGTTGTTGCTGCTGCTGCATCATTCCAGGTCTTTGTTGCTGCTGCTGTCCAGCTGGCTGTATATTGACGGGTTGGAAAGGGAAAGGCGGGGCCGTGGGGACTATCTGGTTCATGACTCCTTGGGGCGCCGAATTGTAAATGCCTAAGGCACACGTCAGAAGGCCATCAAGAGGGGACGAGGAGGAGGAACTTACGGTCCTTCAAAATGTCCGATGCAGCATTCTGAGGCCCTTGCTGTTGATACTGATTGCCTGATGAGAAAAATATCATCACCAGGGATCGAACCGACGACCTCCGTACTGCTCGGCTTGATGATTGTCAAGTATCGCATCGCCGCCGTTACTCTGCCACTGTTAGCCAACATCTGTGCATACCTGAATATCAGTCCTCCTACCGATCCACAGCTGCAGCTGCAGCAAGAACACCCACCTCGACACCCTCGACACGAATATCGAGTCTTTACCCTCATACTTCACAGCTGCCTAAAGACAACGTGCCAGTTGCATAAAATATTACACTCTACCTGCATCACGGCCATCTTCTCAACCAAGTCCTGCAGGGCAGTCGATTGAGACGACGCCCCAGGAGTTGACATCGACGCCCAAATGCGAACCGTTTGACTAAGGAATACGCACAATTCCATCAATAATAACCCTCCGTCCTCCCCACCTAAAGTTTCCACATATCATGTAGCACAGCACAGCCGCCCTTATGTCGAATCTCTCCTTCTCAAGACGCTGGGCCAAATTCTCACAAAGCTGCGGGAACCTGTCGGCCACATCAATGCATGAGCCCTAGTAGTGATGGAGCCTACTCCTGCTCGTTAGCGTAGGTACAAAGTATAGCCAAAGTTTCCTGCCAAGAGTTGAGGTCCGATGTAGACACCAACTTGTCCATATCATTGGTCATTATGTATGAAACCTGACAACTCCCTCACTCCTCTACTGCCGTCACCACCCCTTCCTACCATCCGGAAGAAAGGGTCTTGCTGCCTTCTCATGTACTCATCCCTAGTCCTAAGCCACAGGTCCTGGCCACCCCCCGAGGCCAGCAGTAAGGCATCAGCGTATTTGCTAGATCGCATACAGCAGTCAACCGCAGCGTCGAGATCACCTTAAATTTAGACAGGAATCAAACGCTTGAACACCACAGTGGCATTACCAACGATAAGGCTCTGTTTTATGATATGCTCTACCCCACTAGTCCAGTCGGTCTCCTAAAAGATGCAAAATAGGTCCACAATGAACTAGCTAAGCCAACTCACCGATCGAGTCATGTCGGCTATCGGACTGAGGAGCCCACCAGCAGAGGCAGCTCCCACTTGCTCTCCTGCTTGTTCAGACTCTTCATTAGTCCTGCAAAAATACTCTCACCAGGATTCGAACCCACGACCTCCACCTCACTACCTCGCCAACGTATCAAACAGACTCTCAGCCTGTTCCGAGTCCATTGCCGCAATCTGCTGTTGTTGTTGCTGCTGCTGCTCTTGCTGTTGTTGTTGGTTATCAGCCCCACTCCCCACTCCACCTACCAAGACAGCCTAGCCTCAGACACTGCCCCCAGCGGCGGCGGCGGCCTCCTACTCTGGTTAACCAGTGCATTGTCACTCTTATCTCTCTTCACGGGCCTTCCCAAATACTCCTCTGCTGCCCTCACTATCTGGCTATGATCAATGCCTATCTTGGCCACGATCTGTCACAAGCAACCTCTACCCCACACCATGCTCCCTTTTGCCCTCACCTCCTGTCTATAATCCTCATCAAAGAGGCATGCCATGATGTCCCAGCTCAGCCTCTCATGCTCATCATTACTCTCATCTATCTTCACCTCGCAGTAGTCTTTCAATGCACCTACAAACAACCCCCACTACCCTCCAAGGACTAGGATCTCCATCATAATAGAAGACTCTTCTTATTATGCGCTGATTCCCATACCTCGTGCTAAGTAGTTCTCAAATCGATCAGCCTCCCCTACTAAAGCCGGCTCCTCTGGTATAACTTCCATCCGGACTTGTCTGAACACCATCACCACCCTCACAACAGTCCCCTCAGATATTTGCCTTACGTGCTATCTGGTCCAAATGACACCATCTTCCCCGCGAACCCAAACGATACTCCAACTGGTGCCTGGTGACACAAGCCGGTGACACGCAAGATACTCTCCCAAGCACTACTCCTACCTTCTGCCACTTCGGCGGCGTCCTCACATTATTAACATGCTGCCTTGCGGTCACACTTTGCACCGTCACCTTACCTAAATGTCCCCAATATATTCATCAACTCCAACAAGACCCCTCATCACCATTAGTAGCCGCAGTAGCAACAACTCCTGCCGAGCTATTACTCCACGCCACATCAAAGGCCGGAGACGTGCACTGTAACTCAGCGAATATGTCCATGGACGACGCCTGACAGAACACCATCAAGCCTACTGTCAATTCTACTATCGAAACCTACCTGATCCTGATTGCCTGGTGCCCCCTGAGCCGTAGTCGCTTCCCCCATATGCCACACGACAGTCCTATTATCCCTGCCCGACGTGAGGAGCAAGGAACTGTCTTGCGGACAATAAGAAGCACACGTGATGCCCTGAGACATACAATTGGGTATAGGAAAATACTAGCCTACTCACCTTAGTATGACCAGAAGTCTCCTTGAAGGGATACCGACAATTCCGCAGGTCCCAAAACTGCACTGTGGGGTTGTTGTCATCATTGTAGGCCACAAGAAGCTGCGTCGGAATGTCCGGATGCCACAACAGGCTCGATATCCTACCACGACCAGCCCTTTCATATCACCAACAACTCCATCCCCTCTATTACCTAGTCCTGTTGCCGGGGTCTCTGAAGCCGATCACCTCCTTCTTAGACTTGAGGTCCCATACGACTGTTAGACCATTGGTGCCTAACGACCAAGACGGCGCAATCTACTCCCCATACAGTATGTAATGTTCCCTACCACTAGCAGTAGCAAGAATGTGCTGGACCTTCCTATTCCAGTCTAGACAGGTAACCTCAGTACCTACAACGCCAGTCTCAGCATGATAGGCCCACATACATAGCCTTTCTACTACTACTACTACTACTACTACTACTACTACTACTACTACTACTACTACTACTACTACTACTACTACTACTACTACCAGCATGCTTGTTCGGACCGTGTGTTGGTTTGAACACGCTGGGATTCCTCGGGTTGTCACAGCTGATGATGTTCACCTCACCATCAGCTCCTCCAGAGCCGATCAGACCAGGCTTAGCCGGATGGAATTGCAACTATACACCAATCATAAATATCACTACTGCCAGCGTCCTTACCGCCGTAGTAGGCATGCCGTTGTGCAACTGCATTTCATTCAACGTACCATGCTCCCTATCACCACCATCCAGGATAGCCGCCGGGTCCCACAGTCTCACAGTGCCTGACCAGGCTCAGCAATACACTCTACTCCGAAACTAACACCCTTCCCAGTATTACCATCACCAAGTCCACCGGCGAGGATTCCCATAGGTAACTTGGAGGAATCCGGGAAGGTCCCCCAGTCTAGAGCATGAAATGGAGCCTCCAGAGCAATAGATGCCAATATCTACGACCCACTGAAATCCCCCCCACATCGTTGCATTATTACCGGCATCTCAGTGTCGCTATTGCCCAGATCCATCTTGGCGAACTCTAGCTTGGTGTTGGTTGAAAAATCATTGCCGCTGATACCTACACAAATCACTGAGAAGTCTTATGGCTTGGACGGGTGTTACCTGAAGTAGCGCCTCCCATCGCCAACACATTCCTTCGATCAGGAGAGGCGATTCCCTCTGGCGCGAATGCTATGAAGGCCGTTCTGTTCGACGAGGTCTTCATAATAAGAAAACTAGATGATAGACTATGACTGAGCACTCCCACGCAAAGCCAACCCACACAGTCAACGCGACAAGCTTCATCACACTATGTCAGTACTGTTAAGGCTAGGTACTCCCAGCACCATAGAAGTTCTAGGCTAGATGAACCTGACGGGAAACTCTTCCGAGGGGAGTGCTCGCATATACAATCAATAATGCTGCACGAAGCAACTACCCCGCCCACACTCCAATGATAACCCTTGTCAGGGATGGTATGATCCTCCTCTAAGAGGATGTAAGGCTACACCATACCAACATCTCACACTCTTTCAAGTGAGGTGAGTGGCCCCACGGGCGAGCGCGACGAATGCTCACATCGCGCACGCCCATACGCATTCCCACTGGTCCCAGCGCCTAATCGCGGTCTGGGGTAACTAGCCAGATCGGCGCCAGGGTCGCATAATAAGTCCTCCCCTCTTCTACAAGTGTAGCAGTGATCAATATCAACACCCTGTGTGAGCCTTCCCGCAATACCAGGAGTGGGCTATTAAATATTCAAGGACGATAGGTCCCGTAATATGGGAACTGTATGAGGGCTAACACAGATACTCACACAAACACTACCCGGAGCTCGATAATTACGTGTCGCGATGATCAGTCCGTGAACACTCTCATGCCCTCGTAAGAGGTGTGTGGACTCGAGAATCCGAACTCAAAACTATATCTTTTTGTCTGACCAATATGTCCGTTATGAGGCGTAGACGGACGATTTCGAACTCAAATCCGACAGCGGATATATGGAGGGGATTGGCTCGTTGTGAAGTGAAGGGCGATCCGAGGAATAGAAGGACAGCTCAGCTCTTGACACATGTTTTACTCGCCACGACAGAAACGATATTATCGTCTTTATTATCGCTCTTACCATTGCCGGCCTATGCCTGCAAGATGGCTGCAGCAGTGAAAACACAGTTCAGGTTTTCCTGTGCATATAAACACTCCGATTGAAAACACTCTCCTACCGTCGCTGGAGGGTTGAAAGCAGCCGTGACGATGAACACCTCCATCACGGCAAATGTCAGAATGGTAGCCTTCTACATTATCCTTGCATACTTCGCCGCTAATTCGCTTATCCACTGTGCTTATGGCATTCACCACAGCACAACGAACAACCTCCGTTTGAACAGTGGTGAGGGGTTGGATGTCAAGATGGATAATATAATCAGACTGACTACCAAGAGTGTCGGGAGTTCCCCCAAGAGTTTTCCTCTTATCATTGGTGGTCATAACGGTGCTAAACTGAAGAGACTCGAAGATGTGTTGGATGCGATTTCTGTAACTGACCGAGTAGTTCTGTTGCTGCTGGTCCCGTCGCACAGTGGGGAACGGTATTTGTGGAGAGCTCGATCGTTGATGTTTCCGCATCCTTCAACAACCGAAATTATGCTATGTCGATCTCTACAACGAAAATGACGCAGGGGATCATCGCGGCCAACTCAGATCAAGTTTTGGAAATGGAAAACCAAGTCAATGGCGACGTCGCATGATAGAGCTGATGAAGAATGCCTATGTGCTCAAAAACAGTGGACTCGGGCAGATAACCCCTGACTGTTCACAAAACCATCTCCCGACGCGTCAAGACACCTGTTTCAGCTGATTTTCAGCTGATGCCAACATGCGTCTATTCTTGTCATACGATAACCCATTGTACTCCAATGATAGCTCAACACCACACAGATGTGAAATGCCTCTATTCAACTGTATGCTGTTGTTGTTGCTGCTGCTGCTGTTGTTTCTGCTGCCCTTGTTGAGGCTGTAACATCCCGAGGTTGAGCATTTGCAGCATCTTCTTACGTTTATACCTACCACGACGCGATCCCCCAATCCCTAATCGCCCTACAACTCACTGTAATCGTTCCCGATGGATGTTATCCGGCATCGCCGATAGAAAGGACTTGGCCAGGAGAGCCTCCTGATCCTCTTTGATTATCACATCGTCATCTTCGTCCTTCTGCTCTTTGCCATCAAATGCCCACCTAACATTTGTCATCGACGCGCGCCACAAAATTGTCAAAGTCGACAGCCATATTGATATTCAATCCATATCGATATTTCAAACGAGTATGAATGAGCTCCAAGATCGATGTTGATTTCCACCATGCGAGATCAGGAGTCAGTCTCACCTCTTCAACGTCAAGCCTTGAAGCTCCTCATCCTGACCACTCTCATTGCCAGTCAACCGCTTCAAATCCAGAAGACCCGCCAATGTAGCCGTCGCTGACTTTCCTGTGCTTTCCCCCCTGGTCAGTCGCTCCATCCGATTATCATACATATACCTGATACGAGACCATCCTCTTAGGTTCGCAACGCGTTGTCGATTCCGCTCACTTGTCGGCTTGCATCTCACGATAATTATCCACGTTGATTTTCGGCAACTCCAACGTCTGTAAATAGCGCAACTGTTGCTCTACGTCGGGCAATGACAATGCCGTTATAGTCCTCTCGACAGCCTACGAGGAGCTAATGCCACCAATGCTCATAGGAGAGAGCTCACCCCTGCACCCTGCACCGCTGCCAACAACTGTGCTGTGGCTTGTTGGGAGCTACCGCCGCCTCCCGTCCCGGTCTGACAGTAAGAAAATAACAACGCACAACCGATGAGGTTTTCAAGTGCTCCATCAAGACCAGTGATGGGAAGAATCTCCTGGCAGGGTCACAACATGTAGGTCGTGAAGCAACTCGAGACAGTATGCATCAATTTCCTCATTCCACGAAAGGAAAGCAAGTGTCAGAACCGGCGGCTACCTGAGGGACCTGGGCCAACTGCTGACCGGTCCGCTGTAGCATCGCCTCGAACTGAGCCTGTTGAACAGCAGCTTCTGCCGTCTTCAGCTGCGGCAATGCACCTTCGGGGATTAGGTCCATTAGGCCCCTGAAAAGACCGACCGTCATACATCCCCTCCAACCTCCCAACCGAAGCCGCGGACGGATGAGACCATGCCCAGCTCACAGAACAGGCTTCGGAGTGTCGATCCGGACCGAGTCCTCGATAGTTGGTGCCGGCGGATCGGGCTTCGTAGCTTCTGCACGCAGGTCCATATCGTTAGGATCCGCCACGCCAGCCGTTGGTCCTGTATCCTCTGAGGAAAGGGCCGATAACACACAAAGGGTGCTGCCCTCACACGGGAAACACCAAAACTGGATAGCCTTAGAACCGTAAGTACGAATCCTCGCTAAATGTATACCATGCGGGGTCGACACAGTTAGGTTTCGATAGGGAGTGTTACCATTCTGTTGCTCTCCTCGATGTGCTGTTGGATCATAAGCCTTCACAACCTGCAGCCGACTCATGTCCGGCCGCTTAATCCCCTGTGATAGGAGCTTGCTTGCACCAGCACGTCCATCCATAGCGTCTTCTACCGCAAACATGAATATACTCAGCTACAGTACTAGAGGGGGGCCTTACCTCCGTCCAATGAGGCATCACCATCATCCAAATCGATTATCTCGTCTCCTGCAGCAGTCGGATCTGTCGTACCCTGAGAGCAACAACAGTTCCGCCCTGTCACCAAGGACCCATCTAGCTTTGACAAATAACGTCTCCCAGGGTTTGATAACGATAAAAAAAGTGTTGCTACTGTGATGACATTTACGTGAGGAAACTGATTGGAGAATGTGATATCCCCAGATAAGCTATCCAGATAATGATAGGAACATGGGGTTTTTCGCGTGTGATGTGGCGGATGTATGGTATGTGAGTTATACACTAAACGACAGAAAGTAAATCCGGTCAGATTGTACACGCCAGAAACCTCAGAGATAAGCTCTTATACAATCCTGTATCCCAGCGCAGTAGCGACTCCTACCTCCTTGAGTTGCTTCTTGCTGATACCACCAGCCCCACTACGGAGTCCGTCTGGGACTAGCGTTCGGAAACGAATAGAAGAGAGGTAGCTCGAGTAAGAACGATGTTTCAACGGTGTCGGCGCTGGTAGAATCCTCCTGAAGACAAATTGTTAATAGGCACGCATCAGAGCGACTCAAACCCAAGACGAGACATTGAAGGCCTTCTTCCTCACGTGTTGAAATAATTAGAGTCGAACACGCCCAGCTCGGCTGCCAGCTCATTTCGAGCTCCCACGCCATGGACGTCCGCCACAAAGTCCTCGAGGATTGGTATCAACATCGAGCGCTTTTCCGGATAGCGCTGCAATGCCATCCGTAATAGGTACTCCGCCGCTGCCACATTCTTGACCACCTGCGAGGACAGATTAGTTAACCGATAGGAATGCTTCAAACAAGCTTGACTCAGTGAGAGCAAGGGAATCCCCTTCTATTATGAGCACGCATGCTTACTCGATATTCTAGTCTAGCCATGTCTACTATCACTTCCGCGCTCATATGCCGCGACTTGCTCGTCAGCTGCTGCGTGAAAAGTTCACGACACTTTTCAATACCGTACGTCCGACACTTATACCTGACTAAAAGTTACCACACCACGGAAACGGTGAAGATCTCCCACCTGAGGTAGTGTACGAGACCTGTAGGACAGCTCTGTTGTATGGAGTCGAAGACAGATAGAAGATCTGTATAGGTCTGATCAGCTTCGTCGACCTGCCGCCCAGCGTCATCTGAATAAATGATAGCCTATAGAACAGCAAACGAGTCCTGTTAGCAACATGACGGTATCGGACACCCCTAGATGCAGTAGCTCCATTGTGGCCTGTAGACTACCGTCAAATAGTACACAACACCTTACCGGTTTTCCTCAGGCCGTAGTTGCTTTGCTCTTCTTCTAGTACCATAGCCAATACCAGTCGGAGACAGACATCGTACGGTAAATACTTCTGAATCGCATGAGCCCTTCCGAATGCAGCTCCCAAAAGCCCCGCTGTACATTAATCGCCGTTCGCAGCGTCTCCACTGGCGCCGACTCAGTGGGCCTCACTAGCAGCTGTAATTGATATGAATACTGCCACACGAAGTAGTCGTACCAGAACTCAGCAACGTATCTAAGAACATCAGAACGTCTTCAGCCGACCGATGAACCCCAAGCCCCTACGCATTCCCCATGAGGCACTGGCGAAATACTAAATCCACTCTTGCCCGGAGGGCCTCGGCACATTCCGGCTGCGGCAGCTGAGAGAGAAGATTTAAATGCGGATAATGGGCCGGGAGCGCTGCCCACCTGGAGAGGATTCGACTTCTCATATAGCAACACTTGCCGCCAACCCTTGATGTTACGACGCAGCTTCCGAGCCGACTCTGACGTTAGGGGAACGGGCACAGCAAGAGGGATAATCTGAGCATATGGCTACGTATTGCCGGCTCAGTTTCTCTACGTTACATCTATACAACTACTACTGAGACCCCACAAGCTGCTGTTACCTGCCCATAGAGTCGGGTGAGCTCTTTATACACCTGTTTCGATGACATATATCGATTGGAATATTCAGTAAGCAGTCTCGAGCACAGCGATGGCCCCACTCCCTGAACGTGGATATTAGACCAACGAGAAGCAGGCTTCCCTGGATGGCTCACATCTCCGTAATGGCCTTGCTCCCAGCCTACAGCGACCGGCTTCTTCTTCTCATCCTTCTGTTCATGGTTGTGGATGGCCTGCTCGAACTCCTGATACTCGTCCCTGACAAGCCGCTCTCGAACTGATACTTTCCGTAGACGCAGAGTACTTGGGACACTCTCAGAATAGTCCCACTCCTCGGACGACTCTGTAAGTTCTAGGAAATCTCTCAATGCAAGAAATTTCAAACACAAAAAAGTATTACTGCCAAAACGTGCTCGCCACATGAAAATCAAAAGCCAACTAGAAATACTTCGCGTCACAGACTATTACGAAGGAGAGTATGCGCCCAAATCCACTACCAAAGCTGATCTATGAAGTTAGAGGGTGTTGAGACCGCGTCTTGATAGTGTTGTCTGATTATATCAATGCTTGACTGGAACGATACCTATGGCAGATACCGGTAGCAGCAAAACTCACAAAAGGCAGAAAATGCAAAAAATGTGAGAAACGCCAGAAATTCTCTACATTATTCCAGCCTGGGTGCCCTCTGACCTTGCACATACTGACAGCGAAATTTTCTCAGCATACTCTCAAGATTTGAGCGGCGCTTCCTCCCCCCTCCTCCCGACGGCGCTCGCTGTGCAGGCCTTCCCGCACTACCTGTTCCAAGTTAGCCTCTGAGACAAGCGCTAAGGATATGCCCGGCGGCGGCTCATCGGGCACAGGCAGCTCCAGAGGCGTATCACCTGTATACTCAACATGCTGTCTATCAATACCACACCACGGCTACCTCTCTTATCAGGGTCTTCAGAGACGTCCTCACTGCTGGTGTCCCCTCGGGTCAAGGCGAAGGCATTCTTTTGCTGATGGTTGTAGAGCATCTTCAGGAGGTACCTTTCAAACGCATCGAATATGCTTAACTCATCCCATCCATCGACGAGGGCACACGGCGGATTGCTGCTATGTGTAAACTTAAGAGAAGTTCTACCATCCCGTTATCCGAGGCCAGCCTTGTACTACCCATATTCCATCCACAGTCTGCCTGAGTCCCTATCCTGTCCGACTGCCTGTAAAGCATCACTATAAGTCGGCAAAAGCTGTGCCAAGGGCTGTGCTGCTTTGACGTTGGCCAGATGTCTCTCCCATATGGCAACCTGAGAGGGGTTGAGCTCGAGCCGTATCACAATGACTGGAGGCGGGTCGTCGAATTGACAGATGGATAACTGTATTACGATGGGACAATGCTCGGTGGCCCTCACAGACAGAGCCGCTCTCCTTTTAGCATCGGCGCCCACAGTCTCGGACATATAGTCCAGATACTTTATCCAGAACACCGCTGCCGAGGGGTACTTCGTAACCGCCGACTCGAACTTCGATACTGAAATCCAGATGCATACGACTGATTGCGGAACCCCAATGAACAGTCTCAATAACCAGCAAACCACGGCGACATCACTGACTCGAACTGAGGATCAATTTATACTACTACGATGTTTGCGTGTAGAGCGGGTGGGCAGAGACTAGCAGGTTGACTGCTGGGTCGGACTACTGGAGCCACAGCGTCTAGTGAACATATATAGGAAATCTCATGTAGGGTATTTAAATTCCCCCACCCCATGCTGATCATCCTTCCCCAGTACCAGTCGGGCGAGCATCCAATGAGGCCAACAGCTTGGTGATGTCCTGTAGATTCACGGAGGCACTGGTGCCACTGACTACTGCTGATGATGGTGCCATGGAAGCCGACAACCCTACAGTTACAGCCACACCTCGTAACCAGCTAACCCCTGCAGTTAACCCACCCCTTTTGAACCCTGGCAGCGACAAGTAAACAACCCATATTGACTTTTCTCATCGAAATTAGGGGGAAAAGTTGCCGCGCACATTTCGTCAATTTAATTTCCTCAGACTTGAAATCACGGCCATATGCCTCTCCTGGTCCACTCCTTACTATAACCCAACACTTGCTCATAGGAGCATGCAAGAAGCTGCCGACATGAGAACCAAGTCATAAGCCAATACTACTACTACTACTGCCATAAAGCCACCAGAGGGGATAAGATGTAGATCTACTCTTGACGACTATCGTGCACTATCGCAGTTATTACTGCTGAATACTTGATCATGAATACTACACAGACAAGACAATACAGATCCAGGAAGAGCCATATGGACTTCACAACGTCAACCACAACCATAGACTAGTGTCGAGCAGCTGACCATGCCTAATAAATTAGCATCGGTCCTCACAAAAAATCATCAGGCGAATCCAGGGCGTCTTTGAGATAGTCGTCAATATCAAAGCCGATACCATCCAAGCAAGCATCACTGTACTGACCATAGCTGCTACCGATACCTGTACTCGTATCATGAGACACAGTGGAAGACACAGGACTGGACTCAATCAGTCCAGCATGTTCCTTAACAAAAGGTGCCACCACGATCGGGACACCTACGGCCACGACACTCTTTGCCACCGCGCGCGCCCACATGATCGGTTACCATTAACCTTTATAGTTCCACCTCCCATGTTGTTGATTGCAATAATAGCCTCGACTTCATGCGAATCTGGCATCGAATTCGCGAGACCCATCCATGCTGTCACGTATGCCATACTATACGTGAGACTTTCCGCATCCCCATCCTCCTCTTACTTTCCACTATAACGAATCCCATATTAGCTGGTCGCTGTCGTTCCCTTCCTGATTTAGTCGCTCCATCTGGAGACTCAGGAGCTGCACTGGCCACCACCTGTCCCAGCAACAGGTAGGCGAGCCCAATAGGGCATCTCTCACCATAACTCGACGGACCTCCATCCCTAGTTCCTTCTTAAAATAGTCGTACAATATACTGGGTGAGTCGTATCCCAAGCGTTGAATCCTTCTCACTATGAATACATGCCCTTCAGGCTGATTATGTCTAATACAAAAAACGCTCCGCTCCGCTGGATCCCAGGTCTCACGTATAAGTCAGAATATCTCTTAGAGATGCCGTCACGTTACGCTCCTCGCCATCCTGCAAACATATCATCAATCAAATAAGCGCCAGTTTTCATTACATCGTTCCGAAGAGGTAAACGAGGAGCTGCGACCTTCGTAACCCTACTGTTACGAGTGACCGGAGCCACTGACTGGTGACCTGAGCTCGACAGGAATCATCTCGCATGTGTTAGTACCACCAAGGATAATGCTGGAAGACCCAGTCTGTCGCTCACCTTCCTCCTTCTCGCCCCAGCACCTTCCAGCACAACGCTGACTACGAGATGCTGACGGATTCTGAAGAGCGACCAGTAACGATATTACAGTACACGTATTGTTACATAAGAGCTGAGCCGCATGGTGGGAGGGCTGTCGGGCTGCGGAAGAGTGCCACCCTTGACTAGGCCAGTAGTCGAGGGTGCTTCCCCAGACCTCAGACGAAGGACTTGACCACGATACATCCGAAAAAGGTATTTCGACAATACAAGGGTGAATGAGGCTGAGGAAAGACACCAGTTGTAATTCAAAAAATGAGATAACCCATCGACCTGAACCCCACACTTGTTACAGATTTCGGGACAATACAGTCTGCATGCCATCTAGAGCAATATCGTTCCCCGAAATCTCAACATTAACGCTCAAACTCAGTGTATAGGTGAATACATTTTGTCATCCCTACCACTCCAACCGAGCATCGGAGCGCAATGAGAGATGGAGAGAACGTGAAAGAGCCAACTCAAGGCAGAGTGAGGGAGGGGGGACCCCTTTGAAACATAATTAGGCTTGATGATATCCTCATGCCTTCTTGGTCTTGGGTGTCACTTTCTTCGGTTTCGTTATTTCGTCCAACTTCTTCACCCGCCTAAAACCACACAAATACGCAATGACATGAGTTATGTAACAACGAGTATCGCCATTCACTTCATACGTGAATACTGCCTTACTCTAGAATGCCTTGGGCATCACAGGTTCCTAGCATGAGCTCGCTAGTACGAGGCATCAAGCCTCGTTTCATCAACTCTCCACAGGCGACGGCAACAGGATCCGATCCCACTGTCGCTACTGCCAGAATATGATCACCCTAAGGAAGATTACCAAAACTGCTTCGCTCCGCCCAAGAAACGATGCTCCTTTTACCCGACAATAATAAGCCACGAAGCGACTCTCTTTGAAGTCCCCTTCGATGATAACATTATCAAAAAAATTAGATCCGTCCTTGCCACCTGTGCTGCCAACGTACCGCAAGGACTTGCCAAATATCATCGTCCAGAAATAGGGTACCGTATTGTACCTATCACGCATTTTCATCTGACTCGCGTCACGCGCCACAAAACTCACGGTCTAAATTTTCCAGCCATATTCGCTCCCGCAATTCTGCCCATTTGTAGTGCAACATCCCAATGCTCCACTCTCAGCGGCTCACCTAACCTCAGTATCCTCGGAATGAACTCACACTAATGATGAAATCTTGCCTGTGCGCACATCGGGGTATCTTGCCACATCTCCAGCAGCATAGAGCGTATTGCTAAAGGAACCATCAGCAAGCTGTACCCCCAAGAAAGGGTCCGTCGGCAGTGACCCATCGGCCTGAGACATCATCCTGTAAGCCACAACAGTTGGACCAACGGGGGCACCTACAGCCCTCTGTACACCAGTAAGCTGTGAAGTATTAGGGACTGCCCCTGTACCCATGATGACAGCGTCCGCGAAAAGGAGATCACCATCATCAAGCTCCACCCCATTCACGAGACTGTCCTCACTGTAGGCTGAGTGCAAACCAATTGCACAGCCCACCACGCACTAGTTTGTAATTACACCCGAACAAATTTCGCTCGCCCGAAAATATGAAACGGCTGGGGAAAGAGACGATCGTCCGATTTTACCAGTGGAATACAAGCTCGGATGAAGTTCACACTTGAACAGATTATTTTATCTGAGCTCGGAATAGTATTGTTTCCAAGCTCTCGAACTCGGAAAAGTGAGCATTTGAACGGACCACAGATTTTCGGCATGTCCAAGAACACTATCACAAATCGAACCCCGCCCTCAACGCTTACAACCATGTTCCATTGCTTCTGATCTGAGCAACTTCACCGTTGTTCCTCCGATGAATTGTATGTGCCTGAGTTGAGTCCAACACTGCGACACCGATGAGATCATACTTCCCGAGTAGCGACCTGAGGCCATCCGCCCTCCCTCCTCACCTCTCCGCTAACATATGGGCGAAATATGCCCCCACTTTCTTCCCCAGCACCCTCTGGAACGGCACAGTCTCCCTACCTAAACACCACAGCTCCCTACCTCATCTACATCCCAACGCCCTACCAACAACAGTGACGTCTACTCCCATGCTAACTAGGGCACTAGCCATCTCCATACCGATGAAACCCGAACCAACCAAAACCACCTGAGAAGCAACGAAGTGGGGCGGTCGAGAGCAAGGACCACATTCGCCAGCAGCTCCAAACAGTTCCACTACTACCCGTTGCCCAGCCTCAGCATACTCCGTTATAGCATGAGCATCATCGGGCGTCCGGAGACAGAAAACATTCCTAATAGAGAACTTCTATAAGAGTGTCTATAAATGTAGTACTTGGCGTTAAGGCCTGGTATATAGGCTTTCCTAGCATCTGAACCCGCGGCCCATAGGCACTTGTCGTACGTAACTTGGGATGGATGACTGAAACGACGCTAGCTACACAACTCTGGCAAAGACTCTCTACCCCCATGCGATCACCTCGAGCAGCAGTGTTGAAATATATGTTCGCTTTCCTCAGTTGAGTTCAGAAGTTTCTCACTAATTTTAGAAGTTTACACATGAGCCCCGTCTAAATTTACAGAAACCAATGAGAATTTCCTAAAACTTCCTCATGATCTTCGCATCGCCACCAACATATGTGGTTGACCCAGGGCTGTCGCCAGGCGTATAAATGTACGCTCTAGGCGTAAAGTCGCAGACGCCGCAGAAAAGAGGGAGTATACTTCGTATGAGACCGAAAAGCGTACTACATACGCCCACAGAAGTTCTCTCCACCAGTTCGGCTGCACTCAGGAAGTACACTCACGTGACTGATAATATCACGCATCGAGTCACGTAGATGATGTCGCACGATTTGTTGCTTTAGCGAGGTGAATTGTGACTCGCAATAGTACGAATTGAGTCACTCAATATATCAGACTGGTATATTGAGTGATTACAGACAAAGTCGTCGCTATCTGTCACAAGTGAAGAGTGTCCGAAACATTCGATCCGAATACTCTCAAGTTTACGGTAATTGAATAATTTACGATCAATATCATCAATAATGTCATGACCGTGAGAACTACATAATGCACATAGACTATTGTGCACCTTGCCTATTCCTATTGCGACTCAACTTCAATAGCAATAGTACGCGTTTTAGGATGCAGCACGTCCCATCATGGGTGCGAAAGCATCGACTACCATGGGAAATCGTACAAATATTAGTGGAATTGAGAAATTACGCAGCGCAGTTGCAGTTAGACCCTGACTTCTTGTGAATGATCTGTAGTGGCCCATTTGAAGTTTTTTCGTGCAAAATCAGTGTGATAAATTTCGCGCCCAAGCGTTTTGTTTAGAGTTAATCAGTCTGATGCTTGCACATGGGCGTACACCAGACGTAGGTCAGTGCTACGAGGCGTAAGCCTCGCGAGCGCTGGCGACAGCCCTGGGTTGACCATGTGCATATTTCTCCACACTGGTGAGCACTAAGCGTAACAGCCGACAGTTCGAGCACCGCATAGCGATCCTCTCACTCACTTGTGAGCTTTCGATGGTTGAACCTCCACAATGCGATGCTCGGCGTCAACCTTGGTGACCAAAGTCTCCGTCCAGACCTCTATATCGTGCCTACCAGGACCAGCTACCTCTCCATTACAGCGTTCCAGCTTCTCTGCCGACTTAGCATAGAACTCCCTGTCGCGTAGGTAGAGTTTAGATGGATCATCGCCAGCATCCAACTTCTTAGACAGGACGGGACGGTCATACGGCAAATGCCTTTCCCGAGTCATCTGAACGAGGAAATCGCAACTACCAGACCACAAGAAAGACCAGGGGACGAAAGTCACACGTCCTAGCAAGACCAGATACTTAATGTCATAATGCAAATCAGCAGTACTCTCGTGAACGTCGTGACACCATTAATGACCGACTTTCTTACCATGATGATCCTTCCCGTGTATCCATTCTGCCTTAGACTCTCGGCAGCAGTAGCAGCAGCGGCTCCTCCCCCAACTATCACGTATACTAAGTACATATAGCAGCCTATCCATAGCAGCCTAAGCGCGAGCTCAGATACCTCTCTTATCCTCAGGGTCCCTTCTAGCCATGCCTTGGACGTTCTCTTTGGCAATCCAAACATCAGATTTCCTCGGTAAGTCAGCGTAGACTCCATCGGGTCGAACCTCGACTGAGGTAAAGTGATGAGGTCAAAGATGATGAACGAGCGACAGACTCTCGATAGAGAGATGTTAATACGGCTGGCATACGGCCAGAAAGATCATCCCACACATGGTACACTTCGTGGTGATATATTCGCTCACTTCTGTAGGTGGGTATAGCATCAAGACCGGGTCCTCTCAGTGGTTCTCCTGTCTTTATATCGAAAGTGGCATCATGCTGAGATATGACCAATGAGGAACTTAAGACGCCTATCGGTCGACCTACCAAAGGGCACACCACAGTCTCGTTGAGGAAGATGCCCTTTTTCAAAGGAAAACCGTAGTGGCTGCAGAGAGCGCCTGTGCAGTATAGTCGGCCATCTTTCGTCCTAGTTATCAGAATCTAAAGACCGTGAGTTCGATCCCTGCATGACTTGCTTATACTCCTTATACCTTCCTGTTCTCACCGACCTGCATCTCGTACATCTCACCGTTCTCAAACTCATCGTTGCTACCAAGTCTAACCCATTCCCCTCCCTTGGTAAATTCATCTGAAACCATTAGAAGTGCCAACGTCCGAACGAAGTCCTCACGGTGATGTCAAATAACCGAACACAAACGTGTTCTACCGATGGGGGCGGACTGTCATCAGATCATGTGTTCAATAGACCCGTCCTAAACCGATACTCCCCGACTAAACAGTCGAGAGACAACCCTAGTAACCTCCCAAAGACCTCGAGAGGAATGCGTTCTACCGATCGTCCGCCAACAGAGAAAATTCTCAGACATTCTCTGAGAATCCCTTGGTGCAATCTTACGTTCTTTGCTGTCACAATATACGTCCTTGCCAACCAGGCCCACGGTAGAAGCTGCTGCAGCCACTGAGAGAGTACTCAGGGCTAGTGCCATGCCAGTAGCGGTTCGGCCAGGCTTCCAAGTATGAGGACACGGTACGCTCCGATATCCCGGACTACTGACAGCTGAGAGGAGACGAGAGCAGTGCGGTAGGAAACGATGACCGAGCATTGATTTCGAAAAAGAAAATCACTGTTGATAAGGGCTCCATAATGCGACCCCCACCAGTGGGAGTCAGATCAATGACGCGTTTCCACCGCTTCGAGTTAGATACGTTCGAGAAGGAAGGTCACACTGTGCACGCCCATCAACATCAGTAACTCGTCAGCAGGTGTACTAAGAGCGCCGGAAATTACAGGTAGAGGTAGTACAAGGAAAATATTTCTCGTGTGCTGACTCTAGTGCCAGACTAGTAGAGCGCAAGTGTGACAGTTGTGTCCTCCGTCGTATGCCATGGAATGCTGAACCAGCATCGCTGATGTAGGCATAAAGTATTTCCCGTAAGGGCAATGCCCATGAATCGGACCCACTGTTGGTTAACGAGCTCTATTCGAGTGTTGCTGAGTTATATGGTTGAATTGGTAACCACGAGCTCGTTCACCAAGACTAGGTCCAATTCTGCGCCAGTAATCTGGAAAAAGTCAGCCATTACATCCACATGTGTATCAATGTGCGTGACGCACGTGTAACATTTCGTGGCGCGCGACGGTCACTGTTGCTCACGTGGCGGAGAACCAGGTTTCACCAACTCGCCAAGCTTGGCGATTTCGGGTCCTAATGAACTCTCGCCAACACGCTCAATCATGGGATACGACCGCTTCTGGACCATATTTCACCTCTTTGGCCTCGATACCTAACGAATTTCACCGAGATGTGGCGGAAACTGGTTGAGGTAATCCGTAGTTTCGTTCGCCCAAATGATCTATCTCGTTCTGGGCGCACGGTTACAGCAACTTGGTATTGGTGTAACATGCCCGTGGCCCACATATTGCTATAAAACTTGGTAAACTTATCGGTATTCGCCAAGTACGTGTCGCAAAACGCCGATATATTGGTATAATCATTTGTTTATGAAGATTACACCATCTTTGGCGATATCCGCCTTTTATCGATCACGCTTGGTATGTTCTCGAGTCGGAGTCGAATATCGCCAGGTGATTTGTTCAAATCTGGTGTTTTGACAGGCTTTCGCCACAACTTATTCATGATTCCTGTCCGGCGAAAGCCGTATCAGGACCGTATACTGCCAAGTTGGATTTAACCGCATATAATGTTCGGTTAAATCCAGCTTGGCAGTATCAAGGGTGAATTCACTTACATCACTGAAGTGTGCCGCACACTTCAGTGACTCTGATTATGATTATCATGTGACATGATTCACAAGACATGGTTCATGTCTTGTGGTTGGGCGATAGAGCGGTCGAGTACAGGAAAGTTCGCGCGGGGGACCCAGGATCTACTCCCATGAGTTGTTAGCACACTTCGTTCACCTTTACGACTCAACACTAATAGTTATGGATTTCTTTCACAGAGATAGTATCGTCTCCTTATCCCGTCATTCGATATTGTTATTGCACATTGTACCGCACGCTACACTATCTAAACGCAAGTCGTATTAAGTATATGGAGAGCTCAAACATAGAAAAAACTTTTCACATTATCTTCACTTTGCTATCGTAGGCTTCTCGTGATACCTGATAACACTGATCGAGATGCTCCACAGAGCATGCTGAACTTACCGGTTTACTTCCCAAAAAAGTACTCGGAGCGAATACGGATAAAACCGCGATGAGTCGGACACCATCTAAGAGATCAGTCTTCGACTGAATACGACTGCTAGCTAACATACGGACACTATCTATTAGATTAGCCGTGGCGCAAATACGAATGACGGCTCACATAATGGACACAATCTATTGGGTTAGAGCGACGAACCTCAAGCACTGTTCGTACTACTGACAGTGCTTGAGGTACTTGAGGTGGTGATATTCCGCGTGATTGTCAGTATTACTGACAATCATGCGGAAGATCACCGTGAGGACAAAGCCGTTGGCAAAGGTATTCACTCGACCTGGCCGAATTAATTCTTTGCCAAGTTTGCCGAGACGGCCAAACTCAACGAGGAGGTTGAACAACGTCATATGACCTTGTATGAATCGGTCAGTGATCTCCGATCGTCGTATCTACATAGAGATCCTTCTTTTCGATGGAATGCTCCGACCAGAGCTCGAGTTCCATAATTCATCGACATCGATGGTAAGGCAATGAGTGTGTTATGCACAACGGCGGTGATCGATAGCCGCAAGCAAGTTAGATTCCCAGTTATTGTAGGTGAGCGCTGCGCGTAACGACTGGGTGAGTTTCCAACTTTCCCTGGAATCCTAGAACGAACCGTACGACGAACACATTCCTTAATTTTCAAAACTTTCTTAATGGGGATCCGTTGACCCGAGAATCGGGTCCCGATTCGGAACTCCCGAATGATCAACGACTTCCTTCGAGCTTTTGCGGCAAGAGTCTTGCCACTACGAGTCAATACCATCGTGACTGTTCAGCACAATGCCTAACGCGTATACAATACCGTAACTAATCCCTGACTAAGATACCGTTCAGAAGAAACTTAGCCACTAGCGAATGATACACCTCAAATCACAGTAAATCACTCATCACTAATCGTTGGACCTGGGCTCAGGTCTAACGTAGGCAAAGGAGTCAAGTTAATAATTTCGATTATTTCAATTGGTTCACTTACAGACGCCTAATGATTAGACCCTAATCCTAGGGTTCACGCACCCCAAGGAACAGCACTCATGCACAAATCTGTGACGCGAATCATGTAGGCTAGCCGCTAGCACAATAGACAGCATAGACCAAACAACAAATATCGTAGCAAAAGTACAGTAAATACCATATTACAAGACACAAATGAACCATAACAGTCAAGAGATCTCCGTGCACTGCGCCGAACTGTACAGTGCTCAACAGAATACCAGTGGCTCTGATCATCACCATCATCATGGCCCATCATTGATGGCAAATTGCCATTGGTAATGGTTGTGCTCACTGCCAGTGAGTCACTGGAGCGGTAGTGGTCGTGAACATCATCATTGTGATGACAAGCCAGTAGTGGCGTTCACGGGACTGGTGGATCGGAGCTTGATGCGCATCGGCTCGTTGTGCTCATTCACTGAGGAATCCTCAGTTGATGAATAAAGAATCGTACATGTGAACGGCGATGACCCACGAGACACTTCAGGGCACTGTGCACTGCACAGTGTGCAGCGCCCCGGCAGCGTTGTTTGTTCTATGTCGCATGCCTGCCGGAGCCGACCAGTACAATATACCGATACTATCGGTCCGATAGGATATAAGAGACCAATTGAAACCGAAAAATTCTACACCTGAGAGAAGCA